TGCTTTAAAACAAAAACCAAAAAAAACTAAACACCCAACAATGCATGAGTGGCTCACATATAAACAGGTTCTTGATACAAGAGGCAGTCTGATGCAAGCAAATGTTGACCAGGTTGAAATCACCAAATTCCTTGCTGAAATCAGTTTAAAAGAGATTCCCCCTCCATCCCTACATGTGATTTTTGCTTAAAAGGAGAACAGGAAAGAGGTTTAGGGAAACCCAAGTAACCCTGATGTAAGTATCAACCCAACACTTGATTGCAAACGAATTTAATCCAGGCGATCCCTAGCTGCCACCATCACATCTACAGTACAAAGAATCTGGCACCTTGTGTAACATGGTGAAAGCGTGAAGCCCTTCCATTCATTTGCATTTAGACAAGGCAGCAAGCCTTCTGGTGGTTGGAAGGGCTAAGAATCCAGTGACACAAAAGAATGCAACACTGGCATCTTGACTAAAATTAAGGTGAAGGAAATTGGCACCAGGTTTTACCAACTCTAATGCCAGGTTGGTGGTACTTGCAGAATTAATTATTTTGTGAATTCCAATATGAACTGACTTGACGCACACCTCCTAGACCAATGTACAGATCAGGACATTTGACATTTGCAATATAGTTCAGCTTAAAAAACTTACCAAGATGCATATAAAAATTGTAGTAATGTGCATTTTGTGAGAAAATATGTTCAATATTATATATATATGTATATATATATATATATATATATATATATATATATATGTCAGGGGTTCAGGGAGAGAGGCACAGGGTAGGCAGGAGATGGAGAGCGATGGGGATGAATTCCAAGCCAGCGAGGAAGAGGATGACAATGACTCAAGAGATTCCATGAGTCTTTCCAGCGAATCAGAGGATTCCCAGAAGGGGCGCCGGTGGTCAAGGCCAGGAGCCCCAGGGGGACGTGTCAGGAGCAGGGGGCCAGCGGAGGATCCCAAAGTGGCAGCTGGGCGTCAGGACCAGCCTCCCCACCAGAGTGCAGCGAAGGGGGTGGAGTTTCCAGTGTGTCAGGGAAGCAGCTCCGGCAGCAGAGAAAGGAGGGAGGTCAGAGCAAGCCGCCCTCCCGGAAGGGGAGCAGTGAAGGGAGTAGTGTAACTGTCAAAAGGAAAGTTAGAGGTTTGGCCCGCGCGCCAAGTTCAAATGTAGAGGCGCGCGGAAGTACAGGGAGCCCGGAGGAGGGGCCAGGTCCCAAAGCCCGCAGGAGGGGGGAAGAGCAGTCTGATTCCGCGTCAGAGGAATCCAGGAGGAGCGAAACCCCAGCGGGCAGAAGGACCCTGCGGAAAAGGAAGGAGAGAAAGAGGTGGAGCAGCGCAAGCCTCTTAAATTGGTGCAGGGGAGGGACGGATTCAGAGGGGACTTCAGCGGTCTAAGCGTAGCAGACGTAAGGCTGCGCGCCTAGGATGTCAAGCAAACAATGAACTGCAATAAACACTTTTGTATATAAGAAGACATAGGCGTTGGTCTTTTGTGAGATGAGACTTGAGGCAGCCTTGACAATATATATATATATATATGCATGATTCTAAATTTGCATTTTCATGCAGGACAGAACAAGCTTGTGAATGAACATAAATGAAACTGAAAAGGGAGTTACATCACAATAAATTAACTTGTTCTCCAGGATTTCACATTGGCTGATTTTGACCTGGTTGGATTTTAAAACCCTATACATCATGGGATGACCCCCAGAGACCTTTTGAAGGAGTCTCCTGATTGCACCCCTGCAATCAGCTGCATTTGTTCTCCCATCCTTTTGGTTTTGTGACCCTATTGGTCCACTTCTCTTACACTACTTTAGTTCACATCCTGAGAAAAATTATGATGCATCTTGACCCCAGCCCTGTTTTGACTACTCATCTGAAAGTTTGCAGAAATGCCTATGAGTAACTTTCCTCCCAGCTGTGTACATATATTCACATATTGTATCCGTGTTATTCAACATCAGCAATAAGTTCAATTAAATGCAGATTGGTCACATGTTTTGTCAGCCATTCTCTGTCATGGTGACAAGAAGGAAAGGCCACCCTTTTATATATAAATAATTTTTATTAATTTCCAATTATTAAAATCCAATATAAACCACATTTTATCAATGTCAAATTACAATTCAGATTCAAATATATATCAATTATAAAGCCAATTATACATTTTGTATGACTTCCCGCATGCTAGATTTCAAGGTGAGATGATTTTATTTCATCCTGCTTCCAAGTCTTAATTAATCCAATTACATTCATTCTTGATCTTAATCTCTCATCAGCAGCTACAATTCTGTTTTTTAAAATATATATTTTTTATTAAAGATTTCTTGGTTTACAAAAGTATGTGCAATGTTTCTTTTTTCAAGTTACATTTTCTACAGATCAGTTTTATTTGTTGAGACATTAGTGTTACATTAGGAAGAAAAGGGGGAAAGAGGTGGAGGGGGGCATGGTGAGTGGAGGTGGGGTCAGGCGGCAATGCTTCTATTCTACTTGGTGTATGTGTGGGGTTTTGTGTCAGCATCACTTGTGTGGGTTCTCTTTACTATTTGCTTGTATTTCTTTGGTAGTGAGAGAAGTTGGGGTTGGCATAGGGTGTGGTTGATTGCTTTTGATTGGCTGTGGTGAACTTTGTTTTTGTGTGTGACTGGGATGTGTGATTGATTTGTATGCTGTCGGTGGATTCTTGTCATTGTCTTGTTGGGCTGCGTATGTGATAAAGGGGAACCATACGGGGGTGAAGGCATCTTCTTCTATTTGTCCCCATGTCAGTTTCAGTTTGTTGGTTGGTTTTTCTAGTAAGGCTGTTTCCCATACTATTTGATACCTTTGGTCTATGCTTACTCCTGACAGGTCTCTCCAGTGTCTGGCTATAGTGCTTCTGGCTGCTGAGAGTAGGTGAATTATGAGCTCTTTGTGTTGTGAGTAGGCATTATTGTCTTGTAAGATGTTTAGGAGGGCCAGTTCTGGGGTGACTTCTAATACTTGCTAAGTTATTTTTCATATTTCTTGTATGATTGATGTCCAGAAGAGTTGGATTTTAGGGCATTCCCAACACATGTGTAGGTATGTGCCTGTGGTGCTGCATCCTCTAGCATATTGGTGAGGTTCCTGGGCATATTAGCTTTAGTTTCCATGGTGTTAGGTACCACTTGTAAGTGATTTTCAGAGTGAGTTCTTTTCGCTGATATGGATTTAAAGGGAGGTTTAGACCACATTCTGGTCCATTGGGTGGGGTTAATCTCATAGCCTATGTCATCCTCCCATTGTTTTTTGATTACATCTAGGGGGTTTGTGGGATTTTGGAGTAGTATTTTGTATATTGTGGATACTATCCCTTTGCTGTGCTCCTTTGTTGTTAGGGGGAGGTTTTCGAAGGTTGTCAAGGGCCTAGTTGCTGCTGATTTTACTACTGGATTATTTAAAAGGGCATGTAATTGGTAATATAATGTTAGCCAGGGCACTTGGGTGTCCCCTAGTTTGTTTTGTATTTCTTGTGTTGATATGGCAAGCCTTTGGTTTGCCAGGTTTTTATCTGGAGGTTTTATGTTGCAATAATGGAATAGTGGGTTTTGCGCCCGGGGAATTAGTGGGGATGGGGTTGGGGACAGTTTACCTACTTCTTCTTTCCATGCTTTAAGCATGGTCTATGTGAACCTGTTTAGTGTTGTGAGAATTTTCCTTAGTTTATTTGGGAGGAATGGGTATGCTCTGGTGCGGGTATTTTCAATTGTGTCCCTCTCCAGGTGTAACCATTGTTTTATCTCATCTTCTAGTATATACAGGATTCTGGCGTACTTGGCTGGCGATGGAATATGCTTCTATGTTGGAGATTCAGGCAGTTTTAAAACTGCACCAAAATCCCCATTTCTCCTTAGCTAAAATGCATAAACTTTAGCCGTTGAGCAAATGCAAAACAAGAACACAGCTCTCTCCCTTATCAGTTTGACGGCAAGACTGGCCTTGACTTTACCAGTAGAACAGACACAGACATATCTTATGTCCTGACCACAAATGACGCAGAGACCCAAGTCTGGGACTAACGCCAGAGCATGTTCTCAGAAGTAGTGACCTCTTGCTCCAAGATAGGAGTAGGAACAGGAATATCCTTTTATGGTCAGGAGTGCAGGAAGGAAATCCCTTTTATGGCTAAGAGTGCCGGAGCAGGAACATATGTGATGTCAACCTACGTATACAAGCTGACGTGGTTGGAAGGAGGGAGAGGGTGCCTGGAGGGTATATATACTGCATGAAACTTGTCATTTCTTTGGACTTGCTGTGGACTCACCACGCAAGTGCCTTCTGCTATCCGGAGAGCAGAATAAACTCTTTCTTTGAACCAACTTGGTGTCATTTTGACTTCCTTCCTCCTGTCACGGAGCAACGCAGACCCAGTCGGTGAACTCCAATAAGGCTACAATGCTGGCTGCCTTCAGGGGCTCCATGCCGCCATGGTGCTCGCCACTTTGCCTCGCTGGAAGTTAGGTACAGAGTTTTTGTCTTCCATTTGAATTAACACATTTAATTAAGAAAAACTCCTGCAAAAGGAGTTCTATATCCCAAATATTTCCTGTGTGTGCTGTTTATCTTATCCATGTTGTTTCTTCATTCTTCTTGTTCTCTATCTGTCCTGCACAGCATCGCTACTTCTGTTCTTCCACTCTTCCCCCCCCCTTTGTTCCCAGAAAATGAGGCAGACACACGCCATCTTTTTTTTGTTATTGTTTGAGTCTAGATAGAGAATGAGCTGGTGTCCTGCCAACGTTTTAACAAGACTCCGGTTTCTCCTTCTCGGTCAACTCTCTCAATAACGATCTGGCGTCCCGCCAAAGCCTTGGCAGATCTTCAAAGTCCAGGTCCTCCCATAGCAGTACAGTGAAAGTTTGATGCTTTAAATCCATTTCCATTTCTTCAGTTATATTTTTCATTGTAATCCATAAATATAATCCGTTCTCTTTTATCTCTTCTTGCCTTTTATCAGTTTATTAGCATTCAAGGGATGGGTGGTTGCCAAATCATTTATGTAGCTGTCAGGGGTTCAGGGACAGAGGCACAGGGTAGGCAGGAGATGGAGAGCGATGGGGATGAATCCCAGGACAGTGAGGAAGAGGATGACAATGACTCAAGAGATTCCATGAGTCTTTCCAGCGAATCAGAGGATTCCCAGAAGGGGGCGCCGGTGGTCAAGGCCAGGGGAGCCCCAGGGGGGACGTGTCAGGAGCAGGGGGCCAGCGGGGGATCCCAAAGTGGCAGCTGGGCGTCAGGACCAGCCTCCCCGCCAGAGTGCAGCGAAGGGGGTGGAGGTTTCAGTGTATCAGGGGAAGCGGCTCCGGCAGCAGAGAAGGGAGGGAGGTCGGAGCAAGCCACCCTCCCGGAGGGGAGGGGAGTAGTGAAGGGAGTAGTGTAGCTGTTAAAAGGAAGGTTAGAGGTTGGGCACGCGCGCAAGTTCAAATGTAGAGGCGCGCGGAAGTACAGGGAGCCCGGAGGAGGGGCCAGGTCCCAAAGCCCGCAGGAGGGGCAAGAGCAGTCTGGGGATTCCGCGTCAGAGGAATCCAGGAGGGGCGAAACCCCAGCGGGCAGAAAGACCCTGCGGAAAAGGAAAGAGAGAAAGAGGTGGAGCAGCGCAAGCCTCTTAAACTGGTGCAGGGGAGGGACTGATTCAGAGGGGACTTCAGCGGTCTAAGCGTAGCAGACGTAGGGCTGCGCGCCTCGGATGTGAAGCAAACAATGAACTGCAATAAACACTTTTGTATATAAGAAGAGATAGGCGTTGGTCTTTTGTGAGCTGAGACTTGAGGCAGCCCTGACAGTAAGTCCCCTCTCACAAACCGCAAAAAAATTTTTTTGCAAAGCTCACGGAGTTTGGCAGACATGACTACTGAGGAGCAGATAACGACCCTGCAAAACGCAGTCGCTGAACTCTCCGTTGCAGTACGGGTCTCTCAGAAGACAGTTGCCGAAGCAGAAGCGCGATGCCAGGATCTGCAAGCCAGGTGGGATCAGGCGTGCAAGAGGGGTTCCCGGGGTCCAGATCAGAGGGAATCGGACTCGGATGGAGGGGGGCAATTTAGTAGCCCACTTCGATGGGAACCTGAAGCATTATCCCAATTTCAGAGCAGACGTCGTATACGCGCTGCATTTGCTTCGAAAAGACTTCAAAGATGAGGAGGAGAAAGTAGGCTTTATTGTGTCCCATTTGCATGGGGAAGCTAGAACCTGGTTACGCAATTTGTGGCGCGAAGATGGTCTTGCCCGCAGGGACTCTGACGAATTTATCAAAGCCATGGACGCTTGCTTCCAATCTACCGTTGACGTTGATGTGGCGCGCCAGGAGATGCATGGATTGCGGCAGGGCAAGGCTACAGTGCGTCAGTACCATTCTCGCTTTTTGCATTGCTGAATGTGCTGGGCTGGTAAAAGGACTCCCTGGCAGTGAGAGACTTGTTCTGGGAGGGGCTTCATGGCTCAGTAAAAGATGAGCTGGCTAGGGAGACAGACCTCAAACCCTAGCAGACGTCGTGCAGAGGGCACTCACGATAGGGGTGCGCCACGAAGAACGCCCTTGGCACAGTGAGGAGGGGCGTCACGTCCGCCCACCAGCTAGAGCGCCTCCTTTTCTTCCCAGGGACCTGGGACGTACAAATCCCTCGCCTATGCTGAAGGGGGCGGAACCAATGGAGCTGGGTGGTGCAAAGGCTCAGACAGCTGCCGGAGCCTCAGCGTCCGGAGCAGTCAAGGCGAAGCCTCCTAGAGGGACCAGGAAGTGTTACATCTGTGACAGTGCACAGCACATGGCTAAAGAGTGTCCCCAGAGGCTCCAGAAGCACACTGCAGCCTTAGCAACAGTAACAGGGGAAGCGTTCCAAGGAGAACAGTTTCAGGGAAACGAGAATGCCTGGCTGGAAGCAGAGATGCTGGGGCTCCGCCAGGCAAGTCAGTGAAGCAGTCCCCAGCGCTTTTGCAGCCTACAGACCCCTTACCACCCAAGCCAGTGGTGCAGCTCACTGCTACTCTCCAGCTACCTAATGGACTCACCCTGGAAGTCCCCATTACGATTGACTCAGGGAGCAACGCAGACTTCGTGGGGATGCAGTTCATCAAGCAGCATCGCATAGCGCTACTACCAGCCACGCTGCCTCTGAACGTCGTCACGGTAGATGGCAGGAAGTTGCTGGGTGGGCAAGTGGTACAACAGACGCCACCCATGCTGCTGAAAATTGGGAATCATCGCGAGGTCATCAGTTTCAATGTCACCCAACTGTCAGACACGCCTATAGTGTTAGGCATGAGTTGGCTGGATAGACACAGCCCATCATTAGCGTGGTACCAGCGGCAGCTCACCTTTGGCTCGTCCTACTGCGCACAACATTGCATCCAGACCGGCCAGGAGGAGGAGGGCCAGGAGGAAGGGCAACAGTTGCATCTAGGCATGGTGCAGGCAGTGCCCCACAAGTACAAGGGGTTTTGGAGGTCTTCTGCGAAAAGGAAGCTGACCAATTACCACCCCACCGGCCCTACGACTGTGCAATTGACCTCTTACCAGGGGCGACGCTACCGACTGCGAAGCTGTATTCCATGTCTGAAGATGAGATGCAGGAACTCAGGGAGTTCATAGATCACAATTTGAAGCGGGGATTCATCCGAGAATCCAAGGCAGTGGGGGGCAGTCCTGTGTTTTTCGTGAAGAAGAAGGACACGCCCCAAAAACGGCTCATTGTGGACTATAGGGCCATAAACTCGATGACAAAGCCCAAGGCCTTCCCCATGCCCAAGATTGACGACCTGCTCGCGACGGTGAGGAAGGGGAGGATCTTCACCAAGTTGGATCTACGCGGAGCATACAATCTAATACGCATGAGGGAAGGTGACGAGTGGAAGACGGCCATGTTCACGCCGCTGGGCACCTATGAATACAGAGTTATGCCGTTTGGTCTCCAAAATGGCTCCCACTGTTTCCAAGCATTCATGCACCACGTGCTAGCAGGACTCCTCTACAAGAAGTGCGTATGCTTCCTCGACGACATTCTGATCTTCTCAGAATCGCAGGAGACTCACGAGAGAGACGTAAAGGAGGTCCTGCAGAGGCTACGGGAGCACAGACTCTACGCCAAACTGGAGAAGTGCCAGTTCGACGTGACGGAGGTGGATTTCCTGGGCTACCGGCTGTCCGACAAGGGACTAGCCATGGACAGCGCCAAAGTCCGCGCGGTGTTGGACTGGAATAGCCCGCGCAATCGGAAGGAGGTCCAGAGGTTCGTCGGCTTCGCCAACTTTTACCGCAAGTTCATCAGGGGTTTCGCGAAAGAGACGGCAGCTATCACGGACACCCTCAGTTCCAAGAAGAAAAAGTTCACCTGGACGGACCAGGCGGAGCAGTCCTTCAGGAGACTTAAGAGCCTCTTCGCGTCCGAAGACCAGCTGCTACACGTGAATCCCGGCAGGCCCATGCGGGTTGAGACTGACGCATCTGACAGAGCAGTGGGGGCCGTCCTCTTGCAGGAAGATCCGCAAGGGAACTGGAGGCCCTGCGCTTTCTATTCCCGGAAGCTCAGCAAGTCGGAACAGAACTACACCATCTGGGACAGGGAGTTGTTGGCCATCCACGCGGCTTTCAAGGCGTGGCGGCACTTCCTCATCGGAGCCAAGCACACCGTGCAGGTCCGCACGGACCACAAGAACCTAGAGTATTGGCGCACGGCGAAGCTCCAGAGCCAGAGGCACATGAGATGGGCGGAGTTCTTTGCGGATTTCGATTTCCGGATAGAGTATATCCCGGGAGACAACAACGTCATAGCGGATGCGCTCTCCAGGAAACCGCAGTATCTCGAGGAAGCGGCACCAGTGGCAGCCAGGCACATTTTCGCACCGCAAGCGTGGGCGTGCGCTTCCGCCGCCGTGGACCTGGACGCGGTACGACGCGCGCTACAGACGGATCCGTTCGCACAATCCAAGATGGAGGAGGTGCGAAGAGGGACAGCAAAGGACGGCGAATTCCAGATACGCGACGGCCTGCTGACCCGCAAAGGTGCTCTCTACGTGCCGGGAGACGATCTCCGCGCGAAGGTTTTACAGCAGTTACACGACGCACCCAGCGCGGGTCACTTCGGCAAAGAAAAGACGGCGGACTTAGTAGCCAGAGACTTTTGGTGGCCCCAGATGCGGGGAGAGGTCGCGGATTACGTCGCCAGGTGTGACACTTGTCAGAGGTCCAAGCCAGTGCACAAGAAGCCAGCGGGATTGCTGGAACCGCTGGAGACGCCACTACAGCCGTGGGAAAGGGTGGCGCTGGACTTTGTTACTGATCTGCCCAGTTCGCGGGGCAAGACGGCGGTGCTTGTGGTTGTAGATCTGTTCACCAAGATGGCGCACTTCATTCCTTGCGCGAAGGTGGCAACAGCGGAACAGACCGCCAAGCTGTTCATAGACCACGTGTTCCGGGTGCACGGCTTACCGCGGTCCATCCTGTCCGACCGGGGTCGCCAATTCATTTCCAGTTTCTGGCAGAAGCTCCTGGGCATCCTGAATGTCAAGATCAACTTAGCGTCGGCGAGACACCCGCAAACCAACGGCCAAGCGGAGAGGGTCAACGCCATCATGCAGCAGTACCTGCGATGTTACGCCAATCAAAAGCCTGCAACTTGGGTGGACTACTTACCGATGGCCGAGTTTGCCTACAACAACACGAAGCACGCGTCAGCGGGGTGACACCGTTCTTCGCCAACAATGGGCGACATCCCAGAACCTTCCCGGCGTTGGAGACAACGACGCAGGGGAGTCGCAGGGAGCTGAGCATTTAGCAGCAGAATTGCAGGAGGTCCACGAGGAGCTACGACGGCACTTGGAACTAGCTAAACACGCCTACAAAGTGCAGGCAGACAGGCACAGGAGGGCAGGAGAAGACATCCAGGTGGGGGACTGGGTATGGTTAGCAGCCCAGGCGGTGCCGGCCAAGTCGTTAGCTAAGAAGAAGCTAGGACACAAACAGCTAGGGCCATACCAAGTTGAGGGCAGGATCAATCCCGTAGCTTTTCGGTTGACCCTCCCAGAAGGTTCCAGAATGCACCCGGTCTTTCATAGGTCGGTGCTTACACCCTACAAGGCCCCACACAGATTTCAGGAGCCAGGGACGGCACCAGACCCACGTAGAAAGTCACCAGGGGGGGGGAAGTCACCGAGGACCCCGACACTCAACGAGGTCACGGAAATTCTGGACTCGAGATGGGGGGAGGAGGGAGTGGAATACCTCCTCGCCAGGGAAGGTACCCCGGCCAGCGCCAACAGTTGGGTGCCAGATTATGCTCTGGAGGAACCTCTTCTTAAAGACGAGTTCCATGCACTCTTCCCACACAGGCCCATGCCAGCGGAGTATTTTGACGACTGGCTTTTACGCCCACACTTTCAGGCAGCACCTTCCGGGGGTTCTCCTCCGCAGAGGAGACCACGCCGGAATCGAGCCCTCCAAGGGGATCGTGCTCGGGGGTGGACACGGACCGCTCTTATTGGTGGGACGATCAACCAGAAGTGGGGTGGCGAAGGGGGCCTTGGCAAGCAGCATCGCCTGAAGTAACAGGGGGAGGGAAGGGTTTGGATGTGTTGGGGGAGGACCCCAGTTTCGAGCACTCATACACTGAACTGGAAGCAGAGGAGATCGACGTCGACGAACTGTATCCAGCATCTACCCCCGCTACAACGGAGCTCCCGGAACCTGCGCCCGAGCAGCGGAGGGGGAAGGGGGCTTCGAGGGGGATGGATGTCAGGGGTTCAGGGACAGAGGCACAGGGTAGGCAGGAGATGGAGAGCGATGGGGATGAATCCCAGGACAGCGAGGAAGAGGATGACAATGACTCAAGAGATTCCATGAGTCTTTCCAGCGAATCAGAGGATTCCCAGAAGGGGCGCCGGTGGTCAAGGCCAGGGAGCCCCAGGGGGGACGTGTCAGGAGCAGGGGGCCAGCGGGGGATCCCAAAGTGGCAGCTGGGCGTCAGGACCAGCCTCCCCGCCAGAGTGCAGCGAAGGGGGTGGAGGTTTCAGTGTATCAGGGGAGCGGCTCCGGCAGCAGAGAAGGGAGGGAGGTCGGAGCAAGCCACCCTCCCGGAAGGGGAGGGAGTAGTGAAGGGAGTAGTGTAGCTGTTAAAAGGAAGGTTAGAGGTTGGGCGCGCGCGCAAGTTCAAATGTAGAGGCGCGCGGAAGTACAGGGAGCCCGGAGGAGGGGCCAGGTCCCAAAGCCCGCAGGAGGGGCAAGAGCAGTCTGGGGATTCCGCGTCAGAGGAATCCAGGAGGGGCGAAACCCCAGCGGGCAGAAAGACCCTGCGGAAAAGGAAAGAGAGAAAGAGGTGGAGCAGCGCAAGCCTCTTAAACTGGTGCAGGGGGGGACTGATTCAGAGGGGACTTCAGCGGTCTAAGCGTAGCAGACGTAGGGCTGCGCGCCTCGGATGTGAAGCAAACAATGAACTGCAATAAACACTTTTGTATATAAGAAGAGATAGGCGTTGGTCTTTTGTGAGCTGAGACTTGAGGCAGCCCTGACAGTAAGTCCCCTCTCCCTGAAACCGCAAATTTTTTTTTGCAAAGCTCACGAAGTTTGGCAGACATGACTACTGAGGAGCAGATAACGACCCTGCAAAACGCAGTCGCTGAACTCTCCGTTGCAGTACGGGTCTCTCAGAAGACAGTTGCCGAAGCAGAAGCGCGATGCCAGGATCTGCAAGCCAGGTGGGATCAGGCGTGCAAAGAGGGGTTCCCGGGGTCCAGATCAGAGGGAATCGGACTCGGACGGAGGGGGCAATTTAGTAGCCCACTTCGATGGGAACCTGAAGCATTATCCCAATTTCAGAGCAGACGTCGTATACGCGCTGCATTTGCTTCGAAAAGACTTCAAAGATGAGGAGGAGAAAGTAGGCTTTATTGTGTCCCATTTGCATGGGGAAGCTAGAACCTGGTTACGCAATTTGTGGCGCGAAGATGGTCTTGCCCGCAGGGACTCTGACGAATTTATCAAAGCCATGGACGCTTGCTTCCAATCTACCGTTGACGTTGATGTGGCGCGCCAGGAGATGCATGGATTGCGGCAGGGCAAGGCTACAGTGCGTCAGTACCATTCTCGCTTTTTGCATTGCTGAATGTGCTGGGCTGGGAAAAGGACGCCCTGGCAGTGAGAGACTTGTTCTGGGAGGGGCTTCATGGCTCCGTAAAAGATGAGCTGGCTAGGGAGACAGACCTCAAACCCTAGCAGACGTCGTGCAGAGGGCACTCACGATAGGGGTGCGCCACGAAGAACGCCCTTGGCACAGTGAGGAGGGGCGTCACGTCCGCCCACCAGCTAGAGCGCCTCCTTTTCTTCCCAGGGACCTGGGACGTACAAATCCCTCGCCTATGCTGAAGGGGGAGGAACCAATGGAGCTGGGTGGTGCAAAGGCTCAGACAGCTGCCGGAGCCTCAGCGTCCGGAGCAGTCAAGGCGAAGCCTCCTAGAGGGACCAGGAAGTGTTACATCTGTGACAGTGCACAGCACATGGCTAAAGAGTGTCCCCAGAGGCTCCAGAAGCACACTGCAGCCTTAGCAACAGTAACAGGGGAAGCGTTCCAAGGAGAACAGTTTCAGGGAAACGAGAATGCCTGGCTGGAAGCAGAGATGCTGGGGCTCCGCCAGGCAAGTCAGTGAAGCAGTCCCCAGCGCTTTTGCAGCCTACAGACCCCTTACCACCCAAGCCAGTGGTGCAGCTCACTGCTACTCTCCAGCTACCTAATGGACTCACCCTGGAAGTCCCCATTACGATTGACTCAGGGAGCAACGCAGACTTCGTGGGGATGCAGTTCATCAAGCAGCATCGCATAGCGCTACTACCAGCCACGCTGCCTCTGAACGTCGTCACGGTAGATGGCAGGAAGTTGCTGGGTGGGCAAGTGGTACAACAGACGCCACCCATGCTGCTGAAAATTGGGAATCATCGCGAGGTCATCAGTTTCAATGTCACCCAACTGTCAGACACGCCTATAGTGTTAGGCATGAGTTGGCTGGATAGACACAGCCCATCATTAGCGTGGTACCAGCGGCAGCTCACCTTTGGCTCGTCCTACTGCGCACAACATTGCATCCAGACCGGCCAGGAGGAGGAGGGCCAGGAGGAAGGGCAACAGTTGCATCTAGGCATGGTGCAGGCAGTGCCCCACAAGTACAAGGGGTTTTTGGAGGTCTTCTGCGAAAAGGAAGCTGACCAATTACCACCCCACCGGCCCTACGACTGTGCAATTGACCTCTTACCAGGGGCGACGCTACCGACTGCGAAGCTGTATTCCATGTCTGAAGATGAGATGCAGGAACTCAGGGAGTTCATAGATCACAATTTGAAGCGGGGATTCATCCGAGAATCCAAGGCAGTGGGGGGCAGTCCTGTGTTTTTCGTGAAGAAGAAGGACACGCCCCAAAAACGGCTCATTGTGGACTATAGGGCCATAAACTCGATGACAAAGCCCAAGGCCTTCCCCATGCCCAAGATTGACGACCTGCTCGCGACGGTGAGGAAGGGGAGGATCTTCACCAAGTTGGATCTACGCGGAGCATACAATCTAATACGCATGAGGGAAGGTGACGAGTGGAAGACGGCCATGTTCACGCCGCTGGGCACCTATGAATACAGAGTTATGCCGTTTGGTCTCCAAAATGGCTCCCACTGTTTCCAAGCATTCATGCACCACGTGCTAGCAGGACTCCTCTACAAGAAGTGCGTATGCTTCCTCGACGACATTCTGATCTTCTCAGAATCGCAGGAGACTCACGAGAGAGACGTAAAGGAGGTCCTGCAGAGGCTACGGGAGCACAGACTCTACGCCAAACTGGAGAAGTGCCAGTTCGACGTGACGGAGGTGGATTTCCTGGGCTACCGGCTGTCCGACAAGGGACTAGCCATGGACAGCGCCAAAGTCCGCGCGGTGTTGGACTGGAATAGCCCGCGCAATCGGAAGGAGGTCCAGAGGTTCGTCGGCTTCGCCAACTTTTACCGCAAGTTCATCAGGGGTTTCGCGAAAGAGACGGCAGCTATCACGGACACCCTCAGTTCCAAGAAGAAAAAGTTCACCTGGACGGACCAGGCGGAGCAGTCCTTCAGGAGACTTAAGAGCCTCTTCGCGTCCGAAGACCAGCTGCTACACGTGAATCCCGGCAGGCCCATGCGGGTTGAGACTGACGCATCTGACAGAGCAGTGGGGCCGTCCTCTTGCAGGAAGATCCGCAAGGGAACTGGAGGCCCTGCGCTTTCTATTCCCGGAAGCTCAGCAAGTCGGAACAGAACTACACCATCTGGGACAGGGAGTTGTTGGCCATCCACGCGGCTTTCAAGGCGTGGCGGCACTTCCTCATCGGAGCCAAGCACACCGTGCAGGTCCGCACGGACCACAAGAACCTAGAGTATTGGCGCACGGCGAAGCTCCAGAGCCAGAGGCACATGAGATGGGCGGAGTTCTTTGCGGATTTCGATTTCCGGATAGAGTATATCCCGGGAGACAACAACGTCATAGCGGATGCGCTCTCCAGGAAACCGCAGTATCTCGAGGAAGCGGCACCAGTGGCAGCCAGGCACATTTTCGCACCGCAAGCGTGGGCGTGCGCTTCCGCCGCCGTGGACCTGGACGCGGTACGACGCGCGCTACAGACGGATCCGTTCGCACAATCCAAGATGGAGGAGGTGCGAAGAGGGACAGCAAAGGACGGCGAATTCCAGATACGCGACGGCCTGCTGACCCGCAAAGGTGCTCTCTACGTGCCGGGAGACGATCTCCGCGCGAAGGTTTTACAGCAGTTACACGACGCACCCAGCGCGGGTCACTTCGGCAAAGAAAAGACGGCGGACTTAGTAGCCAGAGACTTTTGGTGGCCCCAGATGCGGGGAGAGGTCGCGGATTACGTCGCCAGGTGTGACACTTGTCAGAGGTCCAAGCCAGTGCACAAGAAGCCAGCGGGATTGCTGGAACCGCTGGAGACGCCACTACAGCCGTGGGAAAGGGTGGCGCTGGACTTTGTTACTGATCTGCCCAGTTCGCGGGGCAAGACGGCGGTGCTTGTGGTTGTAGATCTGTTCACCAAGATGGCGCACTTCATTCCTTGCGCGAAGGTGGCAACAGCGGAACAGACCGCCAAGCTGTTCATAGACCACGTGTTCCGGGTGCACGGCTTACCGCGGTCCATCCTGTCCGACCGGGGTCGCCAATTCATTTCCAGTTTCTGGCAGAAGCTCCTGGGCATCCTGAATGTCAAGATCAACTTAGCGTCGGCGAGACACCCGCAAACCAACGGCCAAGCGGAGAGGGTCAACGCCATCATGCAGCAGTACCTGCGATGTTACGCCAATCAAAAGCCTGCAACTTGGGTGGACTACTTACCGATGGCCGAGTTTGCCTACAACAACACGAAGCACGCGTCAACGGGGGTGACACCGTTCTTCGCCAACAATGGGCGACATCCCAGAACCTTCCCGGCGTTGGAGACAACGACGCAGGGGAGTCGCAGGGAGCTGAGCATTTAGCAGCAGAATTGCAGGAGGTCCACGAGGAGCTACGACGGCACTTGGAACTAGCTAAACACGCCTACAAAGTGCAGGCAGACAGGCACAGGAGGGCAGGAGAAGACATCCAGGTGGGGGACTGGGTATGGTTAGCAGCCCAGGCGGTGCCGGCCAAGTCGTTAGCTAAGAAGAAGCTAGGACACAAACAGCTAGGGCCATACCAAGTTGAGGGCAGGATCAATCCCGTAGCTTTTCGGTTGACCCTCCCAGAAGGTTCCAGAATGCACCCGGTCTTTCATAGGTCGGTGCTTACACCCTACAAGGCCCCACACAGATTTCAGGAGCCAGGGACGGCACCAGACCCACGTAGAAAGTCACCAGGGGGGGGGAAGTCACCGAGGACCCCGACACTCAACGAGGTCACGGAAATTCTGGACTCGAGATGGGGGGAGGAGGGAGTGGAATACCTCCTCGCCAGGGAAGGTACCCCGGCCAGCGCCAACAGTTGGGTGCCAGATTATGCTCTGGAGGAACCTCTTCTTAAAGACGAGTTCCATGCACTCTTCCCACACAGGCCCATGCCAGCGGAGTATTTTGACGACTGGCTTTTTACGCCCACACTTTCAGGCAGCACCTTCCGCCCCAACACCTCCGCAGAGGAGACCACGCCGGAATCGAGCCCTCCAAGGGGATCGTGCTCGGGGGTGGACACGGACCGCTCTTATTGGTGGGACGATCAACCAGAAGTGGGGTGGCGAAGGGGGCCTTGGCAAGCAGCATCGCCTGAAGTAACAGGGGGAGGGAAGGGTTTGGATGTGTTGGGGAGGACCCCGGTTTCGAGCACTCATACACTGAACTGGAAGCAGAGGAGATCGACGTCGACGAACTGTATCCAGCATCTACCCCCGCTACAACGGAGCTCCCGGAACCTGCGCCCGAGCAGCGGGAGGGGGGAAGGGGGGGCTTCGAGGGGGGGATGGATGTCAGGGGTTCAGGGACAGAGGCACAGGGTAGGCAGGAGATGGAGAGCGATGGGGATGAATCCCAGGACAGCGAGGAAGAGGATGACAATGACTCAAGAGATTCCATGAGTCTTTCCAGCGAATCAGAGGATTCCCAGAAGGGGCGCCGGTGGTCAAGGCCAGGGAGCCCCAGGGGGACGTGTCAGGAGCAGGGGGCCAGCGGGGATCCCAAAGTGGCAGCTGGGCGTCAGGACCAGCCTCCCGCCAGAGTGCAGCGAAGGGGGTGGAGGTTTCAGTGTATCAGGGAAGCGGCTCCGGCAGCAGAGAAGGGAGGGAGGTCGGAGCAAGCCACCCTCCCGGAAGGGGAGGGGAGTAGTGAAGGGAGTAGTGTAGCTGTTAAAAGGAAGGTTAGAGGTTGGGCGCGCGCGCCAAGTTCAAATGTAGAGGCGCGCGGAAGTACAGGGAGCCCGGAGGAGGGGCCAGGTCCCAAAGCCCGCAGGAGGGGGCAAGAGCAGTCTGGGGATTCCGCGTCAGAGGAATCCAGGAGGGGCGAAACCCCAGCGGGCAGAAAGACCCTGCGGAAAAGGAAAGAGAGAAAGAGGTGGAGCAGCGCAAGCCTCTTAAACTGGTGCAGGGGAGGGACTGATTCAGAGGGGACTTCAGCGGTCTAAGCGTAGCAGACGTAGGGCTGCGCGCCTCGGATGTGAAGCAAACAATGAACTGCAATAAACACTTTTGTATATAAGAAGAGATAGGCGTTGGTCTTTTGTGAGCTGAGACTTGAGGCAGCCCTGACAGTAGCAAACATGATATATATAAAGAAAGGGTAAAGGCTCCCCCCACAAACCGTATTTTGCATCGAGGTAAGTCTTTAAAATTCAAGTCGTAACGGCTTTGTAGCTGTTCCAATTTAGCAGTTTGTGATTTTGTCCCATCTATTCCAGCATGTGTCTGTATATTAGTCCTAATTTCACTCCAGTAAAGTGCCTCTGCTTCATTAATGGCTGAGTAGGGAGCTTACCGATGGGCGAAGTGCCCTGGGTCCTGTGGGGAGCTTGCAAGGACAATTACCCTCAAATAATCCTTGTTTATTCTTTGCTAATGGTCTCCGCTACTGTGGGAGCAACATCCATTAAGGCAGACAGGAACCAGAAGTCAGAAGGAAAGGTCTCCTAGACCTTCAATAAAAGATGGCACTGTGCTTAGAATGCAAAACTAGGATTGCAGGAGCCCCAGGTTCAAATCCCTGCTCTGCCACCCAGTTGACTGGATGAATCCTGCCGCCTGCTGAGGCTGAAATAGGGTAGGGAACCATGAAGGGCCCCTGAAGGGTGTGGGAGAAATGCAGCACATAAATATATAATGGTAGTGTGGAAGAGGGAACTGTGGCAGACACCGCCTCTTATTACTGAGCCATGATATGTGATGCTTGCTAAATTTCCCCTCCTCTGGATAAATAAGGTATTCTCATATTCTATATGTCGTTACCCCATCCTTTAAATTGTCTTTGGAAACATTGTTCAGGGTGGCTTGAAAGTACCTGGGGTTAGATACTCACCATTCACACAGGTGATGAGAGAGGCAATGGCTGGCTGAATGGCAGAACCGTTCAAGGCTGGGTACTTGCTGAGAAGGGATGAGGTGGCCTGCAGCAAGTCAGCCAGTCTAACCTCAATTGGGTCTGAGAAGGCATCGCCTGCAAACAAAATAACAGCAGATAAACGTGTATTATTATTTCTATCTCTGATTTTATTGGGTTGTCATAATATAAATAATTTATTATTATTATTATTATTATTATTATTATTATTATTAATAAATAATAAACATTTAATTCATTTATTTTATTGCATAAAATTTATATACCGCTTAATTGTAAAAAAAAGAAAAAAACCTTCAAAGATAAATTTAAAAACACAATACTTTAAAAAGTACTAAAGTTAAAATGCTAAAATATATTCAAATTCACATCAGCATTTCTAAGCATCAGGGTAGGCTTGCCAAAACGAATTCGTCCAGCAGGCATCCAAGAGAATGAAGTACAGGTGTCTGTTTAATAGCAACAGGCAGGGAGTTCCACAATGGAGGAGCTGCCACACTAAATGAGCAAGTTCTTATCAAGGCAAAGAGGATTCGTAGGTACCTGTAGTGGTGTCAATTCCGCTGATGGAAGCAGTTGAGGGGGCACATTTGGGGGAAGGCAAACTCGTAGGCAAACGGGTCCCAAGTTGTTAAGGGCTTTGCATGCAACACCTTGAACCTGACTTGGTGGCAGATGGGCACAGGCATCCTGTGCGGACGAGGCCTCACTGCTTGACATTGAGAGTCTCAGGCTCTGCCTACTGAGCTGTCCCGTCCTTGTTCAATATTAAATCAATGCATAACCGTTGTTGTCTTTTCCCTTTCTTTACTGTGTTCCTTGTAGTAGAAATGGCTTTGTATAGTGCTTTTTCTTTTTAGGTGCAACAGCCATGCAAGGGTGAGGCTGGGATTGAAGAACGCATGTCTGTTGCATCCTTCTCATGCCACCCTGCCAGCCCTGAGCTGCTTTGTGAGGCTGGGTTCTGATCTGAATGACTCACACAACGAATCATTCAGATCAGATCCCAGCCTTGCAAAGTGGCAAAGGACTGGTAAGGCAAGATGAGAGAGCCAAACGCACAGTTCCCCCTCAAAAAATGCACCCAGGGCCATCAGCCTGGCAGCGTCCCCCCCTGCTGGCACTGTGCCCCTGACTTCTGATAGAGGAAGAGGCATTCCTCCAGGTATCTTAGTCCCAAACATGGGTGTAGCCAGGGGGGGGCAGGTGCCCCTCCTAAATCAAGTAAATAAATAAAAAAATACTTAACTAACTGACCAATTGCATCACAGATTACTCGGTTTTGCCCCCCCAACAAAGAAACACCCCCCAAAAAATAAATCCTGGCTATGTCCGTGGTCCCAAGTAACTTAAGACTTTAAAGATATGCACCAGCACATTGAATCTCACAGAGGGGCATTAAGCTGCTTTCACTTTTCACGCCACATTTGTGTGTGTGTGTGGACCACCATCAGCAAAGGGAGATTGTCTCCTCTGCACAATATTCTCTGCACTTGGAACTTTACAATGGATTGCCTCCCACACTGCAGAAGCAGAATTCCACTCAGGCAACAGGACTTTCTGTTCTGCCCGTGCTTCCTCAAAATCTACCCTGGAGGATCTCTTAGGGTTGCCATATGTCAGGAATTTCCCAGACATACCCAGGATTCGGTTGTTGGGAACAGCATCTAGGTGGAAATTGCTGCTATGTCCAGGAAAATCTGGACGTATGGCAACCCATATCGGAAGTGGCAATTTTGCCTAAAAATGAATTAGCCTAAACTAAGATTTTGAGGGTGCATGGGCGGGGCCTGGAGGTGAGATGAGTGGGAATCTGCTGCATGAGTGGAGGAACAGCGTTGGCTACAACTCACTCTCTTTGTGAATTTGTGGTTTCCAGATGTCTGCTGGCCAAGATAACATGAATGCAGTGGGACAATTGTTGGGGAAGGAACCAGGACAAAGGGGTCCTCAATCATTTCCAAACCCAGAGATTATGGGAGACAAAACAGCCTTGGGATATTTCCAAGAGAGAATAGTTGGGGAGGAGAAACTAATCTCACAGCCTAACCCTCGGAAATATGCCGCATTGTGGTCAGTGGGTCTTACTTTCAGCTAGATGTGCATTAGATTACAGCCATAGAGATAATCCAACCAGGACACTGTAAAATGGCAAACCAAAGGCAGCTCAATGCAAAATAGGGGCTGCCCACAGATAGGCATGCAAATCATGGGATCTCCACAGCCATTTCCTCCTGGCCCCACATCTTCCTAGCAATATATGGGGATCTTGGTCAGTGGTGCCACAGTCTTATGCAAAGTCAGAATGCAGCCCCATGTGCATTACACAAGGTTTGCAACTACTATGTGTACAAAGTAGGAATGAGTCAAGTCAAAGGTCAGATATTGCTTAAGTTTGTGGTCAGGAGGACAGAATCTGAGCCTGCTATTTAGTCTTTAAACTAGAAATGCCAGCAACAACAAAAAACCTGGCTGTTTGGACTTCTGGACACATTAAGCAGAGGTTCTACTATTGAACTATGATCTTCCTTTGCAGATAAATATGATAAGTGTGGATGTAATCCAGCCTCCACACTTTAAAGCTGTGCTCAATTTGGCTCTGGATGTTCAGCCCAACTTAACAGGATGCTGGTTGAAGAGGATGCAAATTTGGTTAGTCTGAAAACAGGGTTCGCTGTTGCTGAGCGCCATCTGGTGACTTTTCTCACAGGCTGCACAATGGGGCAAACGCCAGCCGCCTTGGTCCTAACCAAAGGAGGCATTTGAGAATGCACTTCTCTGTCAAAGCAGAAATACATAAATTGTTGGAAATTTATGTCACGGAAATAGCTAGGGCCCTCCATGTCTATTTAGGGTATCAATGTACTATACCAAGCACCTACCGACTCACTCATGCCTGCCATTTGCATTGGGGCAGCAGCAGGTGAGCTCCTGTTCACTCTCATGCACTCTGGATCAGAACTGCAGCAGGAGCAAAGGGTTGAAGCTCACACCAGGGTCCTGATTTGAATTGGGGTGGGAGGTGGGAATCATGCTTGCAATGCATTTTGAAAAAGTCATTCACACAATTGCTGGTTGCGTGAATGGTGTCCTGTTTAGCCTGGCCCTCGTGCGGGTTGCTGCTGGTGTTCAGCTGCAGCTTAGTATAATGATGTTTGTTGCAAAGATTGCATTGTGACTAAAGCAGTTCCTGGTTGACTGTGGAGCTTCTGATGAGGCATAGAGGCAGCAACCTATTATAACAGGCAGTGCTGTAGTTACAGGAGTGAGGACTAGCTGGAAGCTTTCAGAGGGGCACCATTGAGGTTCCACGGCTGTGTGTGTGTGTGTGTGTGTGCGCGCGCACGCGCATGCAAATGTGCACGGGTGTGTGTACCAAACGGCCTATGATCCAAGTGAAATAAAGCCTAGTTTCACCCCTGCATATTTAGACAAGGCTTTTCTGTCTTATGACCATTTCCTGAGTGTTAATGATCTGAGGTTGCAATCACTTACTTAATTGCTTCTTACCTGGGAGAAAATTCCATTACAGGACTTACTTCTGAGTAGACCTGCATAGGACTGCACTGTTAAAGTCTGGCGCTCAGGGAACATGGTGTTTTGGATTTCTCCCAGCACAAAGATTATGACTCTGTGAAGAGTTGTTGGGGGGGGGGGAGCAGCAAACTTGTGCCACAAGAACCACTTGCCTCTTGTACTGATTTGGGAATAATTCAACATGCCTTGAACAGTCCTGGCTGGGGTTCCTACCTGAATAAAATATGGGATCAACATAATTGATCACAAGATGTGGCGCACAAACACCATTTGAATGGCAATGCCCTTTGGGGGGAGGACTAGCCCCTCAAATATTTTATTGGGGTACTGAAGGGACCTTGGCCTCTGGGAGTTGGCTAAATATACCTTCAGTAAGTGGTTGCCCTCATTAGAGTCCCACCATAAGCTCAACAATCAATCTGTAAACACTTTTGTAGTGATCTTTGCCAATACTGCCTTAGTATATTTTGTTGCCTAAGGGGAAAGATTCAAATGACACCCTTGACCCATTAATGAACATGGGGCACAATCCCAAAGAAGGTTACTTTTCAACAAACAATTTAAATCAATGGGGTGTCAGTGGCCGCAAGAGAGTAAAAATGAACAACAGTTGGCAGTGCTAATTCCTGGAATTCCTAGGCTAGGATTCAGGCATTAGAAGATGGGAGTTATACAGCAGTTGGCCGCAACCCAATGCTCAGTTAAGTGCATTTAAGCCTATAGATTTTCATTGAATTAACTGCACTTAAGTTTGCATTAAAAGGGACGCGGGTGGCGCTGTGGGTAAAACCTCAGTGCCTAGGGCTTGCCGATCGCATGGTCGGCGGTTTGAATCCCCGCGGTGGGGTGAGCTCCCGTCTTTCGGTCCCAGCTCCTGCCCACCTAGCAGTTCGAAAGCACCCTTAAGTGCAAGTAGATAAATAGGTACCGCTTTATAGCGGGAAGGTAACTGGCGTTTCCGTGTGCTCGCCAGAGCAGCTTCGTCATGCTGGCCACGTGACCCGGAAGTCTCCGGACAGCGCTGGCCCCCGGCCTCTTAAGTGAGATGGGCGCACAACCCTAGAGTCGGACACGACTGGCCCGTACGGGCAGGGGTACCTTTACCTTTTACCTTTTAAGTTTGCATTGGCTTGCAGTGTAATAAATTTTTTAGCTGTTTTAACTAGACTTCATTCAAGAGAATATCTTGAGAGTATGTTCTAACAACTGGTTACCACCCTTCAGAAATAGGGCAGGACAGCCACTTTAATTAATTATTATTATACATTAATACAGATAATTCAGAAGTCTCACATCTTTTCTGCATTCTGATAAATGTTCAGGGGTGTGAATAATTCTTGTGCTTGACTTTAAAAACAAACAAATTAGTATTAACTAGAGTCAGCATGCTGGCCATGGGTATAGTGTTTAGCTTGATTGTGAGGACCAAATATTAAAATCTTGTACTGCATCAGCCACTACTGGTTAAAATGCATTTTCTAAAAGTTTAAATTTATAAAAGATATGAGAGAAAGTACTCATTGAAGATATATTTCCTTATGTATATTACCCTAGAGTGGAAGGTTAATAGGTGACTGACTAATCAATGTAAATACAAAAAAATGCATTTTGAGTGGGATTGCTGCATAGTTCAGTTTCTGGACCCAAATTTTGCACACTGTTTCCACCATCACTTCTCAGGCACTGTCCCCAGACTCAGCCCTGGCACACCTGTCCCTGGAGCCTGGTGCCAACTCACCAATCCATCACACACAAATCTCTTGAGTTTATGCTTATTGCCGCAGTCAGAATGTCAGTGGCTTCCCATTGGAAATCGGACTCACCTCCTTCCTAAGAGTAGCTAGTGAATGGGACATTGCGCTGTCAGAACACCTGACACACAAGCAGAGTCCTAAGTGGTTCATCAAAAATAGACCACTTTTATCCAACTTAGTTTTTCTCCTATGTTAATTGATCCACTAAACCCCCTGCTCCACAGATTACTATGTGGAGAGGCTTTATTGAGAACTAATTTGATTCACCTTTTTCTTCTTATATGTAATAATTGTATATGGCATTGCATTTTCAGTTGTCTCCTGGTTTCCCCCTCCCCTCTGTATTTTCATTTCATTTTTCTATTTTTATTTTGTACATTCATTATTTTTACTGCATTTTGTATGTGCTTGTTGGAAACCATTCTATATGAAAAAATGACCATAATAATAATTAACAGATTGCCTCTACTAAACGTAACAGTTTTTAAAATAAAAAACCATATATTCCTCAAAAAATGTATTTTGAGATGAATGTTTGAGAACAAAGTCTGAAGATTCACTGCAGAAATGGAACAGAACCAGAAGTAAAAAAATCATGCAGAAAACGGCAGAGAAGGGAGGCAAATTCACCCCTCCCAAGCTTAGCTAACTCCCCAGGGTTGTTGTGAGCCCATGATGCCCTTCCAAGTTACTTGGAGGAAGTGTGAGATGACTCACAAATAAATAAAATGCTTCCAATACTTGCCATCTTGCTGGAAAAGTTCCCGGAAATGCTGGAACTGTTTGTCCATTTCTCTGAGATGCGTAGTGACCTGAAGCAGCTGGTTGGGGCAGAGAGTCACACATCCCATGCCTTCCCCAGAGGTATCCACCTGCACAGAAGCCCAAACAGCATTCAGGAAACCTGAATCACTGGCTAAGAGCCCATTGCCCAGTGGTGACTGGCTGCCATTGCAAGGGCAGGTGGAATCATTGTGGTCCCTGGCCTTATTCATGTTCATCCCTCGGAGCTTGGACACAGATGACAAGTACCACAAGCACAACTGCCTTTGGTACTAGAGATTCCCCGTCACGTGCCTCCCTTGAACACCCTTGAACAGCCCACAGGCTTCAGCATTTGTTGTAAGACCCCCAACTATTTCCTAGGCATCCATGGTCCTCATCCGTGAATTGTCCTCAGATTCTGAAGGCACACGACTGCTCTTTTCCAAGGGCTCAGCGGTTCTCCCAGTGATTCAGAGTTCTTCAAGTGGGGCTGTTGCGAAGATGTCATGACTGGGAGGGGAGTTCCAGAGGCATTGATTGGGAACAGTTAAGGCACAGGTGCCTTAGAATAGTCATAGAATCATGCCTTGGCATAGTCTTCAAATGAAAGGTCCAGTCTGACAGTTCTGTGGAACACACACCCAACACCAGAGAAGGCCCTTCATTTCCCAGAGACAGATATTCATTCCCCTCTTGAAAATGGCAGGAGCGAAATGGTTTTCCTTTCTTTCTTCTTGGAGAGCTCTGTCAGATTCTCGAGCTAAGGTGTGCCCTAGATTGAGGAATGAGGTCAGGAGAAACGAGTCTCATTCGCTGTTGGCCTCATCACACAAGAGCATGTACTAAAGTCATTGCCTGAAAGCTGTACCCCAGGAGAGTCTTATGTGTCCAGCGGAAGTCTGCGTTTCCTTTCATTTAAACCAGGTCCAAGGACGCCAGACTCAGAAGTGTTGGTACATGTCACATATCTGTGAGGAATCATGGATGAGCCATTTGGCTTACAGGGTGTCAGACAGGGCAGATTTTCCACATTCCATTTGCAGGAGTGATGACATTGGAGGCTTCCTGGAGTGTCTCTGCCCAACACGGGAGGAAGCAATCCTCCCACCTTTCTCTCTTTTATTAACCATTTCCTACCTGAAGGCCTTGTATATGTTTTCTAGGGAGTCCGATTCAAAGCCCCAAGAGGTGGAACATGAGCCTTCTCAACGAACGGAGGGTAATGGCATAGGGTTGCCTATTTCCACCCACCAGCCCTAAAGGCCCTATTCCTGTACCTTTAAAAGCAGCCTAGCAAGTAGAAATTTAATGTGGCAGAGAAAAAAGTGAAGTGCCTAAGACAAGATGGAAGTTGTGAATTAGGTAATCCCCTAGTTGAAATCAGCTTCAGGCCCTGTATCTCCAATATGGGGATAATAGTACTGGCTTGCCTTACAAGGTTGTAATAATTTTTGTGGATATATGTAAAGCACTTTGAACATTCTCAGGTACTAAGAAAATATTATGAATGCCAGTGTTTAAAGCTACACTAATAATACAAATGCTACTTTTCAGTATCTATAATCTTTGAGAATTCTTGGAGAACAGGTGAGGTTACCTGCGGACTGGAGTTGGGCAAATCTTGTCCCCTTCAAAAAGGTGGAAAAAGAAGACTCAAGTAACTACTGACATACCAGTCAGTAATCAAAGGTCCTAAAACAGATAATTCAACAGTCGGTCTGTGAGCACCTAGAAAAGGATGCTGTGATTACTAAAACCCAGCATGGTCTTAGTGTATCTTAATAATAATAATAAATTTTTATTTATACCCTGCCCTCCCCAGCCAAGACCGGGCTCAGGGCGGCTAACAACCAATAATAAAAACAAGTAGATTAAAATACAAGTTAAAAGATTAAGATACAACATTAAACATTAGGGTGCAATCTCTTCATAGGAGGAGAAAGGAAAAAGGAAGAGGGGGAGGGAATCAAACTGATTCTAAGCCAAAGGCCAGGCAGAACAACTCTGTCTTACAGGCCCTGCGGAAAGAAATCAGATCCCGCAGGACCCTGGTCTCAAGGGACAGAGCATTCCACCAGGCTGGAGCCAGTGCTGAGAAGGCCCTGGCTCTGGTTGAGGCTAATCTAACTTCCTTGGAGCCCGGGACCTCTAGGGTGTTGCTAAATATGGACCTTAAGGTCCTCCGTGGGGCATACCAGGAGAGGCAGTCCCGTAGGTATGAGGGTCCTAGGCCGTGAAGGGCTTTAAAGGTCAAAACCAGCACCTTAAATCTAACCCTGTACTCCACCAGGAGCCAATGCAGCTGGAAAAGCACTGGGTGAATATGCTGCCATGGCAGAGACCCTGTGCGGAGCCTCGCTGCAGCATTCTGCACCCGCTGGAGTTTCTGGGACAGCTTCAAGGGCAGCCCCGCGTAGAGCGAATTACAGTAGTCAAGCCTGGAGGTGACCATCGCATGGATCGCTGTGGCCAGGTTGGGGCGGGAAAGGTAAGGGACCAACTGCTTGATACGGCGAAGGTGGGAAAATGTCGACTTGGCTGTTGTAACCTGCGCCTCCATGGAAAGGGAGACATCAAGGATTACACCCAAACTCTTAACAGAAGGCAATGGCACTAATTGGGCCCCCGCAAGAGAAGGGAGTTGGTCCCTCATCCCCATACCATCCCGACCCAGCCAGAGGACCTCTGTCTTTGAAGGATTTAGTTTCAGTCGGCTCCCACGAAACCATCCAGCCACAGCTTCCAAACATCTGGTCAGTGTGTCAGGGATCGAGTCGGTATGGCCATCCATCAGCAGATAGAGCTGAGTGTCATCAGCATATTGGTGACAACCCAGTCCAAAGCTCTGGATAATGTGGGCAAGGGGGTGCATAAAGATGTTAAAAAGCATCGGGGAGAGGATTGTGCCCTGCGGCACTCCACACACCAAGGGGTGGTGTGATGACATCTCCCTCCCTAGTGCCACCCTCTGCCCCCGACCAGAGATAAAAGAGCACAGCCATTTACGGACTATGCCCTGTATCCCCCCATCGGCGAGGCGGTGGTCCAAAAGATCATGATCGACCATATCGAAGGCTGCTGACAAATCTAAGAGAATCAGCAGTCCCTACCCGCCTCGATCCAGTTGTCTGCGGAGATCATCTGTTAGGGCAACCAGAGCTGCCTCGGTCCCAAAACCAGGATGGAATCCGGACTGAAATGGATCTAAAGCCAATGTTTCCTCCAGAATCCTACCAAGCTGTTCAGCAACTGCTCTCTCAATTACCTTACCCAGATATGGGAGATTTGAAACTGGGTGGTAATTGGATAGATCTAAAGAATCATAGAATCATAGAGTTGGAAGAGACCACAAGGGCCATCGAGTCCAACCCCCTGCCAAGCAGGAAACACCATCAGAGCACTCCTGACATATGGTTGTCAAGCCTCTGCTTAAAGACCTCCAAAGAAGGAGACTCCTCCACACTCCTTGGCAGCAAATTCCACTGTCGAACAGCTCTTACTGTCAGGAAGTTCTTCCTAAGGTTTAGGTGGAATCTTCTTTCTTGTAGTTTGGATCCATTGCTCCGTGTCCGCTTCTCTGGAGCAGCAGAAAACAACCTTTCTCCCTCCTCTATGTGACATCCTTTTATATATTTGAACATGGCTATCATATCACCCCTTAACCTCCTCTTCTCCAGGCTAAACATGCCCAGCTCCCTTAGCCGTTCCTCATAAGGCATCGTTTCCAGGCCTTTGACCATTTTGGTTGCCCTCCTCTGGACACGTTCCAGTTTGTCAGTGTCCTTCTTGAACTGTGGTGCCCAGAACTGGACACAGTACTCCAGGTGAGGTCTGACCAGAGCAGAATACAGTGGCACTATTACTTCCCTTGATCTAGATGCTATACTCCTATTGATGCAGCCCAGAATTGCATTGGCTTTTTTAGCTGCCGCGTCACACTGTTGGTTCATGTCAAGTTTGTGGTCAACCAAGACTCCTAGATCCTTTTCACATGTACTGCTCTCAAGCCAGGTGTCACCCATCTTGTATTTGTGCCTCTCATTTATTTTGCCCAAGTGCAATACTTTACATTTCTCCCTGTTAAAATTCATCTTGTTTGTTTTGGCCCAGTTCTCTAATCTGTCAAGTTTGTTTTGAAGTGTGATCCTGTCCTCTGGGGTGTTAGCCACCCCTCCCAGTTTGGTGTCATCTGCAAATTTGATCAGGATGCCCTTGAGTCCATCATCCAAGTCGTTGATAAAGATGTTGAATAAGACCGGGCCCAAGACAGAACCCTGTGGCACCCCACTAGTCACTCTTCTCCAGGATGAAGAGGAACCATTGATCTAGTAAAGGATCTAGTGAAGTTTTATTTAAGAGCGGACACACCATTGCTTCCTTCAGCTCCCCTGGGAATATCCCCGTGCCAAGGGACAAATTGATAATTTCAACCAGGGGGGCCCACGTAATATCTGGGCACGCCCTAATCAGCCAAGACGGGCACGGATCAAGGAGGCAGGTGGTGGGCCTACCAGCTTGGAGGAGTCTATCAGGGAGTATCCGATCGAAATGGTCTAACACTGGACCCAAAGACAGTCAAGGGGCCTCCAGTTCTGTCACTGTATCTAAATTGGCAGGGAGGTCACAGAGGAGCAACAGGACTTTCTCCGCAAAAAAGCTCGCAAATGCCTCACAGCTGTGGGTCAAATGCATTTACTGACAGCAGTTCTCCAAGGTTCTCCAAGGTTCAAGACACTCCCAGCCGTGCCTGGAGATGCCAGGGATTGAACCCAGGAGCATCTGCATGCAAAGCACAGTTACATAATTTTGTCACAACAGACAGTGAGATGATTATCATAGTATTTGGTGGAAGATGAACTGCAGTGGAATGGATCCGGTGCTGCATGTCACAAACACAGGGCGAAATAGAAAATGATGCCTTCTTACATCGCTCTGTCACAAGAGACTAGGGCCCTGCGGGACCTGACATCTTTCCGCAGGGCCTGCAAGACAGAGCTGTTCCACCAGGCCTTTGGTCAGGGCGCAGCCTGACCCCCTCCTCTGGCAATCTGCACAGAATTTTGCTTAATGGTTGCCATCAATTTGATTTTAATTAATTTTATAATGAATGTTTTTAGAATGCTGGATTATTTTGATTGTTGTTAGCCGCCCTGAGCCCAGCTTCGGCTGGGGAGGGCGGGATATAAATAAAATGTATTATTATTTATTTATTATTGTTATTATTCTTAAAGTGTTCCTTTAAAAAAGATTTAGTGAGTTCACCATTCTTAGTTTATACACTTCTTAGTATGCCCTCACTCCTTAGTCATCTTCTTTCTCTACCAACCAACAGTTGCAAACAACTTAGTGTCCCCTGTACCTGGTTCAGGAAAGCAAGAGAGAAATTGTCATAATAAATTAATAAAAACACATTCTTGTAATGAGGATCTGCACATGTCTGTGTGTGGTGCAACACAGAGCACAATGGCAAATCACATGTCTTCTTCCATGAGCTATCAGAGGAAAGCCAGAGCGGAGTCATAGGTTGGCAGACGCCATGCATCTCAAGCAATACTTTTCCCAACGTGGAACCCCCCAGAAGACTTTCTGGTCTACAACTGCCATCAGCCCAAACCCGCAGGGCCAATGGTCAGGGATGATGGGAAGTGTGGTCTGGTTACAACTAGACCAAATAAGGCATGATGTTTGCCACATAGTTCATCCTTGCACAGCTGCTTTGGTTTTAACAGCCAGCGTACGGAAAGGGGCCAAGTCAGAATAGAACCCTGGCAGGGGATGACCAGGGCTTTAGAACTTTGCTTCTGCTCTGATCCCAGTTGGAATAGGAATACTCCCCACACTCCACCTGCTATTTACTGAGGAATTAAAGCTCAGAAACAAAACTAAACCACTGATCTTTCTCTTTTCATAAGCAGTGTATGTTTGAAAATGTTCCCTTCTCCTTTTTAAGCCTTATTTGGTGATGCCGTATTTTGTTTGTGCACTTATCTATCATTTTTTATTTTTAAAGTTTATATACCACCCACTCAGCTTCAAAGTCATTTAGGAGAATCGTAATTTCAAACAGCACCACAATAAGACAAAAGCTACAAAATTAGCAGTCGACCAATGACACAGTAGAAAATAAAACCTGACAAAGCAATGCCTGTTGAAAGCCATGGTATGTTTTTTACAGATTGATAAGAAGAACCTGAAGTTTCTAGTATGAATGTGTTCCACAAGGAAAATGCTACCACACAGAAGGCCTTGCACCAAGTGAATGTTAATTTGGGTTTACAGTAGTTATTGTCTGAGCCTAAAGCAAGTTGTAACAGAATATTCCAGTGATGGAACAGGGAGAGCCATATGAAAGCAGACACTACTGTATATAGTGAGCAAAAAAAAAGCACATCTGCATACGTTTTTTTAAATTTATGCATTGATAACTTCTGTATTGGACTACTGTAATGCGCTCTGTGTAGCGCTGCCTTTGAATCATTGAAGTTTTATTATAATTAAGTGGTATATAAATGTTAGGAAATAGGGACACGGGTGGCGCTGTGGGTAAAACCTCAGCGCCTAGGACTTGCCAATCACATGGTCGGCGGTTCGAATCCCCGCGGCAGGGTGAGTTCCCGTCGTTCGGTCCCAGCTCCTGCCCACCTAGCAGTTCGAAAGCACCCTTAAGTGCAAGTAGATAAATAGGTGCCACTTTATAGTGGGAAGGTAAACGGCGTTCCATGTGCTGCTCTGGTGCCGGTTTGCCAGAGCAGCTTCGTCACGCTGGCCATGTGACCCGGAAGTGTCTGCGGACAGCGCTGGCTCCCGGCCTCTAGAGTGAGATGAGCGCACAACCCTAGAGTATGTCAAGACTGGCCCGTATGGGCAGGGGTACCTTTACCTTTTAAATGTTAGGAAATAAATAAAAGACAGTTCAGAAACTGCAACACCTGTCCCCCAAATCCTGCACTGGTTGCCTATTTGCATCCAATACCAATTCAAGGTGCTTATGTTCATGTACAAAACCCTACATCATTTCCCTGATAACTGAAGGAGCACCTGTAAGATCAACAGAGGAGGCTTTTCTGGTGGAGCTGGCACCCCTTAAAACTCACAGGGCAGTGGCACATAGGAAGGCTTTCTCTGCGGTTCCCTGCCCATTTAGGGACTCCCTCCCCTTGGAGGTGCATCTGGCACCACCATTGTACTTCTTTTGCCGATGAGTCAAGATACACCTCTTCGTCCAGGCTTTCGGGAGCAAATGAGTCATTTTTGACTGAGTAGTTCTGCTGCTTCTACACAGTACTGTAATCCCTATGTTGCTTTAATTATGGTTTTAAGTGATATTTTACTGACATTTAATATGTTGCATTGAATGTACGCACATCCTGGCACGCTGCAGTCAAGGGAGGGTAGCAAATTCAAGCAAACAAATCCACATGGGCGTCTTCTGCTATTCAAGTGGAAGGGGCAAATGCTAGACACAGTTCCCAGGAGCCACTGAAAATCTGCATGAACAACCCTCACCCACCAGACTCCTACATTCTATGCCACACACTTTCATGACTATCTTCACAGTCATAAAGGCTAGATTTTTTTTTTTTAAGAAAAGTAAAAGGCACTTAGATTTTCAGAAGCCTGAAATCTGTGCTCAGTAACAATTTCTGTGCTTGTAGGTAACAATCATTATCCTGCACACAGGCCATGGGTTGGGAAGAGTTAAGCTCACCTACAACAAAGCTACCATGGGAAGAAATGTCCTGTCAGGAGAACACTTCTTCTTCGTTGTTATCTTTGCTTCCCTTTCTGCTTTTGTTGCTTGCAAGCTTGTATTTGAGCCGGCGGATGGGATCCATGATGCTCCTCAGAGCAACGTTGTCAAAGTCCTGGGCCAGGAGGAAGTTCCTCTCCACCAGGTCAGCTGCCTCCTGCCAGTTCCTGAAGCAAGCAGGGCCCACCTGCTTAATCTCCTCCACTGCGTTTGCAGCAATGACTTCTCCGTTTGGTTTCAACACCACCACCACTGGGGGGTTTGTCACAGAAAATCTCAATTCCAGTTCCCTGGAAGTTAATACAGAAAGAGAGATGAAGCTCCAAGGTTTTGAATGAAAGTTTGAAGTCTGGAAAACAATGGGTTTTGCTTGTTATTTAGTTAGTTAGTTTCGAAACCGAATTGCTTGCATGATGATTGCTCATTTCCTTTGCCCAGCTACTAACTCTGAGCATATCTGCACATTATATATCATGGGGATGCCACCAAAAACCTCTGTGTCAAGTTCTTTCCCCCTGCAACATATAGGGACTTCCGGGTTGGCGCCAGCGGTAATGGCGAAATTCCTCTGATCGGGAGGAATTTGCCCCGTGGGAATTTGGGTCTGGCCGCCACGGCGAAGGCGGAGACCCACAAAAAATCACAGGCGGGAGAAGCCTGTGAACGTGGAATTCGGCGGGCACCCTTTGTGCCTCCCCTACTCGCGGGGAACCCGGTTTCGGGGGTCCGGAGCGACGTGGGGTGAGTGGTGCGGTGCTTCGAATCGTCTGCTTCTTCCACGGAGCGAAGCCGCATAGCTGTTGCCGGAGAGCGCTGACTTTTTCCTGTGGACAATTTGACTCTAAAGTAATTACCCGTGAGTAGAGCTGAAGCGGGAGAATTGGATTTTTAAACGTATAATTTGGTATCGAAACGGGGAGGTTCAATACAGTCCGCCTTCCCCTTTTGTAAATAGACTGAAGCAATGAGGCTGCAAGCTGAAGCCTTGGAAAGCCTTTTGTAAAAGACTAAACTTTCATCGGTAAAGAACATTTAACCCCCCCTTGGAGGCAGGAGAAGAGGGGGGGAAGTTGTGGACTGAGTATGCCTGCAGGAGAGAGTGAAGAGAGCTAGAATACCACCGCTCTGACCCTGGAAACGGGCTGCTAGTAGGACTGACGTATTTTGGAATGTCCATTGACAGCGTTTAGAACATTCACTGACAGCTAGCTAAATAAGAGAAATACATTGTTTCTACTGTCTCCGGCTGTTTCTAAAAAGGAGTAAAAGTAACTGAAAACTGAAACTAACTTTGGATTGTTTGAGCTGTGTTCAAAAGAGGACATTAGTGACTAATATAAAATAATATAAATAGAAACTGTTTTCCCCTAGTGGAAGTCTTTGAAACTGGTTGCTTTACAAGAGTTGGGCTAGGGGAATTTCCAGCTGCAAGATAAAAAATTGTGAGACTCTGGGACTGACCTTGAATCTTTTTCCTGTGACAATTTGGCTAAGAAACAACTACCCGTGAGTAGGTTAAGACCGAAGATCGGGGGACTTAAGGAAAAAAGGGCTAATTTGGTACCGAAGCGGGAAGGTGTAAACAGGAAGTCCGCCTTCCTTTATGTAAACAGATCAAAGCAAAGACTGTCAAAAGCAAAGAGCTTGAAACTGCGTTGAAAAAGACGTAAATCCTACATCAATAAAAAGAGAACTCCCTCCCTGTGGTGCGGGAGAGGGGAGGAGGAAGGGGAAGCAAGTTTTGCCCGCAAAAGAAGAGAGAAAGGGAACTAAGACCATCACTTAATGCCTGGGAACGGACTGTCAAGGGACATTGATATTGCCGTAGTGGGAAACGCGCTGTCAAAAGACAATGTAACTTTCTGACATCTAGCTCTGCAAGAGGGATACTTTGACTTTGAAAAGTCCCACTGGACTTGAAACTGTTGCCATTTGCGGCTAAGGGGGGATCTTTGAAAGCTGGAATAGCTACCTTATTGTTACAATTTGGAACTGCTACTGTGTCCCCCTACAGGAACTTTGAAATTGCTACAACTGGCAGGGGAATTTTCCACTTTAAATTGGCTATACTAAAGGGGAATTTTCCACCACAAACAAACAAGCATGGGGACGACCTTGACTCTTAGATAAAGTGTTATGGCAGACTTGACTCAGGAAAAAAAAAACAAGATCTGGCAAAATTAGACAGCAGCAGCGTAGACCGTCAGCACCCAGCCTTCCGGCCCCACCAGGGGAAGATTTAGCCCAGGTGGCCTCCAAAGGAATGGCAGCTGAAGGGGGCTTATCTTCAGCCCTAGATAAAATTTTTGAATCTTTGGAAAAGTTGAGTAAACAAGTGGCTGAAGCGACAACTAAAATTGATCAAAATACAACAAGCATTAATAACTTGGGGCAGAAGGTGAATTCAAATACAGAATCTATTGAGAAACTGCTGCAGGAATCTACTTTGAATCGAAAAACAGCTGAAGAGGCCAAGCAGAAAGCATTGGCTGTAGAGGAAAAGATAGAGGAAAAGATTCCACCGATATGCAAGCAGCTGGAGGACCATAAGTCATTGCTGTCTATGATCGAATTGAAAGAAAAACAGACAAATCTAAGGGTCAGGGCTGTACCTGAACTTAAGATAACCTGAGTGACTTTCTTACGCAGGAACTTACTGACTTTTGGGATCTAGAACCAGACAAGCCAGATTTCAAGATACTAAGTGCCTTCAGACTTGGAAGAGGGGGGAGAAAGAACAGCGTGAGAGACTGTTTGATTACCCTCCGATCAAGAGAGGAGAGAGACAGAATATTGAGTTTGCACTTCCAGAAGACCTTGGAAATAAAGGGATCAAAAGTGGAGATATTTAAGGATATCCCTAAACATCTCTTGGATCTCAGGTCTAATTACGGAGACTTGGTGGCCCTGCTAAGAGCAAATAGAATCATCTTTAGGTGGGAATTCCCTCAAGGCCTATCTTTCACCTTCAAAGGGAAAAAGTTCAAAATAAGATCAGTGGAACATAAAGAAACATTTCTGAAAGATTACGAAGAAGACTTACAAAAAGAAACTGGAAAAGAGCCGAGAGCTTTAAAACCAGGAATACAGGACATAGTATCACTACCTTTGGGATTGGACAAGTTAGAGAAGGTGATACCACCAACAGAACAAGAGCAATTACTTGGTGCAGTCAGAGGAAAAGAAAAATAAATACACCATGTCTCTGCAACTTTTAAGCTGGAATATTCATGGGTTTAATTCCCCGGAGAAAAGGAAAAAAGTTTTTCATTTATTGAAAAAGGAACAATTGGACTTGATTTGTTTGCAGGAAACACATGTGATAAGGCTCCACAGGAAAGTATTGATTAATAAAAGATTGGGCCAGGAGTTTATTTCATCGGACAATGTTAAAAAGAGAGGAGTTGTAATTTGTGCGAAAGAGAGCCTATCGCCTAAATTTATCTTTAAAGATGACCAAGGAAGATATGTGGCAATTGAAATTCAAACACAAGGAGAAAAATTTCTGATAGTAGGAGTATACGCTCCAAATGAGGGGAAATCTGAATTTTACAAGAAGTTGCATGAGACACTGTTGGACTATATGGATTACAACATTATAATGATGGGAGACATGAACGGAGTGGTATCCACAAACATGGACAAGTCGCAGAGACAGGTAGTTACCAAATATGGCAGACTACCAAAAACCTTCTTTGAGATGACTGACAATATGGACTTGACTGACATTTGGAGAATAAAGAACCCCCTGGCTAGGGAGGGAACCTTCTTCTCTGAAGCCAAAATGACATGGACAAGAATTGACCAAATTTGGATTACTAGAGGACTGGCACCTAAGACTTGAAAAGTGGAAATTTGCCCTAAAATCTGCTCCGACCATAATGCTGTGAAAATGGAGATGAAACTAACACCTACCGGCTCCTTCAGATGGAGGATGAATGACACCCTGTTTAGAGATCAAGAAATTACCAAGAAGGCCCAAAAAAACTTGAGAGATTACTTTGAGATAAATATGAACACCACCATTGAAAAAAGAGTAATCTGGGACGCAAGTAAAGCAGTTATGAGAGGGTTTCTAATTCAACAGAATGCAATAAAGAAGAGAACTCAAAATGAGAAAAAAGATAAAATTTTGGAAAAATAAAAGAGGGGGAGAAGAAACTGAGAGCGAAACCAAAATCACAAGAGATTCTGAGAGAAATAAAGTTATACCAAGTTCAATATATGAAGATGATGAATCAGGAAATAGAATGGAAAATTAAACAGATGAAACAAAGGACATTTGAATCGGCTAATAAGTGTGGAAAACTGCTAGCTTGGCAAATGAAAAAAAGACAGAAACTTAACACCATTACCAACTTGGAAGTGGAAGGAAAGAACATCTAGAATCCAGTAGAAATTAGAAAATGCTTCCAGAGGTACTTTAAACAGCTATATACACAAGGGCCACAGAAAGAGTGTGATTTAGATAAATTTTTAAAAACAAATGGGCTCCAAAAAATCTCTCAAGAAAATAAGCTAATGTTGAGCTATAAAATAACAGAACAGGAGGTGGAAGGTGCCATCCAGAACATGCAGTTGGGCAAATCTCCAGGGCCAGATGGTTTAACCTCCAAATACTATAGATCTTTGAAGGACTGGATAATTCAACCACTAAAGGAGGTTTGTAATGAAATCTTGGAGGGGAAAAAAGCGCCAGAGTCGTGGAAAGAAGCTTATATTACATTAATACCGAAAAATGAGACTGAAAAGACGCAACTTAAGAACTACTGCCCCATATCCCTGCTCAATGTGGATTATAAAATTTTCGCAGATATTTTGGCTAAAAGGTTAAAAAAGGTATTAGTAGAAGAGATCCATAAAGATCAAGCCGGCTTTCTCCCGGGTAGACACTTGTCTGACAATACGAGAAATATAATTAACATTTTGGAGATGTTACAAGTGAATATTAATACCAAAGCTGTTTTAATTTTTGTAGATGCGGAGAAAGCCTTCGACAATATTTCTTGGAGTTTCATGAAGAAAAACCTTCAGGGGATGGCGGTTGGTCAAGGGTTTGAAAATGGTATAAGTGCAATTTATTCAGAACAAAAGGCCAAACTAATAGTTAACAATGTGGTGACAGAGGAATTTAAGATAGAGAAAGGGACACGACAAGGCTGCCCAATTTCCCCATTGTTGTTTATTTCGGTCCTGGAGGATTTGCTAAATATGATTAGAAGGGACCGTTTGATTAAAGGTATACAGGTCGGAGCTAAACAGTACAAATTGAAAGCCTTTGCAGATGATTTGGTACTGACGTTACAGGAGCCAGAATCTAGTACTAAAAGAGTATTAGAATTGATTCAGGAATTTGGTCATGTGGCAGGATTTAAGTTGAACAAGTTAAAAACGAAGGTGCTTGAGAAAAATCTAACACAGATTGAGAAAGAGAGGTTTCAGAAGGAGACAGGCTTAACATTGGTTAAGAAAGTAAAATACTTGGGGGTTAATATGACTGCTAAGAATTTAAACCTATTTAAAGACAATTATGAGAAATGTTGGTCAGAAGTGAAAAAGGATTTAGAGATATGGTCAAACTTGAAGCTTTCCTTGTTAGGCCGAATTGCTGTTATAAAGATGAATGTATTGCCAAGAATGTTATTTTTGTTTCAATCATTGCAAATCTTAGATAAGATGGACTCTTTCAAGAAGTGGCAGAGAGACATCTCTAGATTTGTCTGGCAGGGCAAGAAGCCCAGAATAAAATTTAAAATATTAACTGATGCAAAGGACAGAGGCGGATTTGCCCTGCCAGACCTTAAACTTTATTATGAATCAGCAGCATTCTGCTGGTTGAAAGAATGGCTGCTTCTTGAGAACACAGACATTTTGGACTTAGAAGGTTTCAACAATGTTTTTGGGTGGCATGCATATTTGTGTTATGACAAGGTTAAAGCACATAAAGCATTTAAAAACCATATTGTCAGGAAAGCATTGTTAAATGTCTGGATAAGATATAAGGACTTACTGGAAAATAAAACCCCTAGGTGGCTGTCACCGATGGAAGCAAAGGCTCAGAAAAGGCTCAATATGGAGGCCAAATGGCCGAAATATTGGGAAATTTTGGAACAAGAAGGAGACAAATTGAAATTGCAGAGCTTTGAAAAATTAAAAGGTAAAGTGCGAGACTGGCTTCATTACTATCAGATAATGGAGGCATATAATTTGGACAAGAGAATTGGCTTCCAGGTGGAAAAATCAAAATTGGAAACAGAATTGTTAGAACCCAATACTAAGATTTTGTCAAGAATGTATAACTTGCTGTTGAAATGGAATACTCAGGATGAAACTGTGAAATCTGCTATGATTAAATGGGCACAAGATCTAGGATATAATATTATGTTTGCTGACTGGGAACAGTTGTGGACCACAGGTATGAAATTTACGGCATGTAATGCCCTAAGAGAGAATATTATGGAAATGATATACAGGTGGTACATGACACCAGTCAAGCTTGCAAAAATTTTCCATGCGCCCGATAATAAATGCTGGAAATGTAAGGAAAATGAAGGTACTTTCTTTCACCTTTGGTGGACGTGCCCAAAGATTAAGGCTTTCTGGGAAATGATATATAATGAATTGAAAAAGGTATTTAAATATACCTTCTTGAAGAAACCAGAGGCCTTTCTCCTGGGCATAGTCGGCCAATTGGTGCCAAAGAAGGATAGAACTTTCTTTATGTATGCCACAACAGCAGCAAGAATACTCATTGCAAAGTATTGGAAGACACAAGACCTACCCACCTTGGAAGAATGGCAGATGAAGGTGATGGACTATATGGAATTGGCGGAAATGACTGGCAGAATCCGAGACCAGGGAGAAGAGTCGATGGAGGAAGATTGGAAAAAGTTTAAAGATTATCTACAGAAATATTGTAAAATTAATGAATGTTAGAAGGATGTTGGATAGAAACTAAGTGGTCTTTAGCTGAAAGGTTACAAGGGAAAATGAAAAAAGGGTTTATTATCTAATATGTAAAAATATAAAATTACAATATTTTTATGACTAATGATTAGGATACCAAAAGAGGGGAGGGATTTGCTGAACGAAATAACTGAACTGGAATACAAAAAAGGAAGGTGTGAGGAGGTCCTGGAAATAAGCAAATGAAGGTCAAGTAATGGAAGGAAAGAATTGTTTTTAAATGTTTTTACTTTGTGTTTTCTCTTTTTCTTTTTGTGTTTTGTAATATCTTGAAATTTTTAATAAATATCTTATAAAAAAAAAAAATTCACGGCATGTAATGTCCTAAGAGAAAATTTAATGAAAATGATTTATAGGTGGTATATGACACCAGTCAAGCTTGCAAAAATTTATCACTTACCCAACAATAAATGTTGGAAATGTAATGAGACTGAAGGTACATTCTTTCACCTTTGGTGGACATTCCCAAGGATTAAGACATTCTGGGAGATGATCTATAACGAAATGAAAAAGGTATTTAAATATACCTTTCTGAAGAAACCAGAGGCCTTTCTCCTGGGCATGGTTGGCCAATTGGTGTCAAAGAAGGATAGAACTTTTTTTATGTATGCAACAACAGCAGCAAGAATACTCATCGCGAAGTATTGGAAGACACAAGATTTACCCACTCGGGAAGAATGGCATATGAAGTTGATGGACTATATGGAATTGGCGGAAATGACTGGCAGAATCCGAGACCAGGGAGAAGAGTCGGTGGAAGAAGACTGGAAAAAGTTTAAAGACTATTTACAGAAATATTGTAAAATTAATGAATGTTAGAAAAATGTTGGAATGAAGTTATATGGCTTTAGTAGAAATGTTATAAGGAATTAAGTATAAATAGATTAATGGAGTATCAAAGGGAAAAATAAGGCTAGAATCTGTTAAGATAATTAAAGGATAGAAAGCAGAGGAAGATGGAAAGGAATTGCTGAAACAATCAACAGAAGTGGAATACAAAAAGGGAGGTGTGAGGAGGCCATGGAAATAAGTGAATGAAAGATAAGATATTGAAATTGTTTGATGTTTTTTTAAACTGTTTTTGTTTTGTTTTGTTAGTTTAATGTGTTATGTAGTGTTTTTGTACTGTATTGTATTGTTCTTTTTTCTTTTTATTTTTTTATGTGTTTAAATTGTTGGAAAGGTAATAAATATTATTTAAAGAAAAAAACATATAGGATCACTTACTCAGTATTGTGACATCATCACGTTATGCATTTTCCCACCTTCAGTAGTGGGAGCAGTGATCTCCTCTTGGGAAAGTGGACTGGCGGTGGGCCCTGGTGACTCTGAAGGTGAAGCCAAGTCAGGAGGCAAGGGTGGAGCTTCAGGGAGACAGAACAGGGTGCGGAAAGGCACCCCATTGGGATGCTCCCTGGGGAGGACCCTCCTCCCCTGAGGACTTTTGGTATTCTAGGACTCTGACGTGGTTGGTCCTATTCTGCTGCGTCCTGCACAGTGGTTGTCCTTGAGCAACTCCCCCCCCCCCCACATCGTCCTGATCTGCCCAGCCTATCCACACCTCCCGAAAACCCAGTCCGAGGCATGAAGAAGCTACCCCTTGCAATTCAACAGTTCACCACATGGGTGTGCTGCACAACCATGCAGCAGCTCTTGGCAAAGGTCATTGAATCATAGAATGGTAGAGTTGGAAGAGACCCAAGGGTCATCTAGCCCAACCCCTGGCAATGCATAAACTATGCAAATATGCCTCTGGTGACTCACTTTGAATTTAGCCATTGTCTAAGCTGTCTAAGCACTGGAATCCCTACCTCCTGAATTCATCCTGGAAGGGCAAAAACAACCATCTCTTGGGCATGGTCTTCAGAAACTTGTCTTGCTTCTCCTCAGTCTCATCCAGTGAGACAAAGACCAGGACCAGCTGGGATGCTCTCTCCACGTAAAATTCATCTGTGAGCCTCACAAAAAATTCTTTCAGGATGGGTGCAAACTCTTGGCATCGAAGACATTCACCAGAGCCAAAATACAGAAGCATAATCTTGTTCTCCAATGCTCGGGTAAGCTCAGGTTCCAGCTCCAACTTATCCTTGTCCTTGTTGTTCACAATCAGGGTCTTGTTGGTAAAAATGGCAGCCATGGCTGATTGTTGTGCTAAAGAACCATTTTAATGGTGCCATACACCAATTTTAAGACTGAAAAGGAACAAGAAGGCAGTATCAGGGATATTATTCTTTTTTTAGCTTCATCATGCATTCATAGAATTTATTTTTATTGAATTATTGATTCAAGTATGCAGGGTGGGGTGGGGGAGTGTTAGAACGGACTGTACTACTTCAGACTACAGGTGGGGAAGGCATAAAAAATATAGGTGGTGTAAAAAAAGAGAGACCTGCACATAATAAAAACAAAATGCAACAAATTATTTGGTTCCCCACATTCTACCACTGCCCAGCTCTGCCATTAGTTGTGAGGCCCCAAAATTAAGCACAATGACCAGAATGTTGGACAGAGTTGACAAAAGGCCAGCTTCAAATCCCTGCTCAGCTATGAAGCAAAATGGGAGACTTAGGGTCACTTTCTGTCTAACCTACCTCTGATGGCAGCTAGCGAGGTTAGCCAAGGAGCAATAAATGGCTATTGCCCTTACCAGAAACCATTTCATGGCAAGCAATAGATATCGGTGTGACTTGGAAAGCACTACACAGACCTCCTCTGGCAAATCATTCCATTTGGAACTAGGTTTTCCCACAAAGATCTTGAGAAATAAGGCATTTCAGTTCAGGCTGGGGCTTTGCCAAGACTCCAGAAGTGACAACAACTACAAGAACAAAAAACCATTATTAAACGTCTAAAGGGGTCTTAAGAAAGTCTTGGGAATGCAATCTAGTCTGTACATGTTAATGATACAGACAGATTGTTGTACCTTCCAGGTGTCACGTAGTGTCCTCCCAAGGATGGGGACTCCAGTCTTCTTCTAAGTTAAGAATACATCAATGTGGAGGGGAATCTTGGACATAAAAATCACACAGAAACACTGTTTTGAGCTGTCTCGCTTGCCAGAAGAACTCAGAGGCTGTGGAAAACAACGAGGATTAACATCAGAATGACTTATGTGAACTATCGGGAAAGATTATGAAAAGCAGTAGAAGTATGAGATGATCAGATCCCCCCTCCAACCTCGGAGCATGGTGAAGTCCCCCCGAAAAATTATAATTTGGCATAATATTTGGACTGTTTGATTATTGAATAATATGTATAATTCGGAATATATGAGGTTTGATTGGATTGTTAAAATGGAAATATATATATATATATATGTATACATCAATGTGATACAGTTCCATTTTTCTCACCTTGAAGACATCTCCATGCCCAGAATAAGAAGCCAGGGTTCTCACATTGTTCAGTGTTTTGTATCATTAGAAAACTCCTTCTGTCATTCCTTGTGCAGCTGAGATCCCCCCTCTTCACATTCCAGTGCGACACTACCCTTGCCTTGCTGCTAGTTTGGATCACTGACATGCATGACCTTTCCTGCTGGATTTCACCTCCCTCCCTATTAATAGAATCCACAGCCAGTACCTTAATCTTCTTAAAGTAGACCTTTGGAGATAATATGACCCATGCACTGCTTGCCAGAAATCTTGTTTCTGGGCAGGTGATAATTCTTCCTGGGCAGGTGATAATTCTGATCAAATAAAAGAAAAAGAGTTACTTGGTTATGCTCTCTGTGTCATCCTATGATATTGTTTTTTCACAAGTGTGCACAGCTATGGTGACTTGTTGGCAAACAAATACATGTAGTAATTAAATTATTTCTACTCCACATTTCCATAAGATGTCCAAGGCAGCCTAAAACCCTTAAAGCTAATAAAATTAGAATTAAAAAAAACTGAGATAAAAGATGATATGGCAGGTAAAATTCAAGACTGAAAAACAGTCTGTGTCAAACGAAACATACAATGAGGGGGAAAAATAAAAGCAGATTACCACAGCCCAAACACCTTTCTAAAGTAGAAAGGTTTTCACATGGCAGTGGAAGGTCACCAGGGCGAGTGAGAAACGTGGGCCTTCCAAAGCAAGGAGCTTCACAGACTGAATGCAGACAAAGAGAAAGAAGGCTCTCTACCTAATACCAAAGACCCACTTTAGATGTTGGTGGGAACATAAAGGATGACCTCCATTGCTCCTCTAAAATAAGTCTCAAAACAAAAAACATATTCTCCTACATTGTGTAAGAAGCATGTAAAAAAATTAGCCCCCTGCCCAGCTCAAAACACCTAAATCATCCATAAAAATAATAAATAACAAACCAAACACCAAAATGTAAGGGCAGAGTAAAATATCTTATAGCAAAACATAGAAGGGAATAGAAGACTGCATTGAGCTCTGCAACAATCCCTCTGGTTTGGTTCATACATTGTTTTAAACCAAATCATACCTAAGCACGAAAGAGCATGTAGCACTTACAGCAAAAATTGCATTTGCTTTGGGGGCCCTGCAAGCCATGGTAACTTAGCATTACGTCTAAACTCAGGCTCATGGTTTGCTGCGCTCTAGAAGCCTGTTGGAGTTTGGTGTACATATCAGTGAAGTGATATATGTGCTGTGAACAGACCTGAGATCTTCAGATGAAGAGCAGTTGTTGTTTAGTTGTGTCCGACTCTTTGTGACCCCACGGACCAGAGCACACCAGGCACTCCTGTCTTCCACTGCCTCCCGCAGTTTGGTTAAACTCATTTTAGTAGCTTCGAGAACACTGTCCAACCATCTCGTCCTCTGTCGTCCCCTTCTCCTTGTGCCCTCAATCTTTCCCACATCAGAGTTTTTTTCCAGGGAGTCTTCTCTTCTCATGAGGTGGCCAAAGTATTGGAGCCTATGCTTCAGGATCTGTCCTCCCAGTGAGCACTCAGGGCTGATTTCCTTCAGAATGGATAGGTTTGATCTTCTTGCAGTCCAAGAGTCTCCTCCAGCACCATAATTCAAAAGCATCAGTATACCAACTTAATAATAATAATAATAATAATAATAATAATAATAATTTTATTATTTATACCCTGCCCATTCAGCTGGGTTGCCCCAGTCACCCTGATAATAATAAAGTACAGAAGTAAATAGTTTGGTAAAACTGCTGGTTGAAAGAATAAAAAAACCTGAAGTTTTTTTTCCTGGCAAACAAAACCATTATTAATACAAGCTTACATGTGGATGAGGTTAGCAAAGGAAGGTCCGATACCAACTGACTGAAGATGGAGGTGTTACCGGAAAAATCCGAGGGCTCCCTTGGACAAAAAGTAAAGACACCAACCAGAGTAAATTGGAGCAAATCAGCAGCCTGTAGGCTTGGCCTTTATTGAACTGTTGCAACAGGGTGTTCCCCTCACTTGCAGGAGAGAGGAAAAGACACAGAAAAATGTCTCAAGCAGATCTTGAGATAGTTTGAGTTTGCTTCCTTAGACTAAAGAATGCAAGTAACTAGAGAAATGATCTTTAAAGGAAGATTGAAGTGAACAGTTTTTTTCCTAAGATAGGGAGAGGATCTTTTATTAATCATAGTTAAAACAGCCATAGATTTGATTTAAAAGGAATACAAAAGTGAACAATTTTTTCCTGAACTTGCAGAGGAATAGTAAGCCTAATTTAGATTATTATTTTTTAATAACTACACATAGGAAAGTGAGATGCAGGGTACCTTAGGAAAGATTGCTCCCCCCTTTTTGCAGTTTCCTTTAAAGGAAGCTTACTCGGGAGTAAATTTACCTGGCACAGAAGAAAGAAGGGAGAAAAAAACTGAAAGAGACAGAATGAAACGGGGGGGGGGGGCATTTTCTAAAAAAAGAGGCCAGGAAGTCTTATAGAGACTGATATCAGGACTGGACTCAGATAGACAATTTTGCTGGCCATGGAAGCCTCTACATTTAATAACAATTTTTCTTAGAAAGAACACCATACTTTCATAGGCATATGCTTAATGAAATACATACACTGCATTTTAGCTTGAGAGAGCAGTTGGCTCAACTAGGCTTTTGCAGCAGAAACATTAGTTTCTTCACAGCACATTTCAAAATACTGGAACAAAAAGACTGGAACACGGATGTAGACTCACAAACTCAAAAGTTGCAGCAAAACATCATCTAGCATCAACTTAAAATCGTACTCCTCACTCAAGCTACTCGGAGGAAGACTCTTTGGAGCCTCTCTCAAATAACAAACATTTGCACACTTCATTCTAATTTTTTTTTTTGTCCTGTTTAAGATTGATGAGGCCCAACATGGCTTCCTTAGATTTAAAATTTTGAAGCAAGCTTGCAATTTAAAAACTATGTGCATTTAAGAACAGTCTGTGGATGCCGAAGCCAATGTAAACACAAACGCTTTAAATATTTCCAAATCTTTGAGTACATCTCTTATTCTTTTTTTTTTTTTTAAGAAACTAAGATCTCTAATGCGTGGGCTCTCAGGCTGGGCTGTTATTATATCTACTGCCTTCTGAGCATCATTAAGTTTACGGTTTCATGTTCTAGCTTTAGGTTATAGTTTAACAACACAAATTTGATGTGTTCAGCTCTCCCTAAGGGTTCACACCCTTATTTTGTTGAAGGATCCCTGAGGTGGCCGCTGTGCCCTGGGTTCCAGGTGGTGGGCCTAAGCCACCCACTAAAAGTTACAACGGTCTCGTACTTTGTACTTGGAAAGACCATTTTGCCCCTTTATTTTATTTTTCCCAATTGGAGATGACAAGCTGGGGGGGGGGGGGCGTGTCAGAATCCTCTCTGGGGCAAAAAGGCTTCATGGAAACTTTGTTGCCAGGAGGAGTCCAGCTAGGGTGTTTAGAAGAGTGAGCTCCCATTTTCCCTCTAATACCGAGGGGGGGTTGCTCAGTAGATTACACTAGGAGATAGAAGAACGGGTACAAGAAAGGGACAAATAAGGGGGGGGGGGTAGAGAAAAGAATATTCTATCAGTATTCAAGTTATCTTTCAGCTAAAGCAATCCCTGCCTACCAGTAAACTACAAGCAATTTGTCTAGAAACCACAGGCACTAGCCTGGAAAACCATGGGTCCCTCTAACCCGGAAAACCACAGGCCCTAGCCTGGAAAACCACGGGTTTCTCAAACCCAGAAAACCACAGGCCCTAGCCTGGAAAACCACGGGTTCCTCTAACCCGGAAAACCACAGGCGCTAGCCTGGAAAACCACAGGTCCCTCTAACCCGGAAAACCACAGGCCCTAGTCTGGAAAACCACGGATCCGGAATTTATTCAGCGCTGCTTACAAGACTAATACTCTGAGGGAAGACGTGGAGGAAAGAGGAAAGGAGACTTTCCATGGTTTCCCCGGTCAGGCTCCGAGAGGGAAATCGGGAAAGAGAAAAGGAGAAAGAGTTTAGGACGTTTCTGGTCGACTCCGAGGGGAAACGTCAGAAAACAACAAAGTTCCACGATTTCCCTGGTCAAAACTCCGAAGGGGAAATCGGGGGAGAGAAAGAGAGAGTTTAGGACATTCCTGGTCGACTCCGAGGGGAAACGTCAGAAAACAACAAAGTTCCACGATTTCCCTGGTCAAAACTCCGAAGGGGAAATCGGGGGAAAGAGAGAGTTTAGGACGTTCCTGGTCGACCCTGAGGGGAAAGGTCAGAGATGGAAAGAAGAAAAGTCCAGCTGCCATGGAGACGTTACCTTTCCACCCCCTCCCAATGTATTAATTTTAAACCATACTCACGTTCGTAGATGTCCCCCGTGGATCCCGGGATCCTTTCTCTTTAGCTGGCTTGACCTTGCCTTTGCTCCCCCTGGCTGGGCTTTTGGTGACGATTAATTACCGCCCGCAAAGAGGAGGCAGGGAGAGGAAAAGGGATCCCTGGGCTAAGGTTGCCCGATCCCCTCTATCTCCCTCCTCACCTTCACAGGAGGACCAAGAGTCCCTGAGCATGGTTGCCAAACTGTTACTGGAAAAATCCGAGGGCTCCCTTGGACAAAAAGTAAAGACACCAACCAGAGTAAATTGGAGCAAATCAGCAGCCTGTAGGCTTGGCCTTTATCGAACTGTTGCAACAGGGTGTTCCCCTCACTTGCAGGAGAGAGGAAAAGACACAGAAAAATGGTGTGCAAGACCTTATAAAAACTTTTGAAATTCCCATCCTGTAGGTCAAGCCCACCCCCCGAAACATCATGCATACATTACAGAAAGGAGGGGTTGAGGGAGGAGTTGTGGTGGTAACCTGAGTGTCCTGTCACCTGGCTGGTTCCCTTCTCCCCCTCCCCATGAGTCATTTTCAGAAGACAAAAAGTAGTCGCAGTTTCCTGCCCCCTGAGGGAAGATCTGATCACTGTCCTTTGTTCCAGTCCATGCTGAATCCACTCCCATATGGAAGTTCTTTGTGATCTTGATTGTCTTCTGTCTAGGACCATCAGGGTTGGCATAGCAACTGGGCAGGGCTCCTGTGGATGTGCTGGGATGTTCAAGGGATTATGGCTGGCCTGTATCAAACCTTCCCCATTTTGTAGTCCTTCATGGAGTAAAATAAAAGTGGAACAGTGCAAATCTGATGTATGGTTGATTTTCTATGAATTTATAACAGAAGCGTAGCGTATGTAGTGTGTGAGTGTGTGTGAAGTTTGTACAAACTGAATGATGGGGGGGGGTTCCTGCTACAGAGGAAAGTAAAGCCTAGGGAAACACACTTTAATGACAGCAAGTCATTACTCAAGAAGGAATCAGTGAGAGAAGAATAGGTTGCCTTTCTGTCTATTCCTGCCACTGCCCCCCTCCCCAGGTCAGGTAACTTATCACATGCATTGTTCCCTTACTCCCACATAACCAAGGTGTGTACTTCGGTTACCACTTGTGGTTTATCTGGGGGGCGGGCAAACAAACAAACAAACAAACAAACAAACCATGAGCCCTGGATTGGACATAACCCTAAGTCAAACACTGCTTAGGTCTGAGTAGCACAGCAACAGCAGCAGGACCTGGGTAGAAAGAAAGTGGATGCATTATTATTTTTTGTGAATATCCACATGCTCACTTGTTCATCCACACTTAGCCATGAATTGGGAAACTGAGTCACACAATGGATCAAAATCTGGGAATTTCTTAATATGCCAGATAATTGGGAATTTGCTTGGCATACAACAATGTGTGTTATCCTCAGAACCAAATTCAAGAATAGCTAGAAAGGATGTTTTTACTATTAGTGTTATCTTTATTATTATTATTTTATTACTATATCACTGTATTTTCTTCTTGTACATTATTCTTGTAAATCACTTTGTAACATTATGTTATGGTAAGTGATTTGTATTCAAGAAACTAACTAACCTGTTAGTGTCTTGTAATATGACTCTCTCTCTGTCTGTGTAGCTCTTGACTCACTTGATACTACATGAAACCCTCCCCCAGTGAACAGTTCATGTGAGTTCTCTAACAATAGGGTTCAGACAATACTATCAGATTCAGGAGTATTTCTGCTGATCTGGAAGTAGAGGAAAGGTCACTGGAACATCATGTACACAATAATTTCCATCGTGATAGAAAGAGAAATTGAACATAATGTCCTATCAAGGTTTTGCAGCTGAACAATTTGTACTGATTAATTTATGAGAGAAAATATGTCTCTCAAATAAATCTACATTGCCCACTGGTTTTGAAAACAAATGCTTCTTCAAAAAATAATACTAACCAGAGGCGCTTCATTTTGAATAGCTGCTACATCTTCTGGAACACTGTGACTTAACACACAACGAATATTCCTCTTCTTTACATATGCCACAGTTCTAGTGTAATAATAAAAGGAAGTAACTTCAAGCAACACTACTTAATAGTGTTTCCTGCTTGCGAAATGTTTAAATGTTATGAAAACAACTCAGTTTAAGATATCAGTGAGGAAGACAGCATAATCACAGTTTGCTTCCAGTAATAGTCTACATTAGCAATTAGCATAGAAGTCATGGCATTTAAGTAACCTATGTGCAGTATTACAGGCACCAAAAAACTACCTTTTAATTTGGCAAATTATGGACAGACCAGCCATTCACTATGGGGCAAAATGATGAATTTGACTGATCTGATCCATGGTTTTTATTGCACTGTGAGCCATGATAGTTATACATACCCGCCAACATTTCTCCAATGAAAATAAGGCTGCCCTATTCAACAATATACTTCCACTCATCTGACTGGGTTGCCCACTGTGGGTGGCTTCCAACATACATAAAAACACAATAAACCATTTTTAAAAACTTTGCTGTACAGGTCTGCCCTCAGATGTCTTTTAAAGGTTGTATAGTTACTTATCTCCTTGGCTCAGGGGTCACTGCATACCCCCCCCCAATTCTGGGGTCAAATCAGAAACTGTGATGGCTTCTGTAAATCCAGGGCTGTGCCTGGAAAATTGGGACACTTGGAGGGTCTAAGTTATTTGGATCATGGATTATGCTGTTTTCAAGTCGCATTTTAATCAATGTTTTATATTTGCTGTTAGCTGCCCTGAGCCCGGTTTTTAAACCAGGAAGGGTGGGTATAAATCAAAAATTATTATTATTATTATTATTATTATCATCCAGCAGTAATATCATTTTCTCTTAACTATTAAGTAATTTTAATGCTTTGTTAAAGTCAGAATTGGAAAATGGACACGACTGCCAACCTATACCGGGATGAGTTGGGTTTATATATCTGCTCAGTGCTGAAGAGCACAGGATGACCTTGGACAAATTATTTGTTTAACATTTCTCAGTTATTGAGGATAAAATGCGACATCCCATATGCATTCACTTGTGTTTGCTAGGAGGGAAGAATTTATCCACACATGGGATCCCATTATGATCCTATCAGCTGCACTGGGTTCTTTGCTCCCTCATCGTCTAGCAGCAGCCATTTGATTGTCTGTGCTGGAAGATCAGTTCCCAGCAGACTCCTCTGGTCCCTGGACTATGTAAACCACTCTGGGGGCCTCTTTGATTACGGAGCAGAGTTAAAATCCTGTAAATATGTAATACAGTGGTACCTCGGGTTACATACGCTTCAGGTTAGACTCCGCTAACCCAGAAATAGTGCTTTAGGTTAAGAACTTTGCTTCAGGATGAAAACAGAAATCATGCTCCGGCGGCAGTGGAAGGCCCCATTAGCTAAAGTGGTGCTTCAGGTTAATAACAATTTCAGGTTAAGTATGGACCTCCGGAACGAATTAAGTACTTAACCCAAGGTACCACTGTACACAGAAATTTGTTTTTCTTAACTGTGGATTATCAACAAATTGCATTACTTCTCTATGAGAGAAGTAACCCTTACTTGCTCCTGTATTTTGAATGTATACTGTACTCTGTTTACTTTTTACTACTTAGAAAAGCTGCCTTCCCCTGTATATGCAGCAGTGACTGGTGCTTGCTCAAACAATTTCTAATCATCTCCTGAAACATGAATTCTCCATTAAAAGTACCAACAGGCGCAATGTTATCACCAACTATGATTTTTCTATAGGCCAACATTAGATGCTTAATAGCCTGTAGTCTGCCTTATGAACTTTGCTTTCATAGACTTGAATCGGATAAGGCAGCCTAGCTGCTGAAGTTGATTAAAGTCATGTTCAAATACAGTACCTATGTCCAAAATGTAAGCAATATAACTTGAAACGGATTTCTCTTGTCGTAAGCAAATTTATGTAAGCATTGACATGAAATTCTTTAGATTAGTAGCTTTAAGCCTTTTCAGACCTGCCATAAATGCCCAGGGAGGCCTCTTTCTTATCCCCCCCCCCGATATTTAAGAGAGGTGCTGCTGCAGCCCAGCTTAGATGGGGCTATAGCCCAGTGGCTGACCGCAGCCCTCCAGTTGAAGAGAGGGCTTCAGACGAGAGCAGACGTAAGAGAAAAGCAAGAGTCGCATTCTGTGCAGAGAACTGTCGAGTTGGAAGGGATCCCAACGGTCATCTAGTGATTCTAGTCCAACTCACTGGGAGTCTTGAGCGCAACCCTGACAACATTTCTGGAGCAAGCCTGCAGAGGCCAGGGCGGGAAGCGGGCCGTTTTCTGAAGAGAGCCCTTTCTGTCAGTTCGGGGGGGGGGGTGTCTGTCGAGTTGCTGCAAATGGACAACAACCAAAACCACCCAGTCAGTTATCGAAAGAGTTGCGTTTGTGTGAGAGACAGACGGACGAGGAAGGCTGGACAACATTCCCGAGCAGTCCGTCCGACCGAGGACGTCGAGGTGCCCCCCCCGCCTTCGCAGCCCCTCCCATTGCCAAAAGCTGAGCAGGAACCCCGCCCCCTCTTTCCGTTCCGCCGCCTTCCCAGCATCCTCGCCTTCCGCCCTCCCCCGTTTTCTCTAGGCCTCCCGGGCTCGATGTCTCGGGGCGGGGCTTTGCCTCCAGGCCCCGCCCCCCGGACCCGCCGGTGGAGTCGAGGGGCGGTGCTTCCTCTGAAGCGGCCGTCGGAGAGACGGACGGACGGTGGAAGAAGCCTCGCGAGCGAGCGGTGGGCGGTGGCGGCGCGAGGTACGGGAGCTGGTGCGTTGCCTTGACGACGGGGGCGCTGCCCTCGCCACGGTTCCTGAGGGGGCGGGGGGCGCCGTGCCATTGCCTGGCAACGGAGGGGGAGAGCGGCTGGGAGGGGGGCGCGAGAGATGGGGCTCGGAGGGTCGCGGGAGGAAGCCTGGCGAGAAGCCCCCCCCCCCCGGACCCGCGGGCTGGGTGGGGTGCCATCCCGGTGCCCCATAGGGATGTCATTTTACTGTATAAATGAACTGCCTGTATAAATGAACCCTGGCACACGATGCATCCATGGCCACTGAAAAGACTAGCCAAACGGACAGAGGACGAGACAGGATGGCAAGAGGGAGCTAGCCAGCCAACATTTTGAGAGGTCCTGTGCTAGGGGAATGTCAGGAAATGCCATTGCATGCATATAATATGCCAGAAGAATCCGTCTGACCACTGCGGGAATCAGAATGCTGGACCAAATAGACATTTGATTCAATCCAGGAAGGCTCATCTTCCATACTTGCAGAAAAAAGATGAAAAATATTTCTAAAATCACCTGTTCCAGGTCTGATCACCAATAAACCAAGAATCAAGCTGATGCTCATATTTCTACGCAGGCACGTTTTTACCAGAAGGTAATATTTACAACAGAACCAAACTGCTGCTGGTTATGACTCAGATGTATCATACCTGCTTTTAGTCACCACACTTTAAAAGGGGGAGAGGAGGAGAAAAACAAATCCAGAGAGCATGTTGGATAGCAACGCATACAACTAGATACAACAAAGAGTCCAGAATTTATGACATAAGGAAAAGTTGGTGGAACTGCGCTTGTTTAGCTTAGAGAAATGAAGATTAAAGCACCACATGATATCAGTTGGCAAATATCTAGACTGCAATAAAGATCACATGGAGCTGTTCACCTGAGTCACAAGGGAAGGGCAAGAATCAAGTTGAGACACAGCAGATTTAGGCAGGATAACAGAAAAAGCTTTTGAAACTTAAGCACAGTTAGGTGATGTAGGGAATTTGGAGAGTCATACCCACCCACCCAAAATGTTTTTGACAAGAGATGAGCAGACAGAGGAATCCCTGCAAATTCAGTAGACAATCTGCAAGGCTCTGAAGGCCAGTCTTCAAATCCCTTCAGGTCATGTGGTTACCTCAGTCCTAAATTCACACTCACCAGTTCATCACATAAAAAGAGCGTGGGGAGAAGGCTCACCATGCTTATATTGTCACACATTATGCTAAAGCAGCCATAAGTTATGTTAAATCAGTACACACAGTTAAGTCTCACGGCAACCCTCAGTGCCATCAACCTAGGAAGATACCTGACCAGACTTTCCAAAACTTAAAACAGTTTGACTAAGCTGGCAGTTGGCAAAAGAATATCAACATGTCAAAACATTTTCTTACCCTAAGGCTACTGCCTTCCACAGATAACATGCCACCAAACACTGTCTCCTGAAGCTCTATTCCCAGGACACTCTTTCTGAGGGATTTCCAAAGCCGACAGTAAACCTGGCAAGATCTTTAAATCCTCTTCCTAATGTTGCCAACTGTCCAGAAAAAAAGAGTGGGGGCGGGCTTATTTCTAGCCTTCTCTTGTGAATAAATGAAATGGGGAAGCCACTTTCCTTGCTCAGTCGAGAGAGCCTGAGACTCTTAAGAGATTCTTAATCCCACAGTCACGGTGTTGAGCCTCACATTGTGTGAAAAATTCTTGCACTGCAGGAGGTTGGATTTAGATGAGCCTTGTGGTCCCTTCCAGTTTTACAATTCTATGAAATAAACCTCTATCTAGAAATGAAGTGGCCCTATGGGGGAAAGGGGCAGCCCAGCTGAAACGTTGTTGGTGTTTGCTTTCATGCCACCCTCTTCTGTGCATTACGTGAAGAAGTATATCTGAACCTATTACCAATTAATCTCTCTTTGCACAGAATTGTTAATTTTCTGACAGGGAACTTAAAATTTAGTTTCTAAAGTTGAAGTTTTTGTACATGGAATTAAATATTTTCTTCCAGTCTCTGTGGGAGACTGATTATTAACTTTGAATACAGAAGCCAGTGTGGTCAGACTCTAATATAATAAAGATCAAACATGGATTGCCAAATTGAGGAATAGGAAATAATACATGGATTTACCAACCCAGATGAATAGGGCATGTGTGATTATTGACAGCAATAGGCCTGTGTGTTATATTTTTATCCTGCCCCTTCTATAAAGAGCTCAGTGTGGTGTGTATAGGGGTTATCTTATTTTATTTTATCCTTGTAACAGCCCTATGTCAAGAGTTTGTGACTGGCCCTGTATCACTCAGAGCTTCATGACTACAGAGGAGTATGATCTTGGGTTTTCCCTGCCTGTGTCCAACTATCTGGCTGCTACATTACATTGACTTCTTGACTAGTGACAGTACAAAGCACAACCTTATTAACTCTGTGTAGGGCTGTATGTACACTACACCCCTCCAAATAAAATGTGCCAAGAAAAATTCTGCTTGTAGAATGAACTGTAGGGATCAAATATATGAAACATTGGACTTCTTTGTAGAGTTGTTTTACTCCCTTAAACCCCCAACCCTAATGTAAGGGTGGTTGGAGGGACCTCAGTGCACCCTGATTTCACTGAGTGGGTCAAGAATAACCTTAGTAGAGCTATAAGAGCTGAGGAGGACTGAGGTGTGCCAGAGGCTGCTGCCAGAAGTGCCTGGACAGCCGTTTAAATGAAGCCATGAAGTCTCTTCCTCACACTCTTCTAGTCCTACTTCATAGATGCTATAGGGCATCATCCCCTTCAAGACTCTCAAAGAAAAAGCCTGGATTGTGAGTAGGGGCATGCTTCTGAAAACTTGGTTTGGGAGTTAACATACCACAGATGTGAAAAGAAGGGAAAGGCAGTTCTTGAAGCCCAAGAGCTGGCAAACTGGCTTGCAGGATGTCATCCTGGTGATGACAGAGCTCCCATCATCCACAATCCAGGAGGAGGAAAGGCTTAATGATCTGATGATCTTTTGTGTAAGGATAACACAGACATTTTACTCCTTACTTTGGACAGAGAGGATGGCAAATGGTCCAAGGTAGGGCTTTTTACATCTTAACTATAGATGTAGCTGTTTTAGAAGTAGTTCAAGGGGCTGGTTCTGTTCCTCAGAAAGACTTTGATCTTAGAGTAGTTCAGGAGATTCTCCCCAAATCCAGGGGGCAAAACCAAGTTACACCTTTCCTTGTGGCACTCAGCAATACTCTCATTGTGGAATTGGAAACAAGGGGGAGAAAAATATATGAATGAATAAGGAGACTTGAAACAGAAAATGTTACGCATTACCTGCTTCAAGATGCCATTCATGAATTCACTTGTTGCTGCTGAACTTTGAGCATGGTGGTGACAGTTCCCTGTGGGATCAGGGCAACAAGAAAGCAGATACCTACTGCCTTATGCAACCTGTACAAGGCATTTGGGCATCACACACAACTTTTATAGTTGCAGAATGAATTGCATTTCCTGAATACTGTAAATTGGTGTAGTGAGTTTTTGCTTCTAAGACTGGAATTTTAAAAGAATTTGGCAAGAAGTGGAATTCCAGAGAAGAAAGGGAATATTAGATTTTATTGTTGATGCAAGAAGGAATAGCAACTATGCGAGAAAACACTGGGAACCCTTTTGGGATAGTAAAACCTTGTTTCCTAACCATTGGAAGACTGCCTTGTGCCCTTGAGTTTTAAGAGTCTTGCGTGTAACTATTCTGCATATAGTGCCCACTGCAGTTTTGACGGGAGCAGCTGGTGTGGTGGGAGGGTGCTACTGAGTTGTCCTCCTGACACTGACTGGTGTAGCTGCAGCTTACCAGGAGGGTGGGGCAGGGCAGAGGTGAGGTCAGTGCTTATGGGTGCAATGACAAGAGTGCAAGATTGGCCCTGCCCGTTCATTCCTGCAGCCCTTTCCTTGTTCCTACCTGACCCTGTCCTTGTAAGCTGCAGTGGCACTCCACAGCAGTGTTTCCCCACCCCACCAGCTCCTAGTTTTCAAGACTAGAAACATCTTTTTAAAAATGTACAGTGGAAGCTAAGGTTTTAGGGATGGTATTCTGTGTCCAAGTTATCAGTACAGTGGTACCTTAGGATGCGAACGGGATCTGTTCCGGAGCCCCGTTCGCATCCTGAACAGAACGTAAGACGCGACGGCATGTCTGCGCATGCGTGGGTAACGTTTTGCCGCTTCCGCGCATGCGCGTGATGTCATTTTGAGCATCTGCACATGCGCGAGTGGTGGAACCCGGAAGTAACACGCTACGTTACTTCCGGGTTGCCGCGGAGCGAAACCCGAAAGCACTCAACCTGAAGCACATTCAACCCGAGGTATGACTGTATCTTGGGGGCAGAAGTTTCTGGCCCTACTTAGCAGAATGAGCAGAAGGACCTTGAAACAGCAGGAGTGGCTTTATCACTTTTTGAAGTAAACAAAGCACATAATACACACTACCATCTAAAAAGGCTGGACATGATATTGGAAGACAGTCAAGTCCAGAGTCTAAAATTACCCAACTACCCTTCTGTTTGAACTAAAGTACACCCTGATTGTTATATAAGCAGCGATGAAAATTCATCAGGTAAATTTTGCACTTGCCTATCGGCCACCTGCAATCAAGTGAAGATGCCTGGGCGCACCAGGAGGGTGCCTGACATCTCCACCGTCTGGAGGTGCATGCCTGGGAATCCTTGGGTCTTGACTGTTTTCACACACTAGCAACATGTCCTGTAGAATTGTATCAGTTCTTCTGCACAATCAGAATGAATTTCAGGAACCAACAAGCTGTATTGAAAAACATGGCTTTTGAGCCAGACGGCCTCAAAATGGCATCTAGGCATTCTGTTTCGGCAACTGTAACCCTGGCTTAAGGAGCCATTTGGCACCTAACTTACATATCTGAGTTTCTAACACTGTATATAAGATGCTAGGTTTACTGGCTTTAGAATTAATATTCCTTTTTGTTATTACAATAATTATAAAGAATTCAATCCAAATATCTGTATTGAAATATTTTTACTTTTTTTTAAAAAAAGAACTCCTCTCACCCCCTTAGTCTGTGCTGTAATTTTTGCCCTTTGGCATTTTTTCCATTTCACACTGATTCTCCTTTGTTCCCTTTTGCCACTCCTGTCTTTGTATCCTTCTAGCATGCCGTTCCCTATTTCTGGAACAAGTTGCTCCTTTCTATTCGCCAAGTAACTTACTTGCTCATCCTGTTTCAAATCCTTCATTAAGCTTTCATTCACTCGTTCATAAAATGTGTTCTTTCTCCAAGCTTGAAGACTCAGGACTAAAAATGGATTTAAGTATATTCAGTGTGAAAGTTCTCACCTTGGCTACCTTAGCCTTCACTAAGTAAAAAAATGAAATGAGTATTTGTAACTTTTGGGAATGATACTCAGGCTTGTGCTTCAGTTAACGGACAGCCTTTCTGTTCATTACTTGCATCAGAACATAGTGTGTGGATGGCATTGTTAAATACCCATTTGTTGATCTTGGCGTTCACAAGAGAAGAAGGCAGTCTCCCTTGTCTTCAAGGTTTCTCAGTCAAGCCCAGCACCTTGAATTGTACCTAGGAAACATTATAGTCTTTTGGGAGGTGCTACATACGGGATCAGAGAAAGTTTCCAGGCAGTGTTCAGTGGCAATCTAAAAAAAAAAAAATGGTTTGATGTACTCATAATTGAATATAATGCATAATTTTACATACTTTTAATATTTTTCTTGCTAGGTCTTATTTCCTTACATGTCAGCATTTAAAGTTTCTGACCGATTTTTTTTTAGATTGATTTCATGATATAGCCAATTTTCATAGTTTTAAATACCCCAAAACTGAAAACAAGTCTGCACTTTTGAAAAAACAACAACAACCCTGTAATCACCAATATTATTTTAGATTTTAAGATGAACTTTGTTTCATTATTTTTTTCTTTTACAGCTATGGATTGTAGGAAAGTTGTACCCAGTAGCCATTCCCCCCCCCACGATGTCCAAAAAACGTAAAGTTTTGTTACAAGACATAAGAGAAATTTTATTCTTTGTTGAGAAAGAGCATGACTTTGCAATAATTTTCGCCATCAAAAACTTTTGATTGCATCGTGCCCTAATGCTGAAAATTTAGGTTTCCTAAACCTAGTTTTTCCAGCAGAAAAGCTACATTTATACATTTTTTTAAGGCATTTATAAGATCTTTTGAGTGCTGGTGTATTTTTTCCTGAAATCCTCATCATGTTATTGATCTCTGTGTAAAAATTCAAAGAGATCTGATCATTGGTTATGGAGAAAAACAATAAAATGCACACAAGGCCAAGGATCTCAAGAGGGACAGAAACACAGATTTCACGAAATTTTGAAGTGCTATAAAATTAAAACCGTTTGAGATGGGGGGGAATTAAGGGGGTTTCTTTCAACCATAAGGGAAGGGTGTACACCAAGTTTCATCAAAATCCGAGAAAGTGGGTGGCGTGACCATGTTGAACCGACATGGAATGACCCCCGGCTAATCCTGGTTTAAGGAGCCATTTGGCGTCTCGCTTATATATCTTGAGTTTCTAACACTGCTCAACTGCATACTTAATAAAATGTTGATGCAAAACAAATGAACTTAGTGGTTAACACTGAAGCCTATTTCTTTCTCTAGAATGCGTATGATTGGCGTTTGCACTGCCTCACTTGGTTCTCTTGGCCTGATGCGTTTTTTTGGCTTGGCCTGGTCATGGAGTATTGCAGTTGCTCTGGGCATTTACATTGGCACTGGTGGCTGGACATTTCTCCGGATCATCTTTAAAACAGCCTTGAGAGATCTCCTGTAAGTACAATTTCCTCTTGCATCGTAATGTGCTCGTTTGTTGTTTACATCAATCAGGGTTGGCCAACTTGTGGCACAGATCTGGCCCCTCATGCCGTGAGAAGTGGCTCACCAGCCCTCTGATCAGGAAATTAAACAAAAGTGCACATAGAGGGTTTTTCTTTCTGATCTTTGCACTGAGCACCATAGAACTAAGATTGGAGCCTGATCTTTAAGAGTATAAAACACAACATTTCCAGACACTCTCATCCCAGCACTGGAGTGGTGAGGGTTGGCAATGCTGCGTGTGCACATGAGTGTGGAGAATGAGAGAAAAGGATGAGTGTACTTTGTGGTTACATGCCTGGTGAAAAAACTGTGTGTTGTGAATGTGCTTGTGTAGCGAGTGCATGTGTGCTGCCTGTGTTGTGTTGTGCTGGATGCAGTCACAGGAAGCTCTGCACAGGGCATTAGATTAGCTATCTTGCTGAGCCAAAAACCATGTTGAGTTCCATGCTGCCTTGTCTTTTCCTCTCTCCCTTTTGGTATCAGCAGTGACACACGATGTTGGAGAGGTGGAAGAGCAATGCAGCCTCAGCCATGCTAGCTACTACAGGCTGTATTTGTAGTGTGCCTGTACGCACACATATCCTTTGGCCATGCCCAATGCTGCTTGGACAGGTGGCTGACGCTCAGTGTGGCCCTCAGGCTGAAAAGGGTTTGCCACTTATGCCATAAATAATACAGGTGTTCTCACACCCGATAGACCTGTATATGGCTCAGTGTGCTAAGGACTTCAGTGGAAGTGGAACTTGTGCTAAATTGGCTTTATTGCTGCTGATAAATCCAAAGATGATCAAGGTACAACATTCTAAATCTTCTGTTTATTCAGTCTTGTGTACTGTACTTATGAGGAAAGTGACCCAAGGTTGGTTTATCTGGGGACAAAGCTACGGGTCTGGGGACAAAGCTATGGGGACAGAGTTGAACGGGTCACCCACATGAATGGAAATACTCTTACTGTGAAATGAAACAGTGTGAAGCATTTGCTAGATTGCTTCAGAAGCAAAGTACCATACCATTCATATACAGTGGTACCTCGGGTTAAGAACTTGGTTTGTTCCGGAGGTCTGTTCTTAACCTGAAACTGCTCTTAACCTGAAGCACCACTTTAGCTAATGGGGCCTCCTGCTGCTGCTGCGCGATTTCTGTTCTCATCCTGAAGCAAAGTTCTTAACCCAAGGTACTATTTCTGGGTTAGTGGAGTCTGTAACCTGAAGCATATGTAACCCGAGGTACCACTGTACATCTGAAAGAGACATCTCTCACTTCCTAAGACTCTAAGCTGTTGATATGGAAATACACAGTTAAAAGCAGATAAAATATTATTGATAAAATTCCATTCCTCAGCTGTTGCAACTGAGTGGTTAGAGGTAGATTTGGGGCTGAACTAAATGTTGTGAAAATCATTTTTCTGATTCCATTTTGAAAGGAAATGCTCCCACAGGAGGCTGCGACCTTGAAGGGAGAACTAATTTGTGGTGGGTAGCAGGTGGGAGAGAAGGTTGCTTAAAGTTTTGTTAGCTATTTGTCTGCTCAAAACCATAAATGGTGTTAATGTGAAGAATCCTGAAATTACACATAATGAGAAATGTTGAGAAATTCTACTCACCCATGAAGCTTGGGGCCCGGTCATCGGCGTAGCCAGGATCTTTGTTGGGGCACAGGACTTTTGAAAGGGGGGCAGAGCCAATGTGATTGGTCAGTTAGTTAAGTATTTATATTGCTTTACTTGATTGGGGGGGGCAGCTCCCCCTTGGCTACATCCATGGGCCAGGTACTAATTCTTGGTCCAATGTACATCATGCTATTGTTGTGATAATAAAAGAAGATAAATCTCATTTGTATGTTTCAGAATCCAAATTAGATAAATTAAAAGTTTGAAAGGGGAAATAATTTTAAAGCCAAATTCAAATTCCTACTTGGAAATAACTTACACCTAGAAATTAACATGAATTCTGTGTGGAGTTTATGTGTATATATGGGTTTCTTGATCTTTGTTTTATTATTATTCAAAATATTTTCAATCTGCTCGCCACTGTACTATAATATAAATGAAAAACCACCAATGCAACCATATAAAAGAACAAATACAGTTGTACCTCGGGTTAAGAACTTAATTCGTTCTGGAGGTCAGTACTTAACCTGAAACTGTTCTTAACCTGAGGTAACATTTTGGCTACTGGGGCCTCCTGCTGCTGCCGCGCCACTGCTGCACGATTTCTGTTCTCATCCTGAAGTAAAGTTCTTAATCCGAGGTACTATTTCTGGGTTAGCGGAGTCTGTAACCTGAAGCGTCTGTAACCTGAGGTACCACTGTACAAAAGAATCACAAGAATGGCAGAAACAAGAAGAATCATCTAAACAACCATAGATGAGCTTTTTTGGTTGAAGATATAAACTGTTAGATCCATACTGCTCTCCTGTGTGCCTTGCTCTGTAATTGAAATTGACACCTATTTTCTTCAAGATTATATATCCTTGAGATTCCTGTGTTGTCAATGGATTTAGGGCTGCTGCATTCTCAAAGACTGCTTCACTTCTTACAGTGGTTTTCAGTGTCCTCTGGATCTCTGCTTCCTCTCATTGCATGGCAAATGAGAAATAACAGGAGAGAATAAAGCCCCCTTAAGAATGTGGAAAGTGCAGCTAAAGCTTCCAAAGACTCTTCTGTTTCTTTTCTGGCAGAGCTGAGGGCAGGGTCACTGTGACAGGCAAGCCTCGTTTGGTGAAATGCCAACAGCCTATTACTAAACCAGTCTCTCTTCTCCCCAGTTCCTCAAGGCTCCTGCTTCACTCAGGAGGGATGTGTAGGATTTTTTTTTTTTTAATGTTATTGATTTGTATTGGCGGTCTAATCCTCTGGGCAGTCTTCCTTAGATCAACAGCAAATGACATTTTTGGTACAGAATGTGTTTAGTGCAGCCCTGTTAGTCATGTCTTGATGCTGTGGCACTTTTCATTATCTTCCTGATGAGTCTAAAAGGAATTCCGACTTCGAAATGGATCATAATTGTCCATTACAGTGGTACCTTGGTTCTCAAACGGCTTAGTTGTTGAACAAATCGGCTCCCAAAGACCGCAAACCCGGAAGTAAGTGTTCCAGTTTGCGAACGTTTTTCGGATACTGGATGTCCGATGCAGCTTCCTCTTGAGTGCAGGAAGCTCCTGCAGCCAATTGGAAGCCGCACCTTAGTTTTCAGACTGTTTCGGGAGTCGAACAGACTCCTGGAGTGGATTAAGTTCGAGAACCAAGGTACCACTGTACAATGGAAGATGTTTTAAATTATCCCAAAAACCAGAAAGATCAGTTACCCACACCAAAAAGTTGCTTTCAGTGTTTGGTATAGACTAAAAGTCAGGATAGCAGATAATTAACACAGCAGTCCTGAGTACAATTATGAAGCAGTGAGCTTCATTGAATTTGGAAGGGTTACCTTCTGATTAAGCATGCATTGTGCAGCAGTCTTAAAATACAATCCTATTCATACTTACTTTTAAACTCTGTTGGTTTACTCCTAAGCAAATATCCCTAAGGTTGTGCTGCTAGCGGTGGTGTTCATCTTTTATCCAATTTTTGTCAATATAATTCTTAATGTCTCATAACCCTGACTGGATGGGGTGTATGCAATATAATTTGCTTTGAGTCATCTTTAAGAGCCCTTCTACAAATAGTTAATTTTGCTTGCTCCTTGTTGCTTTCAGACACAAACTGAACCTGAAAATACAGCATTTAAATTGCAAAGTGTTCCTCCTTTCTCCACTCCCTTTTCTTCCCATTCTGATTCACCTTGCCCATTCATCAAAATGGGCACAAACTACAGGAAAACCTTCTGTAATAAAGTAAATGAAAATTACCGGTAGTAGTGATTTTTTTCTGTGAAATGCTGTAGTTCCAGCATATGTTACAATTTTTAATCAAATGTTTTGAATACAGCACTTGATTTTTAAAATGAAGTATTGGGGCTCAGGTCTGTTTGGGTGCTCTACCATGTCCACTTCAAGGAGACATTTTTACTTTAGTTGCACTAGTTGACTGACATGTTTTAATACATTATGAAGCTGTTTTATACTCTAACTTGTTGCAGCTCTCTGATTTCTTGGGCAGAGGTAATGCTTTTGATCAAGGGATTGAACCTGCACCTTCTGAGTGCACATCGTGTATTCTGCTGGCTGGGTTGTGTCCTGTCTCCATGCTTGGTTGGGAATGAAGGGCATTCTGTAAATGATTTCCTCTGTTGTATATTATTTCATATATACTATTTACAAATTGGGACAAAGCCACAGAAGGGAGGGTTTGGTGCCAAGTGGACCTTGTTAAAAGATGCTGGAAGTGTTGTCAGGCTGTAATACTAAGACCAACAGCATCTACAGTCCCCCTTCCACCTAATGCACCAATGGAGGCTTGCAATGACATGTACAACTTAATTCTGTGCATGGCAGCTGCACGTTGCAGGCCAGAAACCAATGCGTACCTTGTTTCAAGGGGCTACTATGAGCCTAATTCTTGTGCCCTAAGATTATAAGAGAATCTAATGAAAAATTTGCAAGTGTTAAAATCTCAGTTTTCAAGCTTTCAGTTGCAGAGAAGTTTTTTTTAAATATACAGCCAGCTCCCAGGGACCGAGGACTCTTCAGCCCCCCCTAAAATATTTAAGGCAGCCAGGCCCACCCAAAGTTGATGGGCATTGCCATTCAAATGGTGTGGGTGCGCTGCGTCTTGTGATCATATATGTGGGGCAGGGCATACTTGGCCCCCCTCCCCAATGTTTTATGCAAGTTGACACTCCTGACAGCTCAAAATATTTTTTTTTTCAAATTCAAAACTGCATATTGGCTCCAAATGCTCTCTGTTCCTTCCCATTAGCTGGAGATCATTACCTTCTGAACTCTTATGGTGTATAACCATTCGAAGGTATAAAAAACATTCCCAGCTATCACAGAACTAGAAGTCTTTTGTTTTAAACCCCTAACCTCCAAATGCAACACTTCATTAAAACAATTCACAGTAAGATAACCAAACTTGAAACAATTTATCTGGAAGATGTTGTTGTAGAATTTTTTTTTCTGAGTTTCCCAAATCTCCCACGTAACACTTGGCATTAAATAGGCAGGGTGGGATACCACAGACCATTGCTTCTTAGTACTCCAAAATGTGAGTTAAGCAGGAAGCAGCAAAGAGGCAGCTATACATTATCTCACAGTGAATGAAACAACAAACAAACAAACTTTATTTGTATGTACTTGTGTAAGAAATACTTAACATTCAGTATGTCTTTTTGGTTTGTAGAGTGCCCCTCCTCAACTTTGGCTAGAACCAGATTTTAATTTCAATACAGGGACGTCCAACTCCCAAGAGACTGCGATCTACTCCCAGAATAAAAAACTGGCAGTGATCTACCCATGGGGGGGGGGGAGAGACCCAAAGTTGGTGAGCTTTTTTTAGGTGGGAAACCAAAAGCTCTTCTGTTTTTTTTTTTGGGGGGGGGGGGGATGCCATAAATCACTAACCAAACAATAAACCGGCCAGCAACAACTCCGTCTTCTGTTTTTGCAATTGTGCGTAAATGAAGGACAGAGAGAGGGGGCAGGGCTGGATGTTCTTTTTCCCCCGCAGAGGAAATTGAGCCGGTGATCGACCGCTATCAACTGGAGATCGACCTGTCGATTGCGGTCAACCATTTGGGCATCCCTGCAATAGACAAATGCCTTTCTGCATTGACAACAGACTCTGTTTCATGCAGAGAATTTTGAACCATTGGTGCTTATAAGCTAAGATATCAGGAGCTATAATATCTAAGGGTTCAGCCTTTGAAAATCTTGAGTGTTGGGAATTGTTAATTGAGGGTAGATTGTGGCACAAGTTCCCAGTACAGTAGTTTAAATTGTTGCTTCCTTTGAAGCACCAAGTACCAGTAGCTGTCAAGACATAAATATACTTGGTTAGATGAACTGAGGATATTTATGTCTGTATGCTGCAGCTGAGGGCAGAACAAGTCCAGAACGTGATATTGGACATAAAAGTCAGCTTCCTCAAAAATACTGGCTTTTTAAAAACAAAAACAAAATTCTAGCCCTTATGACGGAAGATGTGATTGAAGATGTGTGGATGACACTTGATGAAATCTCAAGAAGCCAGAGAGGTGTGTGACTACATTTTTCACTGGTTGGGAAAGTCTGTGTGCTCTGACTAGCTCTTCGCCTCTCCACAGGCCTATTAAAGTCTAAAATGTGCAAAATAGTGAAAACAAACTTGTATTATTTTCTCAAAGTAAGGAGGGTGAATGCATACTTAGCTGGGTGTAGAATTTAGAATGCTTAGATGCAGAAATTTTATTTATTTATTTTTTGTATGAAGTAATTTCGGCATGGAACTGACTGTGGGTCAGGCACAATATAAGTAGCTCCTTAAATGAAGTTAATATCTGTGAAGTCTGTATCTTGAAGAATGAGTATCTGGACAAGACAATACTCTGGTATATTGCTGCCTTTCCCTCTGAGCAGGGAGCATTGTGTTAAGTGCTATTGTAACTAGATTTTCCTTGTTGCAGGGGGCTGTCGGTGCTCATACAGGTTAAATATAAATTGTACTGGCACCGGAAAGCCAAGAGCAATGTCCCCAAGATATTCCAGGATGTGGTCCGCCGACATCCAGAAAAAGTGGCCTTTATCTATGAAGCTACTGATGAGAAATGGACTTTCCGGCATCTGGATGAATATTCTAATGCTGTGGCCAACTTCTTCTACCAGCAAGGCTTTCGAGTTGGTGATGTCATTGCCATCTTTATGGAGAGTCGACCTGAGTTTGTAGGCTTCTGGCTAGGGATGGCCAAAGTGGGCATCGAGGCAGCCCTCATCAACTTCAACTTGCGTCTTGATTCTCTGACTTACTGTGTGAAAACATCAGGGGCAAAAGCCATCATCTTTGGCGGAGAGCTGTCAACAGGTGGGATTCCATTTGGTTTGCTGCTCCTTAAGCACTTCTTGTTGCACTCAGAGGAACTACACTTTTGTTTTGTGAGGAGGGGGAGAAGATTGATTTCTCTGGAGGAAATACTTGAAAGCTGCTCACTTCCTCAGGTGTCCAACTGAAGATCTGCAATTGCACTGTGGTAATTTGGCTCTTAGTAATATTTGCCAAGGTTGAATTGGTTGATCTGTTACGGAATGGGTCATCTCAAGGCAGTGCTAACATGCCCATCATTTCCTTGGTGCCAGAAGTGGGAGCAGGTTTCTCTTGCTCTCTCCTCTGTGTGTACTGTGCAGAAGCCAGTGTGGTCTGGAAGTAGAGGCAGAACGGTAGATTGGTGTCAAGGGGCTTCTCAGACCCTAATCCTCCACTTCATACCCATCACCCACCTGGCCCCCAAAATGGACATTTAGCTTCAGTCTTCTGCTAGGAGGAGCACAACTATATTCATTAATATTTTAATTATGTTGACATTTTCTATGCACCCTTCAGTAAAACACACAGGGCAGTGTACAACCAGAACAGTACATATATAGAAACACTATTAGAATAAAATGGCTTATATAAAGGATACCTCAAAAACTTTCCACACAAGCCTGTTTAGGTTTTAAGATCCTCACCAGAAGAATCCCTACTGTTGTCCCTACATCATATGAGGCAATATGCCTGTAAAAAGGCATTTTTGGTTGTGGTTCCTTGTCTTTGGATTTCAGCCCTCAGGGAATCTCAGCTAGTCCCATCTCTGATATCTTTCCAATCTTTTTACAGGTTGTTTAGTTTGACTGATGCATTTATTGGGCTCTTAAAATGCTCTTCTGTTGTATTGTATCAATCTTTATTGATGCTATATTGTTTATGAATGCTGCTAATTGTTTTGGGAGGTTTTATACTTTAAAAGCTGGAGAAAGTAGCAATTTAAAAAGACCCCTCCCCCATCAGCATTGATAGAAAGATCTCTAGTTCAAATGGCAGGATACAAATACTTTAGTATATCTTCTGTATATCTGCAGCAGGTGGGTTTGTGTCCCTGTGGCCTTTATTGCAGGGAGTAGGTCTGTGTGTGTGTGTGTGTGTGTGTGTGTGTGTGTGTACCATTCCTAGATAATGGTAGCAAGAACATGCTAGGTGTGGTTCCAGGGCATTGCTGTTGGGAAGGCTAGCCTGCATCTTTTCTTGCATGCAATTAGCATAATTTGAATATCATTATTGTAAGCATGGCATGAAAATTTACAGTTGGGTTTATTGTTCTTTTGACATAAACAGAATTCCCACAAGCTGTAGTTTGGCATCTTCTCAAAATTAGATTCTGAAAACTATTTGCCCTTGGGTACCTACTGTTTTGAGCTTCTTGTAAGGCTGACTATGTTTTGCAGCAATATCTGAAGTGAATGGGACATTGGGGAAAAATATGGTCAAGTTCTGCTCTGGAGACTTCAAACCTGAATTGGTTCCTCCAGGCACCAAACACCTGGACCCTCTTCTGGCTAAGGCAGCAACATCTCCTCCAACTCAGGTTCCAGCCAAGGGATTAGATGGTATGTTTCCATACAACCACACGCCTTTCCCTAATGAATCAGATTATCCTGCATAGTCCAGCAGGAGCGTCTGACAGACACTGATTCACGGGACCTTTCATCATGTTACTAGATGTCTCAGCTAGCACCTGTCCTGGTTTCAGGAAGGCATGGAAATTGAAAGCTTATAACCTCAGGGCTGTTTGCTGGGTCAAAAGAGCATAACTGCATCTTGCAACCTGGGCTGTGGGCCACCACAGGTCACTTTTACTGGCACAGAAGCCCTTCTGCTTATTGTTCTGTTCTGTTTTTTTTAGAACAGCTGTCTCGGAGATAAGTAGTTTACCAAGGTAGATGATAATGATGATGATGATAATTTATTATTTATACCCTCCCCATCTGGCTGAGTTTCCCCAGCCACTTGGGGCGGCTCCCAGTCGAGTGTTAAAAACAATACAGCATTAAATATTTAAAACTTCCCTAAACAGGGCTGCCTTCAGGTGTCTTTTAAAGATAAGGTAGCTGCTTATTTCCTTCACATCTGATGGGAGGGCGTTCCACAGGGCGGGCACCACTACCAAGAAGTCCCTCCTTCTGGTTCCCTGTAACCTCACTTCTTGCAATGAGGGAACTGCCAGAAGGCTCTCGGCGCTGGACCTCAGTGTCCAGGCTGAACGATGGGAGTGGAGACGCTCCTTCAGGAATACAGGACCGAGGCCGTTTAGGGCTTTAAAGGTCAGCACCAACACTTTGAATTGTGCTTGGAAACGTACTGGGAGCCAATGAAGATCTCTCAGGACCGGTGTTATGTGGTCCAGTCAGCCACTCCCAGTCACCAGTCTAGCTGCCACATTCTGTATTAATTGCAGTTTCCGGGTCACCTTCAAAGGTAGCCCCACGTAAAGCACATTGCAGTAGTCCAAGAGGGAGATAACTAGAGCATGCACCACTCTGGCGAGACAGTCCGCGGGCAGGAAGGGTCTCAGCCTGCGTACCAGGTGGAGCTGGTAGACAGCTGCCCTGGGCACAGTATTAACCTGCGCCTCCATGGACAGCTGTGAGTCCAAAATGACTCCCAGGCTGCGCACCTGGTCCTTCAGGGGCACAGTTACCCCATTCAGGACCAGGGAGTCCCACACACCCACCCGCCCCCTGTCCCCCCAAAACAGAACTTCTGTCTTGTCAGGATTCAACCTCATTCTGTTAGCCGCCATCCATCCTCCAACCACCTCCAGGCACTCACACAGGATATTCACCGCCTTCACTGGTTCTGATTTAAAAGAGAGGTAGAGCTGGGTGTCATCTGCATACTGAAAAACACCCAGCCCAAACCCCCTGATGATCTCTCCCAGCGGCTTCATAAAGATATTAAAAAGCATGGGGGAGAGGACAGAACCCTGAGGCACCCCTCAAGTGAGAGCCCAGGGGTCTGAACACTCATCCCCCAACACCACTTTCTGGACACGGCCCAGGAGAAAGGAGCGGAACCACTGTATAACAGTGCCCCCAGCTCCCAGCCCTTCTAGACGGTCCAGAAGGATGTTATGGTTGATGGTGTCAAAGGCTGCTGAGAGATCCAGCAGACCTAGGAAGCAGCTCTCACCTTTGTTCCTAACTCACCGGAGATCATCCCTTGATGAGGCCTGAATCCCGATTGGAAGGGATACAAATGGTCCGCATCCTCCAGGCATGCTTGGAGTTGTTCAGCAACCACCCGCTCAATCACCTTGCCCAAGAATGGTAAATTTGAGACTGGGCAATAGTTGGCCATACTGGCCGGGTCTAAAGATGTTTTTTTAAGAAGCGGTTTAATGACCGCCTCTTTCAGCAGGTCTGGGAAGGCTGCCTTGCAGAGGGAAGCATTCACCACCCCGTAGAGCCCATCACCCAGCCCTTCCTGGCTCACTTTTATTAGCCAGGATGGGCAAGGATCAAGGAGACAAAAGCTGAATGTCTCACTCATGCTCCACTTCTGTATTTTCTTCCTAGATCGGCTGTTCTACATCTACACCTCTGGCACAACTGGAATGCCCAAGGCTGCCATTGTGGTGCATAGCAGGTGAGGAGCATCAACGTGACTGTCCTGGGAACTTGGTCTGCCAATGTTCAGTATAGTTTTTAATTTGTGATTATTATTTTTTAATATGTACACAAATATCCAAGAAGCACTACTGGACAGTAGGTTGCCAGACACTTGTCTTTACAGCTGTCTTCTTGGAAGAAGGCATAACATTTCCTTCCTGTCTTTGAATAATTGAGAGGAGGCAGCAGGAGCAATGAAATGCAGCTTGTGCAGCTTTCTGATATTGTTGGGCCCATTGCACCAGATGTGTGTTGCATCTCTTCCCCACTTCCCATTGTATACATAGTCACCCTTAGGATAGTGACCCTGTGCCTAATCACATATACAAATGTAGGAAGCTATGTTATATCAAGCCAGACCATTGGTTTGATTATGGACTGCAGTTCCTTCACAGAGAAAAAGTAAGAAACGCTGAGGGCCAGGTGGAAATGAATTCCATAATAATATAAAACGCTGAGAGTGTTATCTATGGAAACAGGGCTCCCTGAGAGAATTTGATTTCTCCTCTTGTAGTGTGTGGGTGCGTGGGGGGGACTATTTTGGATCTTATGGATAGAAATCATGCAGGAGCCTTCATCATGGGGTTAGTACCTTCTGCAGCTTTTTTCTTAGATGTACCTGTGAACACGAAATAGGATCCTGAAAATAGTCTCCTTTGTTACATTGCCTGCATGTTCTTGTGTTGTTGCTTTAGAAAGTCTGCTTATGTGAGCTGAAATTGTCCTTTTTACCAAATACTTACTTTCTTCTTGCTACTGCTAGATAGTATTAAGTGACCTAAATTCATACATGCTTTTTGTTTCCTTGCAGATATTACCGAATAGCAGCTTTTGGTTATTATGCCTACAGAATGACCCCCAATGACATAATCTATAACTGTCTACCACTGTATCACTCAGCAGGTAGGCCATAGTTTCTGCTGCTTGTTTTAGTTATGGAGGCTTGCTCTGGCGTTGCTGGGGGCACTCTGTTGTTTAAAGATGATGCTGTCCTCCAGGTTCATGGCAAACCCGCCATGCTGACAACCTTTCTCTCTTTCTCTTAGGGAATATCATGGGTGCTGGCCAGTGTGTGATCCATGGCCTGACTGTAGTGATTAGGAAGAAATTTTCTGCCAGTCGCTTCTGGGATGACTGTGTGAAATACAAGTGCACAGTAAGGAGAGCCCCAAACTCTGCTTGTAGGCACCACAGTTTGTAGGAGGTGGGAGCAAATGCATTTGTGGGGAGGGTCTGCTTGGAAAGAAAGCTCCAGCTCAAAAAGATCAAGAAGACCCTTTAACAGGAATGAAATCAGAAATTACCTTGAGGTAAATGGGGTACTCCAAATGATATGTGTGCACTAGTTCTTTGCAAATCCCTGTTTCAGCTGGATTTATAAGATCCCAAAGCTGTTTCAGTCACTGAAGGGCAATTGGTATTGGCACATTAAACATTGTGGATGTTCCTGTGATCCAGAGTACTTGGGTTCTCCTGAGCATAAATAATTAGGAAGGGTTCCCGTTCAAATATTGTGATCTGTACCCACCCTAAACCTTTGCAGGTGCCTTTAGCTGCCTATCCAGCTAAAGCTAGTTTTTCTTGCCAAGAGACGCCCATGGACAGGCAGGAGTCATTCAAACCCTGGTGGTTTGTAGGTGCTAAAGTGAATTAGTTACACACTCAAGTCATGATGAGGCTGTGGTGGAAAGTCCAACTATCATCCTTCCTGCATCTCAGTGGATTATGTCCTATGGTTCAGAACTCTCTGTCTCACTCTGCCACTCCTAATGGCACTTGGGGATCTGCTACCTGAGGCAGCCACTTCACTTTGCCTCATGAATAGCCACCTCTGAATAGAGATGGACAGTCTCTTGTCCCTTTATTGGAGGTGTGGCAATGAATTAAGTCGAATACATAGCTGCTGGCCCTTGTCTTCCAGAACTGCATTTGACTCCAGTGCCTGGCTAGCAGCTTCATGTGCTTCTTGCTTTCAGAATTTCCTTGCAAAGGAAGATTCCAGCAGGGAATCCCTTGACCGTTTGCCCTCCCATTCCAGATACAGTGGTACCTCCAGTTGCTGACGGGATCCATTCCAGATGTCCGGCCGGATCCTGAGGTTTTTGCAACCGGAGAGACTGCTTCCGCGCATGCACGCTCGGCAAAAACCCGGAAATATACTTCTGGGTTTGCCGCTTACGTATCCCGAAGTTTACGTAACCGGAAGGATACGTAAGCGGAGGTACGACTGTGTAGCTATATTGGGTAACACGGAGAGGCTTACATAGTGAGAAAGCTAATCCCATTTCTAACACTCTTGCTGCTGCCAGTGTCTTGTGTGACACTCATCAAGGAAAGTGCTGGATTGATTTTTCCTCTCCCCTGTTGCATTGATCAAGAACTGATTCTTTAAGCTGACCTCATCTCCTAGCATTTCCTTGTAGTACTAGGCTTCACTTATTCTTTGAAGTGCTGTGCATATTTATTGATTTATAAAAAGTATTTGTAGACTGCCCCACCATATAGAATTCCAAGCTCACCACCAGGCATAACACTGGACCAGGTGAAATGTCTGACTTCGTTGTAGTACTGTGTCAGAATTGTGTCTGAGCAATAGGTAGCTTTTGTGGCTATTTCCAAGACAATCTTGCATTATATGGTTGCATTACTATGGATTTGGTTTGAATGTGCCCTTGCATGTGAACATGTAGCAACACTTATGCTTCCTCCTCTGATTCTCTTAGTTTTACTGTAGGCCAAGTGGTTAGAATAACTTTACTAAATCTTACTAGTCAATCGCATTTTCATTAGTAGATTTTATATTCATATGAATTAAAATATTGCTCTGAAGACAAAAGCATTCCTTCATCTTATGATACATGGACGTATTGCAGCAGGAAGAGTCATTTGTTCTCAGAAGAATCATTTGTTCATGTGTGAGAGAAGAAGGGGAATGCCTTGTATTCTTAGAAAGAGCAGCAGCCCATGGTTTGTAAATGCCATGGCACCTTTCTAAATAATAAAAATAGAATAAAATACAGGATCAAAATAAGTAAAAACAACAACAGCAAAACAATACTCCCACAGATACTAATCAGCAAAAAGCCTGGTTGAAGAAGAGTGTTTTTCCTGGCACTTAAAAATATATAATGAAGGGGCCAGGCAAACCTCCCTGGGGAGAGTATTTCACAAATGGGGAGCCACTTCATAGGAGACCTGTTCTTGTGTTGCCACCTCTGGACCTCTCGTGGAGGAGGCGCATGAAGAGGGCCTCAGATGATGAACACAGAGTCTGGGGTTGTTTATATGAAAGCTAATCAATTAAAGCTTTCAGTCATTCAACCATGCAGTATTTTCTGGACGAATGGACTCGTAATACATCCCCCCCCCCATACTTAAAGTAGTAAAAATATTTTTTATATACAGAAAAAACTTATGCCCATTTTCTCCTGAAAGTAATCAGAAAAACAGATATCCTTCCTCCGTCTCTTCAAAAGTTCTGGAAATGTTGCATTTTGACCTAATTTTCTAAAGGGTTTAGTAATCTTTCAAATCTAGTCTGTCTTGTTCTTCTTAGATTATCCAGTATATTGGGGAGATCTGCAGGTATCTGCTGAACCAACCGGTGCGGGAGGCAGAGAAACACCACCAAGTGCGACTGGCAATAGGAAATGGTTTGAGGCCTACCATATGGGAAGACTTCACCCAACGCTTCCAAATTAAACAGATTGGGGAATTTTATGGGGCTACAGAGTGTAACTGTAGCATTGCTAATTTGGATGGAAAGGTATGTTAAAGGGCTGCCATGGCAATATATATTTGGGAGGTGTCTGTAATTTATTCTTTATTTTGAAATAGTTTTAGGCTGCTTTTTTGGGCTATTCCTGTCCAGACTGGCTTACAGTCATAAAACAACAACAAAGAAATGGTAATATAATATTGGGGGGGGGGGACCAATCGCCTCAAAAGAATAACTAGGTCAAGATAACATAATTCTATGTAGCCACAGTCTAATTAAAGTCACTCCTAGAAAGCCATTTGAAAGAGAGATTTTCAAGTTTGTGTTAATTTGGCCTGAACAACAATTCTTACTCATGCAGGATGGGAGTGGGCAACATGGCCTAATGTCAAGTGGGGGTCGGGGTGGAGTGCCTGGAGGGAGAGAAGGAAGCTGTGAATAGAAAAATGGAGGGTGGGGAACGCAAGATGGAGGAAGTGGTGGAAGGAGGGGCAGGGAAGGCAAGTGATTAATTCAGATCTCTGGCAAGTGTAATCCATCCCTCTCCTTCCATCCATCCCTCTCCCTCTCCATTGGGAGGAAAGGAAGGAGGAGGGGAAGAGAGGGGGAGGGGTGGTGATTGCTCTGACCTCCCCTGGCCTCAGCCTCAGGCACGGACAGCATGTGGTCCCTGACAATGACCCTCAAGGGAAGGTGGCCCTGGACAGAAAAAAGATCCTGCCCCCTTACGTTGGGGCTGGATAGTGCCTAGCCCACTTGTGGCATAGGCTCACAGAGCCTAATCTTTACAGACCCTTCCATGTGCAAGCTCCATTTCTGAAGAGTGTTAATTGGAAGCAACTCTCTTCCCCACCCAATACACAAACAGCTGCAACTTTTTATGTAGCTCCAACCATCTGCCAGAAGAAACGCAGCCCCATTTTAGCACAGGGCTACATGCAAAGTTGTATCAAGTTGCTGTGAACCATGCAGCAAGATGAATATGCAGTGGTTTAAGTAACCCAAGAAGTGACTGGATTAGTGGGGAAATCCCTTCACACAGCAGGTCATTGCTAGATGTGACAGCAGTTTGTAGACTGACGTCAGAAAGGACAATTCAGAAAGGACATATCAGTAAAATTAGAATTCTATTCTATGATTCTAATTTTACTGATATGGTCTGCTTACCACTGTCAGGACTGGTCGTTGTCCTCTTCAGATCACCACACAAACACTTCTTGTTCTTTTATAACTTTTTATTGTGTATTAACAAACAAACTTTTAAACGCTCCTTATCTTTAACTATTCTTCCTCAGAGTCACTTATTTCAGATACCTTCTGAGCTCTGCTTCTCCATGACCAGCCACCTTCAAAATGGCGAAGGTGCCCTTTCCTTTGCTTTCCTGCTCTTTTTCCTACCCTCCTGGCTAGAGCTGGCTTGTATCTCCCCTCCTCCGAATCTGAGCTAGAACTGAACCCTTGCCTTTCCTGGGAACAGCCGGTCCCTCCCTGTTGTTCCTCTTGCTCTCTTCTGTTAGATTCACTGCTCTCCTCCCCCCCTTGGGGAAAACATTCTCCCTCTGGGAAACTGGAAACTTCTAACTCTTCCCTGACAACCACCAGGTCCAGATTAACAACTTCGCTCTATTAAATCCTCATTGATGTACACTATTACCAGTTTTCAGTTTTCATTTATAGATTGTGGGTGGCGCTGTGGTCTAAACCACTGAGCCTCTTGGGCTTGTTGATCAGAATCCCCGCAATGGGGTGAGTGCCCGTTGCTCGGTCCCAGGTCCTGCCAACCTAGCAGTTCAAAAGCACTCCAAAAAGTGCAAGTAGATAAATAGGTACCATTGTGGCGGGAAGGTAAACGGCGCTTCCATGTGCTGCTCTGGTTTCGCCAGAAGCGACTTAGTCATGCTGGCCAAATGACCTGGAAAAACTGTCTGTGGACAAATGTCAGCTCCCTCTGCCAGTAAAGCGAGATGAGCGCCGCAACCCCAGAGTCGTCTGCGACTGGACTTAACTGTCAGGAGTCCTTGACCTTGACCTTTTTAATGTCACGGTGCATCCCAATTTCTTAAGAGGACTGTTCCTCATTGGGGTTCCTGCCAGCCTAGAACAGGAACCTTAGACTGTTCTATGGAGGGGGTTGGGTGAAGTAGAAGCTTCAGGACTGGGGGAAGGACATTTTGTGAGGCACTAAAGATATTGCTTGAACCTGAACATTTTATTACCATATGTAAAGTGTGTATTATAGCAGTGGAGGTACTGGAAAGGGGAAAAGGAAAAGAGACATTTTTCTTCCTGAAACATTCCTGTATAATGCAAGGAGACTATCAATTTAAAAGCAAACAAACTGGTGGGACATATCTCTCTCTTCCCCACATCCCTAGCAATACCACACTCCAGGATATTTGCTACAGTATAGGGGGGTTGAGCAGGTCCTCCTCCCCTGTTTCCTTTTGTTTGTTTCTGTTCTCCTCAGCTGATCATTCTTCAGGGATCTGTATACACTGGAAGCTCTCTGGCTGTTCCTTGCTGGTTAATCATGGCAAACGACTCAGGGTAGCCTCCATCGTCTTTTAAACTTTGCTTTATCTTTTGTCAGGTTGGTGCCTGTGGCTTCAACAGCCGGATTTTGCCAAATGTGTATCCTATTCGCTTGGTAAAAGTAAATGAGGATACCATGGAATTGATAAGGAAAGAGAACGGACTATGCATCACCTGCCGCCCAGGTAAATGTCACTGTGATTGCCATATGATATTGCTGTGTGTTAGGAGCATCCCTAGCCATCTTCTGACCTGAATGGTGTTACCTCCCAGGGCTGATTGTGGGGAGGATTGTGGGCAGACACTTCTAGGGCAGGGTTGTTCTTTGCTTCACCAGGGAGAGCAAGATGGCCAGAAGCAGAGTAGACATCAAGTGTCAGGTGAAGGAGTCCATGGTCTTGTGAAGGGCTTCACTGCTGCTAATCTAAACATGTTTGTAAGACACACTGAATACCTAAAAGGTGGAAGGGTGGGATATAAATTAGTTGAATAAATAAATATGCAGAGCAAGGGAAGGGAGGGAGGAGCATAGAACCCTGGAACAGAGCAACAGGCTGAAAAGTTAACTGGTGGCAATTGGAAGGGGAAGAAGAAGTTGAAGAGAAACGTAAGAGGATGAAGAGAGAGAAAGAAGAGGGTAGATAAAAAGATAGCCATACAAGAAAGGTAAGCACAGACACAGAGTGGGGTAGCGGAACCTGGGACTCTCCAGAAGTTGCTGGCATACAGCTTTAATCATCCCTGGCCATGCTAGGTGGGGATGATGGGAGTTGGAGTGCAACAACATCTGGAGGGCCATAGCTTAGCTACTCCTGATATAAAGCAGCAGAGTTGAGAGATTCAAATGAATCTTTTAGGACAAGGATTGGCAGCCATCCCAAAAAGTGACAGCCAACTGATGATTGTTTCCATGTACATAACCAACGGTGGTTTGAGGCTGAATTATTTATGGGTGTACTTCTGTTTGTTGTAATTGGTTAACTGGTCTTTATATTGTGAAATATTGATCTGGTTTGGGTGATCAGTTTGTGGCTTAATAAGCCATGATATGCACAAGCTCTGTACACCTGTATGCAACTCCTTTGCAGCTAATTTGTTCTTCCCAGGTTGCTGAACAAATCAAGAAGACAGAGTGAACCGCAGCTACCTGTTACATCTGAACTGGCAAAATATGGTCACTAGCTTCCAGAAAGCCAGAATCTGGAAGTCAACTAGCTTCAGATCCTGTTTGGAAGTTCTTAAGTTTGGGTCCATGGCACTTGTGTATATCCTGGCTTTTAAGTGACAAAAAAATTAAATCTTTATTAATTTCCCACATAGACATATAAACATAAATAACAAATCATACAAAGCAAAAGTGTGTGAGTGTCTGGAGGCGGTTGGAGGATGGATGGCGGCTAATGGATTGAGGTTGAATCCTGACAAGATAGAAGTACTGTTTTGGGGGGACAGGGGGCGGGCGGGTGTGTGGGACTCCCTGGTCTTGAATGGGGTAACTGTGCCCCTGAAGGACCAGGTGCGCAGCCTGGGAGTCATTTTGAACTCACAGCTGTCCATGGAGGCGCAGGTCAATTCTGTGTCCAGGACGGCTGTCTACCAGCTCCATCTGGTATGCAGGATGAGACCCTCCCTGCCCGCACACTGTCTCGCCAGAGTGGTGCATGCTCTAGTTATATCCCGCTTGGACTACTGCAATGTGCTGTATGTGGGGCTACCTTTGAAGGTGACTCGGAAACTGTAATTAATCCAGAATGCGGCAGCTAGACTGGTGACTGGGAGTGGCCGCCGTGACCATGGAACATCGGTCCTGAGAGATCTTCGTGGGCTCCCAGTACATTTCTGAGCACAATTCAAAGTTTTGGTGCTGACCTTTAAAGCCCTAAATGACCTCGGTCCAGTATACCTGAAGGAGCGTCTCCACCCCCATCGTTCAGCCCGGACACTGAGATCCAGCGCCGAGGGCCTTCTGGCGGTTCCCTCATTGCGAGAAGTAAGGTTACAGGGAACCAGGCAGAGGGCCTTCTCGGTGGTGGCGCCTGCCCTGTGGAACGCCCTCCCAGCAGATGTCAAGGCAATAAACAACTATTTTACTTTTAAAAGACAACTGTGTCAGGGAAGAGTAAGAGGTAGAAGTTTCCAGTTTCCCAGAGGGAGAAAGTTTTCCCCAAGGGGGGAAGGAGAGCAGTGAATCTAACAGAAGAGAGCAAGAGGAACAAGAGGGAGGGACAGGATGTTCCCAGGAAAGGCAAGGGTTCAGTTCTAGCTCAGATTCGGAGGAGGGGAAATACAAGCCAGCTCTAGCCAGGAGGGTAGGAAAAAGAGTGGGAAAGCGAAGGGAAGGGCACCTTCGCCATTTTGAGAGTGGCTGGTCACCGAGAAGCAGAGCTCAGAAGGTGTCTGAAATAAGTGACTCTGAGGAACAGTAGTTAAAGATAAGAACCATTTATAAGTTTGTTAATACACAATAAAAAGTTATAAAAGAACATAAAAAGCATTTGTGTGGTGATCTGAAGAGGACAACGACCAGTCCTGACACCCTGTTTAGGGAAGTTTTTAATGTCTGATGCTGTATTGTTTTTAATACTCAGTTGGAAGCCGCCCAGAGTGGCTGGGGAAACCCAACCAGATGGGTGGGGTATAAATAATTTATTTTTATTATTATTATATTTTTAAAAAGCAATACAAGTAAAGAAAAAATAGAAGAAAAGCGGGGAAGAAAAGAAAAAATACACTATATTACAATTAAATAACAGGTTAAAATGTAAAACTTCCAATAATTCTTATTATTCTGCTTATACTGTCTGTATTTTCTTGCACAGATTTATGTTATTTCATTATGTACACACACACACACACACACACAAACACACACACACACACACACACACACATATATATATATTCCAGTATAATATCTAATACACTTTTTGCTTACAAGTATCAATCTAGTTCTGCAATATCTTATTGCTTGTACAATGCAATTTTAGATATTCTTTGAATATTTTCCATTCTCTGTATACTTTCTGGTTTGACACTCCTCTGATTCTTCCCATCAGTTTTGCTAGTTGCAGGTATGCTATCATAAGAGTCTGCTACTCTGTAATCGTTGGTGGGATTTCATTTTTCCAGTTTCTTGCCACTATTATTCTGGCTGCCGTGATTGCATACATAGACAATGGTCTTATATTTTTTTAAAATTCTATTGGTAGTATACCTAATAGGAAGTTTTCTGGTCCTTTTTAAAATGTAAATTTGAATAGTTTTTAAAGTTCACTACAGTGGTACCTCAGGTTAAGAACTTAATTCGTTCTGGAGGTCCTTTCTTAACCTGAAACTGTTCTTAACCTGAAGCACCACTTTAGCTAATGGGGCTTCCCGCTGCTGCCGCGCCGCTGCTGCGCAATTTCTGTTCTCATCCTGAAGCAAAGTTCTTAACTCAAGGTACTATTTCTGGCTTAGCGGAGTCTGTAACCTGAAGCGTCTGTAACCTGAAGCGTCTGTAACCCGAGGTACCACTGTATAGATGTTATTCCAAAATTCATGGATAACCACAGTTCCACCACATATGAAAATATGACCCTGTCCTTTTTGCATTTCCAGCATGTTGGCGACCTGTCTTTATACATTTTAGGGGTGTGGTGCCATCTGTATTGCATCGTCATAGCGTTTTCCCTAAGGTTGTAGCATGCCGTGAATTTAATATCTGGCCTCCATAATCTTTCCCATTGTTCCATGTAGATATTGTATCCAAGGTCCTGCACCCACCTTACCATTACTACTTTAATTTGTTCCTCTTTTACTTCCCATTCTAATAAATAGTCGTAAATTCGTCGTAAATTTGTGATATGTTTTTTCCTTTATTGTGGGTTAACGCTTTTTCGAATTTGAATGTTTCTTTTACAAGACCTTCTTTCTTATCTATATACAGTCTTTGATTTAACTGAAAATATTGGAGCCAGTCTGACAGGTGGTTTTTGATTTCATCATATTTCTTCAAAGTTGGCTCATCTTTATCCACATCTAGTAATAATCGGGACGTGGGCCACTCTCCTTTCATATTCCTCCTTTTAACTGCTATGGCTTCTGCGGGTGAGGTCTTAAGGGACAAATTGGCTGTCCCAATAGGGCCATTGTTCCTAATCATTAGATCTGAGTCCTTGCTAATTTGCTTTTGCTCTTTGTCATAGTCAAACCTGCAGTTAGTATGACTTCAAGAGCAGATTGGAGATTTTGTGGCACCTTAGATAACTAGGGCCCATGTACTTATTGTGTAGTGATCTGAAATGCAAATGCAGGCTTCCTCAAGGGAACTGAATTGCTACCTCATGAACATGTAAACTGGGCCTCTCTGTCTGACTGCATTGCTACTGTCCCATGTACTACTGACCCATCTTAACTAAATGTGAATTAAAGACATATTTTGCCAGCAGCATCTGTGTGAGGAACGTGTGCTGTCCTGAACTGATGTAGATTAACAGGACAACTCAATGTATGGTCCTATATTTGAAGCTAACCATGGAGCTGAACCACATGTGATTGTCACTTATGAAGAACAATTGTCTTTTTTCCCTTTTCTTGGCCATCCTCCCTTCCCCAGTTGTTCACTCCCTGGCACCAAAGTTGATGTATGCAGCTAGGTGAACCGGTTCTCTCTCTCTCTTGTGCTTCTCTTTAATGGTATCATAATGTTGCATGATGGTATCACTCTGCAGCATGCATGAATTTTGTCAGGCAAAAATACTGTGAGATGAAAGTGCACAAAATGGTGTAATGGTTAGAGTGTTAGACTATGACCTGGGAGACCAGGGTTTAAATCCCAACTCACTGGGTACCCTTGGGCCAGTCACCATCTCTTAGCCTAGCACACCTCACAGGGTTGTTGTGAGGATGAACTAGGGACGAGGAGAACCATGTACATCCCCTTGAGCTCCTTGGAGGAAAAGGTGGCATATAAATGTAATAAATAAATAATAAAATAGTTGGAATATCTGTAGAACAGACCTCCACAGGCTGCAGTCTTTTACACACCTAACCTGGGAGTAGAGACCCACTAACTTCATACATGAGTAAGACTGGGCTACATGTCTCATTGGATGTCTGGTTTTATAGGGCTGTGAACAAATCAGTCTACTTTTCTTGGGATGTTGTGGCAGAAACATGGAAACTTCAGATGCAAACAAATTCTATCCAGCTGCATTTCTAGTGGTTACTTTGGAATAATCTTTGCAGAAGTATCTTGATTTCCATTTTTTCCATCTGGAATTATTATTTTCAGGAGAACCAGGACTACTTGTGGGTCGAATAAACCAGGAGGATCCTTTGCGTAGGTTTGATGGCTATGTCAATGAGAATGCGACCAACAAGAAGATTGCTTACAATGTCTTCCAGAAAGGGGACCAGGCTTACCTTTCAGGTACTCTTCAGGTCATCATCTTGTTCTTTGGTGGCTAGAGATATTTACAGTTGTGGCCTAGAAGATTGATCTTGCTCAGACTAAACACAGCAAACCCTGCCCTCAGTTACTCTACCTCTAAGGACAGGTTCAAATATTTGATATTTTTTTCCTTGGGAGCAGCCCTGTACTGGCAGTTGAGTGGAGGAAGGAACATCTGACTGAATTTCTATAGTTAAAAATGCCATGGGTTCCCAGTAGTGACTCATGCAAGTCAGTGCCACTGCTCTCATGTGACTTGGCTTTAGGAAGCAGCACTTCCTAAGCATGGATGTGCGAAGTCAGACTGCTCTGTGTATCACATTTATCTAAAAGATGTGTACCCTGCCTTTCTGTTAACCAGAATTGAGAAGACGGCTTAACTATAGTATAACCTGGAAGTACAATATAAGCTTAGACAAGAAAAGAAAAAAAGACGTAAATAATCAGGGGTGGGGGGTGGACGCCTATGTGCTGCCTTCATTGCCTTTTCTATGTCTTTGTTTCAATAGAGCACTGCTCCATGTGCAGGGGATTTCAAGTGGTTATGGTTCTTGTCCTCCTAAGCCTTCTGGTTTGATTTTGTTACCTATTGTGATGGAATAGTTTTACCACAGGGAATTATTCATTCTTGCCCAGCCTCTGAGCCTTTATCTGCTTGTTTGGCTCTTGAGTCATTCCATTAGCGGCTGGAGAGCAACAATGTCACTTTATCATCAGATGTCATCAGATGTCAAAGCGATAAACAACTACCTGACATTCAGAAGACATCTTAAGGCAGCCCTGTTCAGGGAAGTTTTTAATGTGTGATTTTACTGTATTTTTGGTTTCTGTGGAAGCCGCCCAGAGTGGCTGGGGAAACCCAGCCAGATGGGCGGGGTACAAATAATAAATTATTATTATTATTATTATAAATTATTATATTTATTTTGGTCTTCTGTTACTGGATCCCCAATTGTAGAGGCAGAGACAACTACGTTCATCAATAATTAGCCAATCACAATTATTTTTAGCCTGTCTTGCAGGATACAAATCCTTCCAAGGCAATTTACCAGAAAAATAATTATTTAAAACTACAATTAAGAAAGTCAACATAGAAAAGCATCAGGATCGTTCTCACAGTGGTAGGCCAGGTCTGCATTGATGAGAAATGTGTCCTCCAGATGTTGGGATCCCAACTCCCATCAGCCTGGCCAGCTTGGCCAGTTGTCAAGAAGGATGGGAGCTGCAGTCCAACGATAACTGAAAGGCTGCATATTTCTCATCCCTGCTGCAGAGAAAGGGAACAGCCACCTGGAACAGGGGCAGGCATGTGATGTTCTTGCCTCCTTCCCTTGCTGTTGTGGGATCCTTCCTCCAGGGCAGTAGGTAGTAGATACCCAGTGATCCCCAAAAGCAGGCAATTCTGCTGTTTGTTTGGGTATTGAGTGTGGTTTCTTTAATTTCAGGAGATGTACTAGTGATGGATGAACTTGGCTACATGTATTTCAAAGACCGGAGTGGGGACACGTTCCGTTGGCGTGGGGAGAATGTCTCTACCACAGAGGTTGAAGGAATCCTGAGCCACATCCTCAGCAAGACAGATGTTGCTGTTTATGGAGTTGAAGTGCCAGGTAAACAGAACAATGCAATTGCAGGGAATGCAATTTGGACCAGCGAGTAGGCATTATTATTATTATTATTATTATTATTATTATTATTATTCTTTTATTTATACCCCACCCATCTGGCTGTTTAGTTTCCCAGAATAGTTAGAAATCAGTATTTGCTTTTGGGATTGGGGTCCTGCAAGCAAGCTGATGAGAAAGGAGAGTAAATCATACAGAAATAGGATTCACCTAGCAGAGATACATTCACCACTAGAGAGGAAGTAAATACAAATGAGCAATCAGAGTGTAATCCTCTAAAAACATCATCAGAATGTCTTTAGTGCAGTGCTTTTCAACCAGTCTGCCGTGGCATCCTAGGGTGCCTTGAATGGTGGTCGGGTGCCTTGGGCAACACTGGCCTCTGGCCCTCTTTCCTTCCCTCCCTCCTCTGATACCCTCTTGCATCTCTGGCTCCCAAAGGCTTGCACAGCTGTTTGTTGCAGCAGCCCGGTTACAAGCTCTGCAGGCAAATGATGCCTCTGGGGCTGGTCAGGGAGTGCTGGTTGCCAGAAGCTGAGGCGGCATCGGAGTAAGCAAGCAAGTGGGTGAGGGAGCCCAGCCAGCCAGCCAGCCCTTGCTGTTGGGAATGGAGAGACAGGTCCCAGGCCCCTGTGGGGCAGTGTGAGGAGACTTTTGAAACTGACAACAGAGATATCTGTTGAAAAGGACAATCTACAGTGACCATTAAAATAATGTGATGACAAAGGTCTTCCTCTAGTTAAAGGAGAGGAAGGCGTATAGACTGGGCTTATTTCCTTCTGCCAAAGGACTCTTGGTCACTGTTAGTGGCATAGCCCAGATTTCTGGCATGGATTGTTGGAGCAGAACAAAACATCCTTTATGCGGAGTCACTGAATAATAGCTGGTGACTGAAATGAAAGGAGCAGAGTGAAGAGTTAATGTGAGCAAGAGGGCAGAAATTGTCTTTTGATTCAGAAAGTCTACTGTCCTTTCAATTATCTACACTAGTAGCCAATATTGTGGAAACGTTTTGGAGAAAGTGTATTTCCGAGGTTTATTGGCTCTAACGCTACTTGTTTTTGGAGTAATAGAAAGATAATTTAATGAAGAATGGAATGCCACAACGTGTGTTCAGTTATCTGTATTCTATCAAAGGTTATGGCCAAATAACCAGAAAAAGGAGTGTTTAGAGGGCCAATTAGGTGTTACCTTGGCTCATAACACCACTTTTTCTTTGAGTAAAACCATAAAATTATATATCAATGGAAAGATAATTTAATGAAGAATGGAATGCAATAACTTTTATGGAGGATTATTTATTACAACATAAATAAGGAGGACATTTGTCAGTGTGTTATGTGATTGCTATCAAGTTGGTTGGGGTTTTTTTTTTGTTCTTTCATTTAGTGAGCTTGTAAAACGTAAAAAAATTAAAGAAATGGTGCAAAGTTGACTGATCACCCAGGAAGTGATGTAAAATAGTATCATTAAGTGAACAAGGTTACAGTTATGAAGAAATTAGAAGAAAAATTGGTAGAAACTTACCCAAAGGGGCATTTCTATATTTTTGAAGAGGTATAAGGAGGCTCATTCACTACAAAATCAAACTGGTAAAGGCAGGAAAAGGTGCACAACAGCAAGTGACGGTGGAAGAATTGAGAGACTGTGCCTAAATGACAGAAGAAAATCATCTGGGTGTATACAAGATGACATGGCACAATATAATGTGAAGTTGAGTGCCAGGACTGTTCGGCGCAGACTGCAGGAATATGGTCTAAATGCTAGAATTCCAAGGAAAAAGCCATTGTTATCTCTCAAAGAAAGGTTGAAAAGATTAAACGGGGCTAAAACCCATGTTAACTGGACAGCGGAACAAGGGACTATCTCTTTGCTTGATAGTGATGGCATGAAATACGTGAAGAGGAAAATCGGAGAAGATTTACATCCCACTTGTATTACTCCTACCGTGAAACACCCAGTTAGTGTTACGACCTGGGGTTGTATGACAGCAAAACGTGTGGGCAGAATTTGCATCATTAATGGGAATGTAAATGCCCAAAAATGCATAGCCCAGACCAAAACCCAATCAAAAATCTATGGAGAAAGTTGTTAGTCAGAAGCAACCCAGCAATAAAACCCAAATAAAAGAGGCAATAATTCAATCTTGGTTTCACATTATTATAGCTGCAGAACTAAAAAACTTGGTTCACTCCATGGGAAGGCTAAAGGTTGCCCAACTAAGTATTAACTGACATGGGGAGAATTTTTGTATATTAATTTTTTTCTATGTGTTTCATGTTCTTTTCTTTATGACTGCTGTTGTAATAAATAATCCTTCATAAAAGTTATTGCATTCCATTCTTCATTAGATTATCTTTCCATTAATATATAATTTTATGGTACAGTGGTACCTCAGGTTAAGAACTTAATTTGTTCCGGAGGTTCGTTCTTAACCTGAAACTATTCTTAACCTGAGGTACCACTTTAGCTAATTGGGCCTTCTGCTGCTGTGCAATTTCTGTTCTCATCCTGAAGCAAAGTTCTTAACCCGAGGTACTATTTCTGGGTTAGCGGAGTCTGTAACCTGAAGCGTCTGTAATCTGAAGTGTCTGTAACCCAAGGTACCACTGTATTACTAAAATAAAAAAGGTGTTATGAGCCATCATTGCCAAAACAAGATGACACATGATTGGCCCTCTAAACACTCCTTTTTCTGGTTATTTGTCTATAACTTTTGATAGAATACAGATAACTGAACAAGCTTCATTGCATTACATTCTTCATTAAATTATCTTTCCATTGATATATAATTTTGTGGTATTACTCCAAAAACAAGTGGTGTTATGAGCCATCAAACCTTGGAAATACACTTTCTCCAAAAGGTTTCCACAATTTTGGCTACTAGTGTATTGTTTCCTCCACTGACTCCAAAATGGCTCGCAGCAATTAAAATTCACTATACAATGTTGATGCAGGGCAGAAAGCTGTACATAATTAAAAATGAGATATGAGCCCTGCCTTTGGATCTTCAAACTAAAAAAACTAGAGGTTAAATGAGGGAAGGGGGGAAGATGAGATTGACGCTGCCGGAACAATTTGGTGAGTTGGAATTGGCATTTTCCTCTGGTGTTCCTTTTGTTCATAGGGAGGGGAGCAACTAGCAACAACTCCCTCTCCAGAGACAGAGGCTAGAGCAGGCATGGCCAAACTTGGCCCCCCAGCTGTTTTGGGACTACAACTCCCATCATCCCTAGCTAACAGGACCAGTGGTCAGGGATGATGGGAATTGTAGTCCCAAAACAGCTGGAGGGCCAAGTCTGGCCATGCCTGCGCTAGAGTGACATTCCTGGTGCAGTCACAGGGCAAGTAACAGTTCTTTCCTGTGGGAAGGCAGCAGGCAACCTCTCTGGCTAGGCTGTTTTTTTATCCTTTGCTGTGAAGTTATTTGTGGGAGGGAGGAGTGAAACCTGATTTGAATTCCAGCTGTGGATTTTGCTAGGTTGGATCTAATTGCTCCTTTGCGGTGTAAGATTGTGTCCCTTCCTGTGTTTTTGTTTTGATTTCAGGAGTAGAAGGCAAGGCAGGAATGGCAGCCATTGCTGATCCTGAAGCCAAGTTAAACCCTAACGTGCTGTACCTAGAGATGCAGAAAGTACTGCCCCCTTATGCACGACCCATCTTCCTCCGGCTCTTGCCCCAGGTTGACACTACAGGTAATGGCACATTTGCAGCAAGATCCTCTCTTGGCACCCGGCCCAGGTTGCCTGTTTGCTGTCAGACTCTATGCTGGAATATTTGGTCTCGGTATAGAATCATAGAATCATAGAATCATAGAGTTGGAAGAGACCACAAGGGCCATCGAGTCCAACCCCCTGCCAAGCAGGAAACACCATCAGAGCACTCCTGACATATGATTGTCAAACCTCTGCTTAAAGACCTCCAAAGAAGGAGACTCCACCACACTCCTTGGCAGCAAATTCCACTGTCGAACAGCTCTTACTGTCAGGAAGCTCTTCCCAATGTTTAGGTGGAATCTTCTTTCTTGTAGTTTGGATCCATTGCTCCGTGTCCGCTTCTCTGGAGCAGCAGAAAACAACCTTTCTCCCTCCTCTATGTGACATCCTTTTATATATTTGAACATGGCTATCATATCACCCCTTAACCTCCTCTTCTCCAGGCTAAACATGCCCAGCTCCCTTAGCCGTTCCTCATAAGGCATCGTTTCCAGGCCTTTGACCATTTTGGTTGCCCTCCTGTGGACACGTTCCAGTTTGTCAGTGTCCTTCTTGAACTGTGGTGCCCAGAACTGGACACAGTACTCCAGGTGAGGTCTGACCAGAGCAGAATACAGTGGCACTATTACTTCCCTTGATCTAGATGCTATACTCCTATTGATGCAGCCCAGAATTGCATTGGCTTTTTAGCTGCCGCGTCACACTGTTGGCTCATGTCAAGTTTGTGGTCAACCAAGACTCCTAGATCCTTTTCACATGTACTGCTCTCAAGCCAGGTGTCACCCATCTTGTATTTGTGCCTCTCATTTATTTTGCCCAAGTGCAATACTTTACATTTCTCCCTGTTAAAATTCATCTTGTTTGTTTTGGCCCAGTTCTCTAATCTGTCAAGGTTGTTTTGAAGTGTGATCCTGTCCTCTGGGGTGTTAGCCACCCCTCCCAGTTTGGTGTCATCTGCAAATTTGATCAGGTCGGGCATTGTTTTCTTTATCGGAGAAGACTGAGGCAAAGAAGGCATTGAGGAGTTCAGCCCTTTCTGTGTCCCCTGTTTGCATTTCACCATCTTCTCCTCTGAGTGACCCCACTGTTTCTTTGTTCTTCCTTTTGCTACGAACATACCCATAAAAGCCTTTTTTGTTGCTTTTAACCTCTCTAGCAAGCCTGAGTTCATTCTGTGCTTTAGCTTTTCTGACTTTGTGTCAGAAAAACAAATGCTGGCTATTTGTTTGAATTCCGCTTTGGTGGTTTCCCCCTTTTTCCATTTTTTGTACACATCCTTTTTTAATCTTAACTCAGTTAAAAGTTCTTTAGATAGCCACCCTGGCTTCTTTAGGCAGCTTCCATGTTTCCGTCTCATTGGTATTGCCTGAAGTTGTGCTTTTAATATCTCCCTTTTAACAAACTCCCAGCCATCATGAACTCCCTTTCCTTTTAGTATTACTGTCCATGGGATCTCACCCAGCACTTCCCTAAGTTTTATGAAGTCGGCTTTCTTAAAGTCAAGAAATTGAGTCCTAGTATGCTTGGCTGCTCCTTTCCACTGTATAGTAAACTTCAGAAGAGCATGATCACTAATGATCCTTCCACTTCTACCCCACTAACCAGGTCATCAACATTGGTTAGGACCAGATCTAAAATGGCTGTTCCTCTTGTTGCTTCTCCCACTTTATATCAACCCAGTCACTTGATCCTTACTTCCATTTCTCTGAGTAGGGTGAAGCAAAGTGGGAATTGCTTCTTCTCTAAAGGTTCTGGAAGCAGATTGATTTGTTTTATAAGAACATCCTGGCGGTAAATTAACTCACTATGGGCATTCTCTCTCTCCTACCATTAGCCCTGTGTGGTTTGTACAGCTGCTTGAGATTGCTGAACTCCTGACCATCAAGCATGGTAACTGTTGATGCTGATATCTTCCAAAAAGTTGAGAATGGTTGTGGAAATTGACCCACAAGCACATAAAACTCACTCACATTCTCTTCATGAAGCAGCTGAGCTAACCCCAGAGAATTCTCTCTTCTTTTTTTGGAGAGTAGCAGGATGTGTTCTAAGCAGGTTTCTTCAAACAGCTCAGATTAACAAGTAGGCTGTTGGTCAAGTTTGTTGCTAAAGAATTCATTGTCTGCACCCACAAAGAAACTGCCTGTTTGCTTCAGCATCTTGGCATTCTTGCTTACACTCCCTTATGTTGGAATTAAGAGCCTTTTTACAATTGGCACAGGCTTCAAAATATCCTGTTTTTGCTTTGAAGAAGTGAGAAACTCTGCCTCTTTTAGCAAACTGAGCTGCGGCCAGATTTAAATGACAGGAACAAAACCAGCATTTGATGCAGATTGCGTAATGGAGAACTAAATGTATCAAGTGGTAACTATCATTATGTGAAAGAGTTTCTGCTTGATCTTTCACAACTAAATAGTAACTATTAACTGGGCATAGCAGGCTGGAAGATTTGTGGCTTTCTGTTTGAAATATTTAAGACTGACCTCATTAACTTACATTTATTGACACCAGATTTCACCCATGGACTTCTGCTCCGCTGCCTTTGCTTCAATATACTGGCAACAGACAGTTTATCCACCTTGCCAGAAGGTGAAAGGGTGACGTTCTCTGTAACTTGGAGGAAGAGCTGGACATAAAGGGAATTTGTAACCTAGAAGTGAGACAGAATTAATAGCTGTAACTTAGATGAATCATTTCAGATTGCAGATAACTAGCAAAATACCTGCCATGATGCATGGAAGGGCACCCTGAGAGTGTAACAGAATAATTCTTCTAAGGCAGCTTACATATTTAAAATAAGAATGCATCAGCTGTAATAGAAATCCCCAAAGAACAATGTGAATAACAAGTACAATAAAGCATTGTTGATATTGGATCAAGAGACAATGGAGTGTTCCTCCAGGGGTAAAGTCAAACTGCCAGAGAATCATAGTGCCTGCTGTGGCTGCAAAGACATTGACTCATAACAGTTGCCTCCTACGTTATTTTGGAAACTTTCTGGGGCACAAGTATGGAGGTCCTGGGCTCCATCCCCCTCTCAGCCTGGCTGATGTGGTCCAAAGGAAAGCAGAGCAATATATTTGGCACCAGCTTGACTGTAGGAGTTGCCTGAAGGAGGTGTACAAGAAGCCATCTTAGGGACTCTGGATTTGTGTAGGGTTTACTCCTTAGCCCACTCTTCTCCTAAATATGTCCCACAAGGCAGCAGATCTGATTTCCCCCCTCAGTTTTTCAGACCCATCAGCTACCCTCACCTGATTTAGCCGGCCAGTCGAAGCCAGTGTGTTCGCTGTTGCCTGCTGACAGCTTCTAGGAGTTACAGGTGAGAGCTGAGTGCAGGGTGGGGACCCAAGGGGAATAAACTACCCCAGAAGGAGTACAATGTGTTCCCCACCAGAGCTTTCACCTCTCCCCTAAACCTCCATATATCCCACAATAAAACATAGTTAATAAAAGCATTGGTAAAAACATCCCCACAGCTTATTTTTTTTGAGCTTCTGAGTGTCAACTAAAAAGGAGTCTAGAAATGTGGGGCCACCACAGAAAAAAGCCTCTTTCTTTTTTTTGCTCATCCATCTTTTTGTAAGTCTGGCTAGAGTCTGCTGCCTTATCTGAGTTGTAGTGTTTCCAGGCAGAGGTTTATGGTGAAATAGGTGCCTATAGTGCTATTTTTCATACCATCCACATGATGTTGCCATTATCAAAATGCCAGCCCATACTGTTTTAACATTTAATCCAGATAATAATAATAATAATAATAATTTATTATTTGTACCCCGCCCATCTGGCTGGGTTTCCCCAGCCACTCTGGGCGGCTTCCACAGAAACCAAAAATACACATTAAAAACTTCCCTTAAGATGTCTTCTGAATGTCAGGTTTATCACTTTATCACTTTGACATCTAATGGGAGGGCGTTCCACAGGGCAGGCGCCACTACTGAAAAGGCCCTCTGCCTGGTTTCCTGTAGCTTTGCTTCTCGCAATGAGGGAACCGCCAGAAGGCCCTCGGCGCTGGACCTCAGCGTCCGGGCAGAACGATGGAGGTGGAAACGCTCCATCAGGTATACTGGGCCGAGGCCGTTTAGGGCTTTAAAGGTCAACACCAACACTTTGAATTGTGCTTGGAAACGTACTGGGAGCCAATGTAGGTCTTTCAAGACCGGTGTTATGTCATCTCGGCGGCCGCCCCCAGGCACCAGTCTAGCTGCCGCATTCTGGATTAGTTGTAGTTTCCGGGTCACCTTCAAAGGTAGCTCCACGTACAGCGCATTGCAGTAGTCCAAGCGGGAGATAATTAGAGCATGCACCACTCTGGCGAGACAGTCCGCGGGCAGGTAGGGTCTCAGCCTGCGTACCAGGTGGAGTTGGTAGACAGCTGCCCTGGATACAGAATTGACCTGCGCCTCCATGGACAGCTGTGAGTCCAAAATGACTCCCAGGCTGCTCACCTGATCCTTCAGGGGCACAGTTACCCCATTCAGGACCAGGGAGTCCTCCACACCAGCCCGCCCCCTGCCCCCCCCAAAACAGTACTTCTGTCTTGTCAGGATTCAACCTCAATCCATTAGCCGCCATCCATCCTCCAACCGCCTCCAGGCACTCACACAGGACCTTCACTGACTTCACTGGTTCTGATTTGAAAGAGAGGTAGAGCTGGGTATCATCTGCATATTGATGGACACCCAGTCCAAACCCCCTGATGATCTCTCCCAGCGGCTTCATATAGATGTTAAAAAGCATGGGGGAGAGGACGGAACCTTGAGGCACCCCACAAGTGAGGGCCCAGGGGTCTGAACACTCATCCCCCCCCACCACTTTCTGAACACGGCCCAGGAAAAAGGAGCGAAACCACTGTATAACCGTGCCCCCAGCTCCCAGCCCCTCTAGACGGTCCAGAAGGATGTTATGGTCGATTGTATCAAAGGCCGCTGAGAGATCCAGCAGAACTAGGAAACAGCTCTCACCTTTGTCGCTAGCTCGCCGGAGATCATCAACCTGCGCGACCAAGGCAGTTTCAGTCCCATGATGAGGCCTGAATCCCAGTTGGAAGGGATCCAAATGGTCCACATCCTCCAGGCGTGCCTGGAGTTGTTCAGCAACCACTTGCTCAGTCACCTTGCCCAAGAATGGAAGATTTGAGACTGGGCGATAGTTGGCCATACTGGCCGGGTCTAAAGATGTTTTTTTAAGAAGCGGTTTATTGACCGCCTCTTTCAGCGGATCTGGGAATGTTCCCTCACAGAGGGAAGCATTCACCACCCCGCAGAGCCCATCACCCAGCCCTTCCCAGCTTGCTTTTATTAGCCAGGATGGGCAAGGATCAAGGAGACAGGTGGTTGGTTTCACGCGTCCAAGCAGCCTGTCCACATCCTCGGGGATAACGGATTGAAATTGATTCCACGCAAATTGACCAGACAGGGCTCTAGCACTCTCCTGCCCCAGCCCTGCTCCCGCGGTGGTGTCTAGCTCCTTCCGAATATGAGTGATTTTTATCTGCAAAAAACACTGCAGGAGTCCTTACCAGGCCCCTTGGCAAAGGTGGTTCCGTTAAATTGCGGACCACCTGAGTCTCCTGCTACTATTTTCTGCAGATGCAATAGAGGCGGTGAAGAAAGTCTTCTTCACCGTCGCTATCGCCACTTGGTAGGCTCGACGTTGAGCTCTAACCTGTGTCTGGTCAGATTCGGAATGAGTTTTCTGCCACCGGCGCTCTAGCCGTCTCAGCGATTGTTTCATCACCCTCAGCTCCGAAGAAAACCACGGGGCTGTCCGGGCTCCATGCAATCGGAGAAGGCGCTTCGGAGCCAGACAGTCTATAGCCCTGGTTAACTCCGCATTCCAGCGGGCCACCAGGGAATTAGCTGTAAGGCCATCAACATGGGATAAAGCATCCCCTACCACTCTCTGGAAACCATTTGGATCCATTAAGTGGCGGGGGCAGACCATCCGAATTGGTCCCACCTCCCTGCAGAGGGGAAGGGTTGCGGAGAAGTCCAGTTGCACCAGGAAATGATCTGACCATGGTACTTCTTTTGTTTCACTTTTACGTAGTGCCAGATCACCCACGTCACTAGAGGTGAACACCAGGTCTAAGGCATGTCCATGACTATGAGTTGGGCCAAACTTATTCAGGGACAGCCCCATGAAGACCATGCTTTCCACGAAGTCCCAAGCGGCCCCTTGTAAGGTCGTGGTCGGCATGGATGTTAAAATCCCCTAGGGCAACCAAACTAGGTGTTTCCAGGAGAACATCCGCCACAACCTGAAGCAGCTTGGACAAGGAATCCTTGGTGCAGCGGGGAGGTCGGCACACCAAAAGGAATCCTGTACTGCCCCTATTGCCCAACTTCCAGAACATGCACTCAGAGAACTGGGTCTTCCCAGTAGGACGCCTGATGCAAGCTAATGAGTTCCTAAAAATCACTGCAACCCCCCCTCCCCGCCCACATGACCTGGGTTGCTGTGCGTAAGAGAAACCTGGTGGGCAAGCAGCGGCAAGGAGAGGCCCATCTGCTTCATCCAACCAGGTCTCTGTCACACATGCCAGGTCAAATCCTCCATCCACAATCAGGTCGTGGATGGCAGTGGTTTTATTCATCATTGACCTGGCATTACACAGCAACACCTTCAGGTTGTGTGGGTTTCACCTGTTGATTCCAGTATCCATCTGGACAAGGCCAGACCCGGAGGCAGGGATAGTCTTCAAACAACGACTAAACCTGCCTCCTTGGTAATGACATGGTCTGGTCTTAGCATAACTCCTCCTCCTGCCCATGATCACCGAGATCGGATGTCCCAGTGCCTCCCCCCCTGTGGAACTTGTCCCAGCCATTGTGTTGGCTGGGGCCCCACTCCCAGGCAGCCCTGATCCTGCCCCTTAAAAACAAAACACAAACTATACACAGCCAATAAAACAACAATAAACAAAAACAGAACAATTATACTAAAATTAATCCCCAACCAAATATCCATCCCACCCACCCACCCCCAAGAAAGCAAAAAAGGGAAAAAAAGAAATAAAAATGTAAAATGCCACCGAGTGTTTGAGGACATTTTAAAACACATAAACCACTTGGAATAGGGAAGCAATAGCAGAACAACTTCCCGCACTTCCCCAAAAGTTTGTTCCAAATAAGGGCCTGGGCCACGCGCCCTGGGCCAGTTGGAGCAGGCCCTGCAGTCCTCACCACAGCCAGATGTTCTCTTACTACAGAAAGCCCATTAAGTAAAATAATCTGTCAGCCTGTACCCACTGGTATGGAAGCTGGTGAGCTCTCTCTCTCTCTCTCTCTCTGTGTGTGTGTGTGTGTGTGTGTGTGTGTGTCTATGTCTATGTGCTTTGGTCATGGTCTCTATTGCCACACTCCTCTTTCTTTTTGTTCCTCTTCTGAGCAAAACCTAGCCCCAGAGCTTTTCAAAATTTGTGTCGTGACACATTAGTGTGTCAGCTGTAGTGTGTAGGTGTGTCGCACAAACGTTCCCTGTGTTCCTCCTGGGGCTAGAAAGGTGTTAGTTTAACCTCCGGTTTGCTAGTAAAACTGAATTACTGTGTCACAAAATGATGCCTGTCTAAAAGGTGTGCCACCAACATGAAAAGTTTGGAAAGCTCTGACATAGTCATTTGCTTTGGCAGCTCAACCAATATGCCTCTGCCCGTTTCTACCAATAGCCACATGCTGGCAGCAAATGCTGAAATTCCAATATGGTTCAAAGGAACTTTTCTCTCAACATCTCAACACATGTAGGGGATTAACTTGGAGACTGTAATTACAATACATAGATTAGCATTTTTATTTCTATCTTTTTTCAGACTCTAGGTATTGCTAAATATCAACCTTGTGCAAGATATCCGTATTAAAACAAAACCCAAATGCAAATGAATGATGTACTCAGCCACACACACACAACCCCAAGCATAACCTTCCATTTTGAAGCAGGGGACACTGGTGGCGCTGTGGTCTGAATCACTGAGCCTCTTGGGCTTGCCAGTTGGAAAGTCAGTGGTTTGAATCCGCATGATGGGGTGAGCTCCCGTTGCTCTGTCCCAGAGCTTGCCAACCTAGCAGTTTGAAAGCATGCCAGTGCAAGTAGATGAATAGGTACCATTGCAGCAGGAAGGTAAATGGCGTTTCGGTGTTCTGTTGCGCCAGTGGCAGTTTAGTCATGCCGACCACATGACCTGGAAAGCTGTCTGTGGACAAACGCCGGCTCCCTCAGCCAGAAAGCGAGATGAGCGCCGCAACCCCAGAGTCGCCTTAACCATCCAAGGGTCCTTTACCTTTTTACCTTTTGAAGCATAACTAAAAGCTGGTAATGTTTACTCTTGCACACTTCCTGTAGAGTTCCTTAAGTATGCGTGCACATATATGGACAAACATGAGTGCATGCCCAGACCAGAGAAGGTAGTGGTTGGCAGGGGAGGAGTGGATGAGAGTTGGGGCCAGAAAACATAGCACAGAAACATTTCATCAAGGGCCACCTACTGATGGGGATGGGAAGCAGCAGAATACCGATGAAAAATATAAGCCTAAAAAATGGAGCATGTGCACAGTTGCATGCCAGTTGTGCACAGAGAAAATACTTCTTCTAATCCACCTGTTTGTGGCATCAAGCTCCTATCTAGAAGCATCCAAAATGGCAAGATGACCGATTCACCGTATTCTGTATTGTAACAATCATTACTTTTTAGTTATTTCTGTCTCTACCTTTTCACCCTTCTTATTAGTTATTGTTAGCATCTTGAGGTTGTTGCTTTGTTGGTGTATTGATTGCTATATTTTTAACTGTGTCTTTGAATTTATTTTGTAAATCGCCCAGAAGCTATTTTTGTATTTCGTGACTAATGCATATAACAATACCAACAACTTGCCTCACAGAAATAACCAGTCTTCCTCCTGAATCTAGCTGAAGTTTGAGCTGTGTTCACATCTGACCATGACATGCTTGCTTTGAAGAAGAGAGCAGGGCAATTCCTTCAGCCAATCATCTCCCTTCAATCTGCAGTATAGCTGTTTCTTGCCACTGCCCTTGTCCTTCTCCCACCATTATTCTGACTTCTTTTCTTCCAACAGGCACTTTCAAAATTCAGAAAACACGTTTGCAAAGGGAAAGCTACAACCCACACCAGACATCTGATCGATTATATTTCTTGGATGTAAAACTTGGCAAGTACCTACCTGTGGATGAGTGTGTATTTGAGAGGATCCAGGCTGGAAAAGTGTCTCTGTGATTTCATCAGCAAAAGCCACTAGTGAAGAGTTTGCCACTGGAGGGCTTTGCTTGGCTAGAGAAACAAACTTGGCTAAATAAGTGAAGCAAGGTTTCCATTCAGAACATCTGCAGTAGGGACAAAAACTAGCAAGGCACAGGGAGTAGAGTGGCCATCATCTTTTTAAAAAGCACATTAACTGTTTCCTGATCAAAGGTGGTGGCCCCTTTTTACTGTTCAGTCTTTAGAATGGTTTTTCTTCCCCTTCCTCTATGTAACCATTGCATTTTAAGACACTGTGTGAAGCAAGACAGATTTATGATCCTCATTATTACATTGTTAAAGCCCTCAATACGTTGGTGTGACTGAGCCTGCAATAGCACTGGTGGACTTGCCTTCTGTCACGTGTCTCAGCTGGATTTTCCTTACTTAAGGCAATAGCACAATTTCTGTGGAGAGTCTTCAGTTGTTTTGGGATTTCCAGCTTCCTAATCTACACATTTATAGTCCCTCCAGTTGTCATCACTCTGAAATGTACCCATGTTTAGGTAGAACTTTAATGGACTGACTTTCAAAATGCAATATCATTTTATCTGCAGAGACTTTGATCTTAAAAATAAAATGACTAATTTGATGAAGTAACAACAAAGTTGGTATTAAAAATGTTATATTAAAGCAAAAAAAAAATTGGGCTGAAAAATGCACAGGAAACACCCTTCTAATCCATTGTGGTGCTTGAAAGCTTCCACACAATGACAGAAGATTAATAAAATACTTTGTATCCTTGTAGGGGAAGCCATTGTGCTTTGGTTTACATGTCCACTTTTGAACATTGCAACATTTCAGATTACTTGACGTTGATCCAGAATCTTGGAAAACAGGGTGATAATCCTGAGAACAAAGTCTGGTAACATTTGTTTTGGTTTCTCTGATCCACACTGCTCTCTGTAGGAAGTGTGGCAGCTGCTCAAAGCAAGTTGCAACATAATCCTAACATTCACCTTCTATCAGTACACAACTATGGGTATTACTAACTCTACCGCTTTTTCTAGTGCAATTTCTGTAGATGGCACAAAGCATTTTATTTAAAACAAGGAAGACAGAAGGGATACTGAGACTTGTGAGTGACCATACCTTCAAAGTTGCTGTGATTCTTTCTTGTGATTATGTTGCTGTGGAAGACCTGTACCACTAATGCAGCTATTCCAAGGATATCCTGGTTAACTTCTATGGAACTGATTATTTTACTGGGATGTTCCCGTACTCTTCTTTCTGTGCCCTTTTCCCTTTAATAACCCTTCTTCTCTTTCATAAAAATGTAACTTTGCACAAAACCATTTTAGAAAGACTTCTGTGCAGTGTTAGGTTGTATAATAGAGCACCATACAGTACTAGTAGGGCCATTGTTAAGTAATGGTTCTGAAACAAGTGGAATGTGTGCTTTCCCTTTTTTATTAGACCCAGAATGTGCCTTTCATCAGAGCCAGACAGAGCAGGTTAACATTTGTAATAAATTTAGCTTTGTTATTAATCCTCAGAAAAAGGCACCTACAGCTAACTGAGCCCTGTTGTTTGGAGAAAAGCACATAGGTTTTTTTAAGGCTATATAGTTCATGGTTTGAACAGAAATCATGCACTAACAGTTACATTTTCAGATGGAGTCACTATTGTCAAAGTATAACTTTGTTTTGAAAATAAAAAATGAAGAAAGCTTAAGAGTTTGTCTTGCTCTTTTTTGTCTCTGTCTCTCTTTGATGTATGCAGCTGCATGTCATTTCAGTCAAATGCAGAGACCAGTTTCACTCTTTGTTGCCCTCAGTTCTGTTGTCAGGCTTTATTAAACCAATGGATGTAGCTAGTCAAGCAAAAAGACTTTTGTGGGTGGAGACCACTTAGCATTGGATCATCTCCTGTGTCTCTTCATCATATCTGCATAAGCCGTTATCACAAGCAAGTCTGATTTGGATTAGTAACTAGGGTTGCCTCTATGCATATTGGAGGGAACGGGCACGCAGTATGTATTCTGTAAATTATGTTAATAGGTTCCCTTTGTTCTAAGAATACAACCCATATAAAGGATGTACTTAAGACAAACACCTGATCCATGGTCATGCCTCACTTTTTATTATATCAGAAGTTTTCAGAAGGAAAACCCAAAAAGGATCCTAAGTATCCTTCAGTCCTTGAAATTTAACTTCATTGGAACCAATGAACCTTACTTCCAAATCAAACTATTACCTCATCCTTTTGTGAGACGAGGCACCCTTATATCAAGTTGGACTTTCTACTCTTCCTGTGTCTTCCCTCAAGGCAGTGCCTTTTGTTGTAATAATGCATTTTCTGAGCATCTAAAGTGTCCCCTGGTAGGGCATGTGCTGATAGTTTCTTCCATGCTGTTTTGTGGTCATATACTTCCCTCCCCTACAAGAATGTGCTCCTGTTGTAGACGCTCGACCTCATTGGCCATAGCAGGATAGAAAACCATTATTTATGGGCCCTCTGCACACATTAACATTCATTCCTGCAGGTGTCTCTTGAACCAGAACCTCAGGACATCTAATACAGCTAATCATTGGAAGATTCAGGGAAGACAAAAAGAACTACTTTACGCCATGCATTATTTTTAGTGGAGGACTGGATATGAACTCCTGTGCAGGAGACATGCAGCAAAGTAGGAAGACAGTCTCTACATAAAAAGGGGCGGGGGATTATTCCAAAGGGTTGGAGAATAGCATAGGCAGCTAGGCATGCATGCTCAAGAAACAAAATTTCAAGATGCCTCTAGCTAAAAAGGTGGAGGTTTCATTTCATCTTAATTTGCGCCTGTATCTTCAATAAATAGCCCTGTCCCTGAGATTTAGAATCTAACTACTGTAATGAGAGATGTGTGGCTGCCACCAATCTACATTTCAGGACCACTTTTGGTCCAGGAAAGGGGGGAAATACAAGACAGTATAGAAATAGGACACTAATTTCTTCACCTGCTGCGTTTTGGTCTGTTAAAGGCAGAGGAGGAGGAGGCCTCCTAAGGAGCAGGCTTTACCTGTGCCTTAGCCACCTACTTCTGGGACTCCCATCACACGGTCTTCCCCTGTGCCTGATGGGACAGAGGCAGCCAACACAACGCCCTCCAGACTTTCCTGAGGAGGAAGGCACTCAAAAAGCAGGAGCAAAGGCCAAAGCTGCTCTTGCAGCGGGACTCTTGCTGGACGTGGGAAACGTGGCTTCGTTGATCGCTTCTAGTTCCTGACTTCCAGCTTGCCCCCCGGCTGAGTCTGAGGGCCAGTTGCCGAGGCGGGCAGCCAGAGATGCGCCTCCGGCCGCGGGACGGCGCTGCGGGGCCGTCCGGAGCAGCGAGGGCTTCCGAGGTCGCCGCCGGACTTCCGGTGCCTCCTGGGCGGGGTCGGGCTTCGCTGAGCTGCGCTGCGCTTCCTTCCGGCGCCTCTTCCGCCCGTGCTCCCTCGGCTACCTCCCGGTCTTCCGCCCGGCCGCGCTCGCTGCTTTCATGGGTCCCCCCGGCTCCCTCGCCGCGCGGCCCTTCCGTTCCGCCCGCCGGCTCCCTCTCTGCCTCGCCCGCCATGCCCGGCTCCTCGTCGTCCCGGCGCGGCCCGGCGGCCTCGGCGCCGCACGTCTCGGTGTTCCCTTCCCCGCAGGAGCTGGGCTCGGCGCTGGCGCAGCTGGTGGCGCAGCGCGAGGCGCAGTGCGGGCCGGCCGGCCGCTTCTCGCTGGGCCTGGCCGGAGGCAGCCTGGTGCGCGTCCTGGCCCAGGAGCTGCCCGCCGCCGCCGCCTGCCCGGCCCGCTGGCTCCTGGCCTTCGCCGACGAGCGCCGCGTCCCGCTCAGCGACCCCGAGAGCAACTACGGCGCCTACCAGGTAGCCCTCCGGGGAGGCTCGAGGGGGAGGCTCTTTCGGGGGGCGGCGGGGTCCCGGGGGCAGCGGACCCCGCCTTGTGGGGTTCGCCGCACCGGCCCAAACAGATCGGGCTGGCCCTCCGGGATATAGAAATGAAATAGTCATCTTGTTTTTACTAATTATATAGTACCGTAGATGTGCTTTACAAAATATTATATATAAGCTAAAAAGAAACCAGCCCCTGCCCCGAGGGGCTTACCATCTAAATTTCAACAAGGGAGGAAAAAGAGGCAATTTATATGATGCTTTCATCACCTAGTACAAAAGTTGGAAAGAACCACCATAGATGGTTTTGTTGTTATGTGACCTGTGGTTCCCTATTTCAGACGTACCTCCTTTCTAAAATTGCTGTACCTGAGGACCAAATTGTTGTTATCAACCCTTCGCTACCAGTGGAAGAGGCAGCTGCAGATTATGCAGCAAAACTGAAAGAGGTACAGTTGTGTGTTTTTTTCAGACAAGGTCCCATGTTGGGACAAAAAATCCTTGTGTGTTGAGAGTTTATGGACTGAGCTTATTTACCATTCATTGCTTAACTCAACATCCTAAATTTTGAGTTCCTGGCTAGAGCTCTTCCTAGTCTGCTCTGCTGCTCTGCATTAAATGTGCTGAGGGTCTTCTCAGTGGTGGCACCCCAGTTTTGGAATGCTCTCCCCAAAGAGCCATGCCTGGTGCCTATGTTAGGATTTTTTTGGTGCTAGGTGAAAACCTTATTTTTCTCACTTTTCAAATTCAATTCTTTTTAGTTCTTAGAACTATTTTGCTTTCTTCTTATTGGTTTATAATTCTGTTTTTATTATGTGTGTGTGAGTTTTTTATGCAGTTGAATGGGTTTTTTATCCTTTTTGTTCATTTTGACCTGGTCCAACTTTTATATATGGATTAATATTTTGATTGAATTTGTAGTTTACTGATTTCAGTTTTTGAACTGTGCCCAGAAGACAGTTTGTTGGGTCATCTGGAAACGCTAAATTAAAACAACCAAATAAAGTCACAGACCACCTAGTGGAATTTTTGATGAGCCAATAACATTGATTGTGATTAATTGGGTGGTGTGCAGAGCCTGGTGATCAACTTGTTCGCTTCAAGTTTCTCCTTGGCCCTATTTCAAAGCCACACCCTTTTCCTAAGAAATCTTGGGGTGGCAGGAAAGTGACCCTTCATGCAACACTGAGGTCAGTCAACAAGATGCAGAAGATGACCTCAAAAGGGAAGCTAGTGCTGCAAAACCGAAGGTTGCAAGGGCTGTGTGTGTTGGCCAAGGGAGTTATTTGTTTCTCCCACGCTCGAATCAAGCCTAGAGGGATCTTCTAGTAATAGTCAGAAATATGCATCTCTCCTTGCTAAATGAATTGGGTCTCCCTCCCCTTGGCCCGCTTGACAGCTTGAAGACTGAAAGCAGTTTGGAAAATTGCTGGTGGGAGGCAAGGTCTTCCCTCTAATGCATTTGAAGGTCGGCTGTCCCTGACTTGGACACACCAAGGAATTGGCTGCCTGGCACTAATGTATTTAGGTGCCAGTCAAATACCTTTTCCCAGGCTTATTATCATCTTCTGATGATATTATCATGGCTTCTTCTTTTTTCCTGCCATTAGGATTGTGATGCTGTTCCATTGCCTTTTTACATTTATTTTAAGCTCTGTAAAGCACAGTGATAATTGTATATTGAAGGGCAGTACTGAAAATGTGCTTGATATATGTGTGTTCTCCCATTCTGTGTAGGCCTTCCAAGGCGAGGATATGCCTGTGTTTGACCTCTTGATCTTGGGAGTGGGACCAGATGGGCACACTTGCTCACTCTTTCCGGATCATTCTCTCTTGCAGGTGAGCCAGGGTGTGGAGCTGCAGTGAACTTTGATCATATAGAAATGGGTCGGCAAACTAAGGCCCGGGGGCCGGATCCGGCCCACCAGGCTTGTAAATCTGGCCTGCGGACTCTGCTGCCCGCTCAGTCAGTCTCCGCGTGCTGATCTAAGCCAGTGCAGTGCAGCATTTCCTTCAGAAGAAGCCATGGACGCCTCGCTGCGCGGGGACTGACTTCCGTGATGCTGGCATGGCTTTGGATTGGCTGCAGGAAGCTCCTGCAGCCAATCTGAAGCCACGGACACCTCTGCGCAACACCCCTTCCTTCCCGCTGAGGTGGCCGCATATGCCCAAGAGCCAAGCGGAAGGAAGTGGCAGCGGCAGGGAGGCTGCCTCCGCCACCCAGGCCAGTGGCATGGGCTCTGCACCCCTGGCCGAGGCAGAGGATGACCACAACGACGCTGCCAAAGACGAAGCAGCGGTGGCTGTGACGAGCAAGATGGACTCACAGAGCTCATTTGGGCAGCCGTGGCAGCAGCTCCAATGGCGAGCGCTGTGTCGACAAGTTCGGCTTCCTCGTCTCCAACAGCAGAGACGGAGCAGAGCAGGAGGCGTGGGTGTTGCGCACTGGGCGCGCTTGCTATGGGCAGGGGCACTCTTGCCAGTTTTGTGAGAGGGTGGGTATAGGCTCACCTCGAGCCCGGGATTGGCTGGCCAGAATCAGGAGGCAAGTGGTATCGGTCCGGTCCCCCCCACTTTGTAGTAGCCTCAAGTGTGCTCTCGCCATGCACAGGGGCACTGTTGCCATTCCGGGGATTGGCCTGTCTCTGTTCTTGGCATAGGTTCCTTCATCGCCACCAAGCCGCCCCCAAAAATTTTTGAGGGAGCCACCCCCCCAAAAAAGTTGATGGACGTTGCCTTTTGGTGTGCACGTGTAAAGCACAATGCGATCGATTATACAGGGTGGGGCTTACTTGCCTCTCCCAATATTTTATTCAAGGTGGCACCCCATATTCTTGGGGAGGGGGGTAGGTGGAAGTTTCTGTCACACACACACACACTCACTCACTCAGCAGGGCACTCTTCCCATGGTCAGGAGGCACACTCTGGGCCAAGAATGATGAGCTGTGGTAGGAAAACCCCATGGAAGGGAAACTGTTTGTGGTGTGGAGGCACTCTTTCTGTGGGCAGGGGTACCCTTCCCTGTTTGGGAGCTGGCTTGTGTCACTTTTGGGGGGGGTAGGTGGTTGAGGGTGAATAGCTGGTGACTAAGTTTCTGTAACACACAAAACACATATACACCCCCCCCCCCATGGAAAGCAGACGGAGAGCGGGATTAAAATCGTTCTTCATTTTAAATATTGTATTGTTTTTCCTATTTTTTGTGCACTACAAATACAATATGTGCAGCGTGCATAGGAATTCGTTCGTTTCCCCCCCCCCCAAAAAAATATAGTCCGGCCCCCACAAGGCCTGAGGGACAGTGGACCGGCCCCCTGTTGAAAAAGTTTGCTGACCCCTGTCATAGAATCACAGAATTGGGGGGGGGGGCAAGGGTCCTGCAATGCAAGAATCTCAACACGTGGTCCCTCACCCAGTTTGAAACCAAATGTGCCTGCAGGTTTCTTGCTGCACTGCTCCTCTCTTGACTGGGGAGCCTCAGGCTCAGGACCCAATGCAGCCCCCCAGGTCTCTCTGTCTGCCCTTGGAACTCTCTCCAGGCTGCGCCCCTCACTGGCCCTGCTTTGCCCCCTCCTTGAGATTATGTTTGTGTTCTTGAACAGGATCCTGCCTCTTGCTTGCCTGGGTGTGCATGACAGAGTGAGTAGTGCAGAAGCTAGACTCCTCTTCCAAAGCAGCATTCACATTTGTTGAGTCACACTCAGCCTGAAAAGGGTTCTCCACCCCTGTGTGAGCCATGTTCCTTTCAGAGGTCATGCCTCACAGTGTCTGAATAAGGAGGAGGAAGTAAAAGGCGCTGCTGTCTATCTAGCTGGCTATTTTAAACTGCTGAGGGGAATCGGATTAAGGCTTACTGGTGTCTTGCTTTGTCCTGAAGGCAGGCTGCCTGACACATTTAAATTGGATTTTGTTCTGGCAGTGCCAAGCGGGAATTCACTGGGGAGCTGGATCTTTGAGAGTGATGCTCTCCCACACTAGGAGCTAGCTACCCACTGAGCTTCTAGGTCAGGTGTGGGGATACTTTCTGAGCCCAAGGACTACACTCCCTTCTGAGAAACCTTACAGTGCTTGGCAGGGCCAGAAGCAAAAGGGGGCTGAGTAATAAATGTGCATGCTACTTTTGTGCAGTAAGCACTTTGGGCCAAATTTAGTTAACCAATCTTGCTAGCAGAAGTCTGCACAAGGACTTTCCCCACTTCTCCTCTCCCACTCCCCAGTTGGTTAAGGGGGGTGGGCAGGAGAACCTCCAGAACAGCACACAAGGGGAGGAGAGGGGAGATAGTTCCATCAGACAAGCAGAAAGGCTTGCTCTCATAGAGTTGAAGTCCTCTTTCTGTGTCCTCCATCCAGGAACGCAAGACACATGATGAGGGTTCAAGTAGGCATTCTAGCCAGGCAAAAGCACCCAAAGAGGGTGCAGAGCTGGGCTGGTGAGGGGTGTGACTTGACACCTTATCCCTCGGTTCCCCATTCCTGCTCAAGGATGAGGAGTCTGTGTTAACCTCCAGATGTTGTTGGAGGACTCCAGCTCCCGTCAGCTCCAGCGGTTGTGGCCAGTGGAGATGGGAGCTGAGAGAGGTGGTCCCACAACCGCTGTAGGTTCCCCACCACCACCACTGTAGGTGGCTGCAAGGCATGACAAACTGATTGCCAGGGGAACAGATCTGGCAGGTGGTTAAACTGAATATTCTGGACACTTTCTTGTTATGTTATCTCAGATTTTGACCAGGTGTTTGCTCTCCTCCCCTTTCTCTTTGCCTTGCATCATCTGCTTTCATCGGACGATGACTATTGACTCCACCACTTTTCCTCTTATTCAACTACCTTTACTCAAACAATTCCCTTAGGATATTTGAAGTTTTTTGAAACTTATCTTTAGGGACTATCAAGCAATTTAAATATGAGTTATTTAACCATCTGCCTCCTAACTGATCAATATATTAAATTAAATTTAAATACATTTGTATTGTACCAAAACGTCAATAGAGGTTGCTGTTTGAGATGTTGGAGAAACCACAAGGGGACTTTTCAGTTTAATAAATGGAGCTACCTGTCGGCTATTAGAAGGGAGAGCCATAATATTTTCTTTTTCATTCTTTATTGCAATAACACACAAGAACCCAAATAACTTTAGAAATTAAACAGTGCAAACTCACAGCCTCTCAGATTAAAATTGCCCCCAACATTGAATCAGCTTAAGTTTTAATTGCTTAAACGTCTAGTTCAAACTTGCTGTTCTAGTGTTTGTGTACTAGTGTGTGTATCAGTGAAAATCTTGATCTATTTTTTAAAAAAGAAATCTCATCAAAGAGATGCATTTGTTTTCCGACCTTTTGAAGTTTGGGAAAGTAAGAAAATAGCAAGTTTGGATATGGTTTTAAATGTACCTTGTAAATGTTGAAGTACATTAAATAGTCAACTCAAAAATATGTTGCGGCAGTCATTGGCAGTTGAAACATTCCAAAATGGAATGAAATGGTTTCTAAACACTTCCTGTGTTTTGCTTTTGCTTCTGTGGAAACCCCTGTTTTAAAAAAGGAAATGATGACATCACTTGCCTAGCAGAGATAGAAGCACCAGAGCTGTTAGGTTCCAGCCTTGCATGTCCCTGAAATAATGTCTGACGAGGTGTCAGCATTACACTTCCAGGGTCCGGGACCACTTGCGTCTCCCCCATTTAGGGCATGTTGTTATTACTGCTTACAGCACTACTGCTTCAGGCGAGTAAAGCTGATGTGAGTAAAGGGTGAGAAATCTCTTCTCTCTAATTGGGTTTTATACTGTGCCCTATCCCTGAGAGGCTTAGGAGTCAAACAGGATTGCTTGTATGTAACAGCTAAATGCTTGAGTAACTCCTTTTCCAATTGGAGTATTTCAGAAGCTTCTGCAACAAGAATGACTCAAAAATATGCAGAAACATTTCACCAAATTCAATAAACAAACCCCTAGCTGTTTAAACCATCTTGCTCATCCCAGGGCACTTCCTTGCAGATTTCTTGGGGGGGGGGGATTATGGATGCACTCATTTAGTTTATCAAGCCTGCAAGCCACTCCCCATCTAAGCCTGCTCTGCAGATGTGACACACACACACACACACACACACACACACACACACAGAGTGTTGTTGCAGCACTTCCCCTCTTTTGGCTGTCCTGTCCCTTTGTTCCTGTGCCCATTTCTGTCTGTTCAGACAGCATGTATTTGGAGAAGCAAGAAAATATCAAACGTAGCTGGAATCGGTATCAATCTTTTAGGTGCCAGCCCCCCTTTCCCAAGTTGACAAATATTCCCAATTCCTAGCTGCAATTGTTGCTCCATCTAAGTGCATGGGCAACCAGATTCCAGGGCATTCTCAAGTCTGGAGTGCTCCCAGGACTTCCATTTGCTGTTAAGTGCTTATGGCTACATATATAGTCATGTCAAAATTCCTCTTTTGCACTTGTGTTTAAATCTCACTCGACCTTTCTGTGTACCCAGCCACCTTGCTTCATTTCTGGGTGAAGATATGAATTTGCATGCATTCTTCACATTCTTTAAAGATGACTGGCCGGCTGGCTCTCAAGACTGGTTGCTCTGCATGGATGCTATGGAGGCTTGAATACCAGTGTGTGCCCAGTTAAAATATCTAGGCTTGCTCTTCAGAACAGGTGCTTGGCTGATGCCACAGATTGCCAGTAATGTGCTTGAGAATAGCTTTGTGGAGATCCTTTTCAATTATGGGCTTGGCACAATATGGTGTAGGCAGGGCTGTGACAGAACACCCCTAATCTCCCCTCCCTCCCTCTTTCCTGTGGCAGGAGCGGGAGAAAATAGTGGCTGCCATTAGCGATTCTCCAAAGCCACCTCCGGAGCGCATTACGCTGACCCTCCCAGTGTTGAACGCAGCTCGCAGCGTGGTGTTTGTGGCCACTGGGGACAGCAAGGCTGCCGTGATTAAGGTAACATGCATCCTGTGGCTTCTTTCTCACAGGTTTGAAGGTGCGCTGGATTCCACCCTGGGAAAGAAGAGAATGGATTTGTTGTGGGGGGTGGGTCAGGAATACCCAGAGCTAGGAAACTTAGTACTGGTAGGTTTTTACCTGGGGTGAGGTACCTGTGGTCCTGAGTCCATTTTTGGATCACAGCTTCTAGCATCCCTGGACATTGGCCATTCCAGCTGGGGTTGATGGGATCTGGAGTCCCAACAACGTCTGGAGAGCTTCAGCTTCTCCTGCCCTGGTTTATCTGTGGACGAGTTAAACAGAAGTGTTTCAGAGTTAAATCAGATTTTTGACTGAATCAAACATTAACCTCCTAAAGATGCAACATGTTGAGAGTTTTAGAATTTACCTGTCTTAGAATTCCCCAGGAAAAGAATACACATCATCCTTGACAGAGCAATTGCATGAGGATGGTGAGGCTGTTGGGAACACACCTCTTGGCTTTTTTCTGGGCTCCTAGAGCAGCAGCAGTGGAGCCACATGGCAGCAGCCTCTTCTTAAAGCAGCACTGGCTTGTTTCTTCCAGCATTAGCTGCTTTTGTCTGGGAGAGGAGAACAGCTGCAACCTCATTAAATGCTTGAAAGAGGTGCTCTAAGCCAGCCTGGCATGTGGCCTGATAGGAGTAATCAAGTTAGTATTGTCCACACCTGCAGCAGGGAACTGGCGGCCCTCCTGGCATTGCTGGACTGTCTCCCACCATCCCTGACCCTTAGCCAGGCTGCCTGGGACTGGTGGCACTTGAGAGGCCAGTAACATCTGGATGGGTGCAGGATTCCCACCCTTAGCATACAGCGGCTGCAGCAGCTCTCCAGGGGTTTGGACGAGGAGATGCCAGGAATGGAAGGAGGGGCTTTTCTGCATGTAAAGCATGTGCTTCATTATTGAGCCATAGCTCTCTATTTTATAATGGTGTTTTTTTAAAAAAAAGTAAATCTCTTTAAGATGTTTTCATGGGAAATGATTCACAAAATAATACTTTGCCCCGCAGATTCATGTTCTCTCTCCCCACTCTGATTATTCAAATTCATCAACTTCTGCAGGCTGGATTCATTTTGTGTAATTCTGTTTCTGTTAGTTTTGGGGCCGAGGGAGCTTATGGAGAGAACCGGAGGTCCAGTCCTCACCACTGGGTGTCTATCTTTCCAGAAGCATTTAGAGTTTAAAAACACCCCTTTTGTTCAAACTGCTGCCTCTGCTACACCCTACCAACCTACCTGGTTTCCAAAGGCATGTCTGATTCAGTAGATATCAAGGCTGCTAATCATGCAGTTTTGGGTTTGAATTCTGATTCTTATCTTTTGTTGGAGATGTGGTGAGGGAAATCTCTGTAACGTCTACATTTTGAGTACTGTGCTAATCATTAAGTTCCAAGTGATTAGCTTCTAACATCCTGTTTTTTGGGACAGCGTATTTTGGAAGGTGATGAAGAGAACCCACTGCCAGCTGCCCTGGTCCAGCCCCACACTGGGAAGTTGTATTGGTTTCTGGATGAGCCAGCTGCAAAGGAGTTGACAATTCCCTTTGAGAAGCACTCCATCTTGTAGAAGCTTATGTTTCAGGTTGGGGAGAGCCCATCAAATGCAGGTTGTGGGGTAGAGCCCAGCCTGCCAACATTCCAGGTCACGGTCTTCACATCTGGTCGTAGCGCTCAGGAGCGGCACTGAACTAACACTGTTCCCCCCCCTTCCTTCCTCCTCTTAAAAAAATAAATGAAGTGATACATTTGTGGAGCACTGTGTAACCAATATAATTATTTCTTTAGCCAGGACAAAGTGTGAAATGGGGGTGGGGGGGGACGCTTGGGTCCAGCTACTAGTTGTAAACAGAGTTGCAGGGAACAGCGTTACAGTCTTTTATCATGTGAACGGTCTAATGTGGTGTAAAGTGAGTGCACAATTAAAGATGTAAAGTACAGCCACTCCATGTTGGCACTTTGTGTTCCTCTCTTACTTGTGTGATTTTTCTTTAATATGGGGACAAGAGTGAAGTCTCTTCTGCATTGGCACTCATTATATATGGATGCTGGGTCAGTGCACATTTAACATACAGGGTACTAGCAGAATTTATATGGCCCTTGGTCGCAGTGTATTTGCAGGGCAGTTGGGGTCAACTTTGGCTGGCAAGAGTCAGTTGAAAAGATGTAGATGGGAGAGGTAGAGAGGACGTGAAATGCAACGGAGCCAACTCACCAAAGCTTTGCAGTGACATCTAAAGTCTACAAGCTTCTAAACGGAGATAAAGAATGTACAGGAGCATCTTGAGAGGTTAACAGAAAAGCACAGCCAGATGACTGCAAGCCATGTCCACGTTTGGCTGGCACTGCTGCTTACAGCTGTCAAAGGAAAAGATGTTCCATAGCCCTTCCCTGTGGGAGGAGGCTGAGCAACCCAATGGCCTGCACAAGAGGGGGAGGAGGTAAATTCTGAAGCACAGGAGCTCATCATGTTAGCCTCCCAGTGACATCCCCAAGGAAAGAAAAAGCAAAAAAAAAGGCAGGCAGCTTTGTTGCTCCATTATTTACATCTCCCAGAGAACAGCAGTCTTTGTAGTGTGGGTCATAGAATAGTGAAACAGGTGGAATAGCAGGTAAGCACATTGCTTGGAAGTCCTGGGTTCACATCCCTGATCAGCCATGAAGGTCCTCTGGGCCAGTCACTGTTTGAACCTAGCCTAACTAAGGTTGCAGCTGCACCTTGCTTTTAAAGCAGCATTATACTACTTTAACTGTCATGGCTTTCCCCAAAGAATCCTTGGAACTGTAGTTTAATCCCCCGAGTCCTTATGTCTAGTGCTTTCCAGCCTTATAGGGTTTTTTGCGGGGGGGGGGGGAGGGATGAGTGAGAGAGAGAGAGAGAGAATCCTAGGGATCCAGACTTCTATACAAAAGAAAAAGCCAAGTCCTGGTCCCACTCTATTCTAACTGGGTCAGACCACACCTGGAGACCTGGGTCCAGTTCTGGACCCCACAATTTAAGATTTGTGCAGAGAAGGGTGACCAAGATTATCAGGCATCTGCAGTCCAAGCCTTATGAGGAATAGTTGAAGAAGCTGGTGTGTTTAGTCTGGAAAAGAGGAGGCTGAGAGGAGAAATGAGAGCCATCTTCAAATCTTTTCAGGGAAATCTGTCCCATGGAAGAGGCAGCAAGCTTGTTTGCTCCTGCCTCGAACCCGTGGCTTCAAATTGCCAGAAAGGAGATTCCAGCTAACTTTCTGACGGTAAGAGTTGCCCACAGTGCCATCCGCGTCCCTCCTAGTATAACTCATTTATAAAAAAAAAATTATATTCTGCTATTCATAAAAAAGGGACGCAGGTGGCACTGTGGGTTAAACCACAGAGCCTAGGACTTGCCGGTCCGAAGGTCGGCGGTTCGAATCCCCACGACGGGGTGAGCTCCCGGTGCTTGGTTCCTGCTCCTGCCAACCTAGCAGTTCGAAAGCATATCACAGTGCAAGTAGATAAATAGGTACTGCTCCGGCGGGAAGGTAAACGGCGTTTCCGTGCGCTGCTCTGGTTCGCCAGAAGCGGCTTAGTCATGCTGGCCACATGACCCAGAAGCTGTACGCTGGCTCCCTCAGCCAATAAAGCGAGATGAGCGCCGCAACCCCAGAGTTGGCCATGACTGGACCTAATGGTCAGGGGTCCCTTTACCTTTACCTATTCATAAAAAATTAGAGCAGTGTACAACAATTACATGTAAAATCACACAATAAAAACTACAGTGGTGCCCCGCAAGACGAATGCCTCGCAAGACGGAAAAACCGCTAGACGAAAGGGTTTTCCGTTTTGAAGTTGCTTCGCAGGACGAATTCCCCTATGGGCTTGCTTCGCAAGACGAAAATACCTTGCGAGTCTAGAGATTTTTTTTGCTTTTCCCCCCCTTTATCTAATCTGCTAAGCCTTTAATAGCCTTTAATAGCCTTTTAGCAGCTAATCCCCTAAGCCTTTAAGCCTTTAATAGCCGCTAAACAGCTGATAGCGCTAATAGCGCTAATCCGTCAATGGGCTTGCTTCGCAAGACGAAAAAACCGCTAGACGAAGACTCTTGCGGAACGGATTAATTTCGTCTTGCGAGGCACCACTGTATATAAAATGTTAAAATCAGAGACCAACAAGAAGTTTCCCCAGCCACTCTGGGCGGCTTACAGCATATATAAAAATACAACAAAACATCAAACATTAAAAAACAGAATATCCTGTACAGGCAACAAACAAACCAATTATCAATAGAAACCAATAACAACAACAACAACAACAATAAGCAGTTTATTATACCCAACTTAAAATAACTGCCAACCCCAACAAAACATTTAATCAACCCCAACCTGTCAAAAACAAAACTGAGGAACCCAAATTAGAACCATTTAAAGTATTGCAAAACATTTTAGCCATTTGCCTCAACCCAAGAGTTGTTCCAGCAATGTACCAGCCTCTTTGAGCTGCTCAAGGTGAGTCTGGAAAGATGTGTTCCTAATTGGGCTACATAGAAAGACCTCTTGGAAGAAGAAGATTACAAACTGAAAGTGAAAAAATACGAGGAAATAAAACATCACCTGATGGGTTGGCTACAATATTATCAATCAGTAGAGGTATTTAGGATAGATAACAAAAAAGGTTTTGCAGTGGAAGAATCAAAAATAGATAACGATCTAATACCAAACAAGAAAAGAATAATTTCCAGTATGTATAGACTCCTTTTAGAATGGGAGGTGAAAGCTGAGGAGGCAAAAGAGATAATGATTAAGTGGGCGAAAGATATTGGTAGGAACATCCAATTATCAGCATGGGAAAGATTGTGGAACAAAACATGGAAATACACGGCCTGTTGTACACTAAAGGAAAATCTTTTGAAGATGTTCTACAGGTGGTATATAACTCCCAGCAAACTCCAAAAAGTATAAAATGAGATCGTAACACTTGCTGGAGGTGTGGTGGGATTGCAAAAAAAAAAAAAAAAGGATTTTTGGGATATTATATAAGAGGAGCTGAAGAATTTGTTTTGTTTTGTTTTAATATTTTTTCATTAAACTTCCAATTTATAACAAATCAAATCATAATCCAATTCAAAATAATAACAAATTAAATAAAAATTAAAAAAACCAAATTACAATCCGAATTATTAAATTTCAAACGGACTTCCCATATTCTAGACCTCTGAAGAACTGTGAAGAATATGTTTAAGCAAACCTTTATATATATATAAAAAACCAGAAGCTTTCTAGTTGAGTATTTTGGACTCGGATATACTAAATGAAAAAAAGAGAATATTCTTATATGCCACAACGGCAGGTAGAATATTAATAGCTAGGCATTGGAAAAGTGAAAAAGTACCAACAAAAAAGGAATGGCAGGATAAGCTATTTGAATATCTCGAGTTGGCAACAATGACAGATGCGATTAGGAGACAACCTAACCAAAAATTCCAAAAGGAATGGGGAATATATAGAGATTATGTAAAAAACCAGTGTCCCCAAGTAAAAACTTGGATTTGCTTTGATTAACTTTTGCAGACCACAGTATGAATTATTAGTATAGTATGTGGAAAACAGTAGAAATGAAGAAAGGATAATAGGAGCAGTTTAACAAATAGATAAAATAGACCCGTTTAGAGGAAGATGGAAGTCTATTTGAGAAGGAATGAAGATTAAAGAATATGGTGACATAAGTCAATATGCAAGACTGATGGATTTATGGTTGCATGTATGTATTTGGTATGTTATTTTCTTTTCTCTCTTTTTGCTTTTTTATTTCTATATCTTCTTTTGTTTGTAGTCATTATTTTGGTGATTTTATTGTGTATGTTTGTAGTAAGTAATAAAATTAATAAAAAGCAATTTTTAAAAAATGTGTTCCTAATCACCTGCATAAACCTGGCGGTACAGAAAACATTTCAGCATGGAAGCAGAGGGCAGCAGCTGCTGAATCTCTCTTGGCACAATATTCCACAAATGTGATTTGTTTTGAGGTACAAAGCTTCTCCGTCTTAGGATAGGCAAACAGGTCACAGAATTTCTTTTCCTGGGCCTTTTTCTGCCCTCCTCCTTTCCTTTCAGCAACACAAGTGAAGAGGGGGAAAGCCTTTTCCCTTTCCTTCTAGACCACCTTCTGGACTGAGCGAGAGGCAAATGTGGGGGAAGAAGAGGGCAGCCCAAGACCTCTGGGCACCTGAGGCAGACCCCAAAATGCCACCCTCTCCCTGCCTGGGAAGAAGGGCTGAGGGAAGATCTGCACCAGGAACAAGCGGGAAGGAAAGACTTGTCAGGATCTGCTTCCCCGGTGGATCCTGGCCCCTGAGGCAGCACCCTCCCCTTGCCTCCTGCCCCTCACTGAAGTCTTATCTTTGTCCAGGGGGCGAACTTCTCCACAAAGCCGCCTTGCTGTCCTCCATCCAGGCAAGGCGGAGGCCTGACCCAGCCGGGCCAAAGCCCTCAGGGAGGTGTTGATGCACTGGAGAACCTTTATCTGTTGATGCTGCCATGCAAACAAACAACATTGCTTCTTGCACTATAACATAAAAATAGTCCGTGCTTTTTTCCTGATGGAATGCACCGGAACCCAGTTCTGGGATGGTTTTTTGGTCAATCTACTCACCTTCTCTATCTCCCCAAGCTGTCACACTGCAGGATTTGAAGTCCAGCAGATCTGAAGGGCCACAGGTGCTGCATCCTGATCTACACCAGCAGACCTTCCACCTGGCTGCAGCCGTGGCACCATGGGAGTCACCTGTTGGACTGGGGAGAGAACTCTGAACAAGAGACCTACCTTTGCTGTCAGTGCTGTTGAGAAAGAGCAGAACCAAGAGCCAAGGAGGTTGGCTTAAAGAAGAGGCAATGCTGTGCACTTATCTTGGAGCAAGTCTGTGGGACTGCTGAATGGGTTTGCATAGGATTGGGCTGCACAGCAGCACTTCTATGCAGACTTACTTGGGAGTAAGCCCCATTGAATTCTTATTCTTAATGGGTTTAATATTAAATCCAGTGATCGCCTTTCAAGGCAATGTACAAACATCATCTGAAATCAAACCACACAAACTATACCATCAAACCAACAATGGCAATAATGTTTAAACTATCACTAGTGATAGAACAGTGACATCACACTCAAAAGCTACCGGGGAGGCGCCTCCGGCAATGGCTGAATTCCTCTGACCGGGAGGAATTCGCTCCGTGAAACTAGGGTCTGGCCGCCACGGCGAAGGTGGAGACCCATCAAAAACCACAGGTGGAACAGGCTTGTGGACATGGGATTCGGCTGGCACCTTTTGCGCCTCCCCTACTCACGGGGAAACCTGGTTTCAGGGATCCGGAGTGAGGTGGGGTGAGTGGCGCGGTGCTTTGAATCGACTGCTTTTTTCACGGAGTGAAGCCTCATCGCTGTTGCAGGAGAGCGCTGACTTTTTCCTGTGGACAATTTGATCTCAAAACAACAACCCGTGAGTAGAACGGAAAATTGGATTTTTAAATGTCTTAATTTGGCACCGAAACGGGGAGGTTTCAAACAGGAAGTCCGCCTCCCCCTTTTGTAACTAGATTGAAGCAAAGAGGCTGCAAACTAAAGCCTTGGAAAGTCTCTCATAAAGGATTAAACTTCCATCGGTTAAACCACTAAACCCCCCTTGGAAGCAGGAGAAGAGGGGGGAGATTTAAGATCGTGCAAGCCTGCAGGACAGAGTGAAGAAAGTCAAATTACCACTGCTCTGAACCTGGAAATGGGCTGCTAGCAAGCATTGAAGTTTTGGATATGCTCATTGACTGTGAATAGACTGTCTGTTGACAGTAAGTTAAAGAAGGGAAATATCTTGCTTCTATTGCCTCCTTCTGCGTTTAAAAAGGAGTAAAAGTAACTGAAAAGTGAAACTAACTTTATTGTTTGAACTGTGCTTAAAAGGATTGATACAAATAGAAACTGTTTCCCCCTAGAGGAAGCCTTTGAAATTGTTACAAGAGCTGAGCTGGGGGAATTTTCCATCTGCAAGATAAAACTGTGAGAAATTGGATTTGACCTTGACTTGTTAAGAATGTTGACAGAAGAAGCCTTAGTGGTTGCATTTTGCAGGATTAACGACTCACTGGAACAGCTTTTCAAGAAGACGGAGGCGAGGACTATAAAAATTGATAACTTGGAACAAAAAGTGACAAATCTGGCACAAAAAGTTAACATTAATACAGAAATTTATCAGGAATTGATACAGGGATCTATTTTGACATGGCAAATCGAGGAGAAGGCGGGGGAGAAAGTTCTCGCTGTGGAACCTAAAGTGGCACAAGTGGTGAGGCAGAGAGCTCCAGCCTTACAGTTGCAATTGGATGATTATAAGTTGATGCCCTCTAAGACTGAATTTAGAGAAAATCAGACTTTTAGGATTGGAGCCCCGTTTGGACTGGAGATTGACCTCTGCGACCTGGATTTGGGTCAGAAGGAGACTGGAGTTGTGGGGACTGCCAGACTCGGAGGAACTTTGGAACACAATCGGAAATATCTTTCGAATCTCAGTTTTAATTATGGAGATTTGGTTGACTTATTGAGAAGGAATAAAAACATTGCTAGATGGGAATTCCCCGGAGATCTACTTTTCAGCGTCAAAGGAAGGAAAATAAGAACAAGATCAGAAGACAAAGTAAAGGGCATGTATAAATATGAAGAAGACCTGCAGAAGGGACCTGGAAAAGAGTTAAGAGCCTCGGACAGAAGATCACCAGGTTGATGGGCTATTTGGAATGGACGGAAATGACTGGCAGAACCCGAGACCAGGGAGAAGAGACGGTGGAAGAATATTGGAAAAAGTTTAAAACCTATATATGGAAATAATGTAAAATTAATGAGTGTTAGAAAAATGTTGGAAGGGAATTATATGGCTTTAGTAGAAATATCTTAAGTATTATAGTATTAATGGAAAATAAGATTAAAATATGTTAAGATAATTACATGACAGAAAATAGAGAAAGATGGAAAGGATTTGCTGAAACAATTAATAGAAATGGAATACAAAAAGGGAGGTGAGAGGAGGTCGATGAGACAAGGGAATGAAAGAGAGGATACTGAGATGGTACGATGTGTGGGGTTTTTTTGAATTGTTTTTGTTTTGTTAAGGTGTTAATGATAATATTGCATTCTGTATTGTTTATATATTGTATTGTATTGTTCTCTCTTTTGCTTTTTTTGCTTTTTCTTTCTCTTCTTTTCTTTCTTCTTTTCTCTTTTTTCCTTTTGTAAGGTATAAAAGCAATAAATATTATTTTTAAAAAATAAAAATAAAGAGACTATCCTCACCTGGGGGGGAAAAAGCTACTTAAAACTGAGTAGCACTTCTAAGAAAACACACAAAGGCAACCCCCCCCCCTTTCCACACTAGAGGGACAAACAGCACCCACTATTTGCTGGGACAAACAGTAGCAAACTTTCCAGCTGTTGGTAGTTGTGTGTGTTTAAACACACCTGGATCACCACTATGGGGACTGAATAAAGCAGGCTTTCAGTTGGGTCAAGCAAAGAGACTGTTGTGTTCAAACATCCCCCCCCCCCCCGGGGACAGAAGATGTGCGCTTGGATCACAGTCTTGTTCTGATGCAACTCCAGATGTTCTAATGCAGCTGTCTGTGACTGTTTCCTACAGAACATACTATGTGCAGATGCATTTGCAGCATCCCTGGCTGCAAGGAGGGTGTGTGTGTGATGTGCTGGGGGGGAGGTTATCTTGGGACACAGAGCTGCAGCTGCACTTCCTGCCACTCCACTAAATCATTCCAAGAAACAAACCTGGATCTTGTGAGTGTCCAGCTGGCAAATCTGGACAGGCCAGATGCTGGAAGGCACCCAAAATGGCTGATAGGAGGACACCGTGTCAACATTTTTTCATAGTGTTGGTGGGAGACTTGCAGATAATCTCATCAACCTAGAGCTAGAGAGAGACACCTGACCCCCCTCTAGGTTGATTGTCCAGTTGCTCCTTTCTCCCAATGATCAACTGAAATACTGTATACTCCTGTCACCTCAGCCCATGAGATCCAGTCCTGCCCTCTGGGACAGTAGAGAACATGTCTTTGCCTTGAACTGTGCGGTGGTGTAGTGTGGGAGGGACCACAGGGCGGCTGCCCCAGGCGCAAAATTGTTGGCGCAAAGTTTCAGTGCTTGGTGCTGTCTCAATACAGCTTTGCGCTTCTGTCACAGGGATCCATTGAAAATGGTGTCTCCATGTGAACCAAGAAGTGACCTCTCCTAACAATGGAACAAGTCTTCTTATCTCTGCACCTGCGGATCTCTTGGATGATGCTCTTAGTTGAATGTGCATACGCACTCCATCCGTTTCCCTCCCTCCACGTGGCCCTGGGCACTGGCAACCCACACTATGTCACTGGTTCTGTGTGGCCATCCTGCAGAGAGTTGAAGAGCACCATTGCATCCCCAACGCCAGGCCTTTGATCCTTTTCTCATGGGACTTTCTCACCTTATCCCTGTCTATCTTTGCTGTTCTCAGCTTCCTTGTATGCTGTACTTCTTAGTATGTAGCACCTAGAAGTGCCGTACTGATTTCATCTGCGTTTTAATTAATTTTAAGTGTATTCATTCCTTTGTGGGATTTTTTTTTTGGGGGGGGTGTCTTTAAGCTGTTTTTATTTACATTTTAATTTTATGCACTGTTGTAGAGAGTTGCTTAAGTGGTTTATAAATCTGTCTCTATAAATATACCGCCCCGCCCCCGCTATGTAATCCGGATTTGCCCTTGCGGAGGAAGATCCAGTATTCCAAAAACCAAAAAGCCGTTGTCCCCAACCGTCTCTGCCCGCCTAAGCAAAGCCGCCCCCTTCTGCGAAGCGGCCGGAGGATGCCTTCGCTGGCCGCGTGGCTCGCTCGCTGCTGGGAGCGCGCAGCCCGGGCACGTCCTCCGGAAAGGAGCGAGGCGCGCCGCCGCCCTGGCGTTGGTGTCGGAGGGCCGCCTTCGGGGGCGGCTGCTTCCTGCCGGGAAGGCGGCGCTTGCTGCTCCGGGCGAGGCGATGGCGGCGGCGGCGGCGGCGGGGCCGCGCCGGGGTGCGTGGCTGGCGCTGGCGGCGCTGCTGGCGTGGAGCGGCGGGCGGGCGCGCGGCTACTTCCCGGAGGAGCGCTGGGTGCCCGAGTCTCCGGCGCGGCCGCCGCGCGTCCTGCTGGCCCTGCTGGCGCGCAACGCGGCGCACTCGCTGCCCGCCGCGCTCGGCTGCCTGGAGAGGCTGCGCCATCCCAAAGACCGCCTGGCGCTTTGGTGAGTGAGCGAGCGAGCGAGCGAGGGGCCGGCCTTGCCGGGCGGCTCAGTCCCAGGAGCCGCTTCCCAGCGCGCAGCTCCCGCGCAGCGCCGCAGCCGCCGCAAGCCCAGCGCGCTCGCCGCGCAACTTGCTCGCGAGGAGGCCGCTCCGAGCGCGGCACCCGGATGATGGCTGTGCGGCTGCCACGCGCATGTTTCGCCCGGAATCCTAGCAGTGTAGAGGGGGGGGGTCACCGAGGGTCATCTAGTCCAACCCCCTGCCATGCAGGAAACTCAGCTCAAGCAAGCAGGGCCAATGGCCATCCGGAACTTGTGGCGCGGCGCGTCCACGCTCCACACCCCACTTTCAACAGAGTGAGACTCCCCCCCCCTTTTTTTTTTAGTTCTCAGTAAATATGGGTAGAGCTGCGTTGCTGCGACGATAGAGTCCTTACTCGGGGAAGAAAACAGCCACCTCCAGCCACCACCCAGTATGTCTCTGTGCATGCATGCATTTGGCGGCTTTGGCCCATGTAGTCCGGCATCCAGTGGAAGCAGAACTCGGGTGCAAGAGCAGCTCCCCGCTTGTGACTCTCAGAAAGTAGCTTGAGGCTGCAGAACTTCGCCTTCCCGTCTACTCCATGAAAGATTAGAAAGCAGCCTTGGGAATGAGCACATGAAAATTACTAGTCTTCAAAAAACAGAGCAAAAACGGTTTGCGCACAGAGTAGCCAGCTGGAGGAAGGGGAGAGGAAATGTCAGTACAGGACAGTTTACAAAAGTTTGCCTGCCTGTTTGCCAAAATTACTGTACATGAGTGGCTTGGGCTGAAGTTGTTTTGCAGCCAATTCCATCCGCAGGCTGGAATTCAAAAGTGAATTTTCATTTTATTTTCAATATTTATCAAAATACTGTATTTCTTTGGATTTAATAAGCAGCTTTTAAAAAATGTGAATTATATCAGCTGTAGTGGCTGATAATTGATCCCTCCCTTGATGGTGGTCCTGAATAAAATCCCTCTTCTGAAACTGACAGTCACTTTGGCACCAAAATGCCCCCCACCCAAACAGATACTATATCACAGTAAGGAAGGGCAGGGTTAATTTTCCCCTTCCTTGCCTGCTTTGATACTTTTTAAAACACACCCAGCAAGTAAATACATTTAATATCATATATTAATTTTGTGTGGTTTTTGAGGCTGTGCCTAGTTTTTGGTTGCTGTTCAGTGGACCCAAAATCGTCGTTCACTGTGAAATTGGTTTGCAAGCCTTTGGGCACCAACATTGCTCTCCATAATGGCTGGCAGCCTAAGTCAGAATCCGTTTCAAAAAGATGTAATGTGGTACCTCAGAACATGTGCAAAGTGCCCCCCCAAAAGGCAGCAACATTTCATTACTGGAACATCTTGCAGCTATGGAAAGTGGTAAAAGGAAATACTGGCCGCCCTCTGTCTCCCCCTCTCCTATTCTGGCAGCTGGCCAGGAGGATCTGAGTGGCTTGACAGCCCCAAGAGGCCCTGATCTGATGGGGCGGCGGCTCATCCTAATGAAGAATGGAGGCAGAGTAATAGGTGGCAATTTGTCAGGTTTAGGGAGATGCAAGGATCATGATGCACATAAGAATAAGAAACATACTCATTGTAAGTAGCAAGGTTTGGGAGGAGGTTAGTTACAGTCAACAAATTAATCTGCAGGAAACGTGATCCTCAACATACACGGCCTGAAGAACTGTGAGGTCGGCTCACACAGATCTCCACACTGACTGGGGCTGACAGGAGTTTCTAAAATATCAGATGCTGTGGGCTTAGGATGTCTCATCCTGGCTCGGAATGAGGAGTGCTGTCTGATTTTTAAAAAATATGGTGGGGTAATCATAGCTGGGGCCCTCACGGGTGGTGGGTGGGAGCTGGAGCTGGGTAGGACATCCTTCGTTCTCTTGCTCCCCCCCCCCCCATGGAGCCAAGTGTAGTTATTGGGCCATAGGATTCCCATTGCTGCTTTGGGCCTTCAGGACAGGGCTGTCCAAAGAGGCAGCAGATTTGCTGACCCACCGATAAAATCCACGTGGGGGAATGGATGCAGGGGGAAGGGAGAGGACCAGGCTCCACGGCGTGAGAGTGGCACAGTGGGAGGCAGAGTCTTCTGGAGAAGGCGTGGGAACTCTAGAGCCATTTCTGGAAACTTGCCCTTGCGTGGGCCTTTTCTTCTCTGAAGGGAATTGCTTTCCTAAGCCAGGAAGGGCTCTTGATGGTGCTGCACATCCCTGCATGCTGTGACTCGAGCATCTGCTTTTGACGTTGCAGCACCAGTTCTTTAGCTGAACTGTAATTTTGTACATTTTTTTTATCATCAAGTGGGGTTGGTTTTTCTTGGAGACTGTAAGCTGTGCTCTGGAAGAAATTATTCAAAGTGTGGGGTATACATTTTCAAATGAAGTTTGTGCCCAGTTACAAACCTGTGCAGATGCTAAAATACTGGTGTCCTACATTTTGGGTAACCTTGGCAAGTGGCTGTTTGCAAGCCTGGAAGTGTGAGGTGGGGAGGAATGAAGCTTCCAAATCCATTGCCTTGTGTGTCTTTTAGGGTGGCAACTGATCACAACGTGGACAACACGACAGCTGTGCTTCGGGAATGGCTGATGAATGTACAGAACATGTATCACTCGGTGGAGTGGCGACCCATGGAGCAACCCAGGTGAGCAAACCAGCATTGTGGGGAAGGGAGGAGAGAAAAGGGGCTTCAGTATTTGTGGGGAGAGGTGAAGAGAAGGGAAAAGAAAACAGAAACTTGATTTGAAGAGGGATCCAATTCCCAAGGAGAGAGTGAGAACACAGAGACTGCTCTGTGGCTGAGTTCCGCAAACTTGTTTTTTTGCCTTATGTTTTGCAGACATAGCCTTGTTGATGGTCAGCTTGTAGAAAAGGGTGGGGGGATTGCATAAGCGAGTCAACTTGGGTAGCCCCACCCCCACCCCGTTCCCCTGGATGGCTCTGTGCAGCAAGGCAGGGCATGCACCTCGGACACTGCACCACAGGCACATCAAAACTGCACATTGTGGCCACGGAGGAATGGCCCAAACGAGGCTTCTGGCGAATGATACCCTGTGGCCAGGCTGTGTTTACTCTGCATTTAAAAATAAAATGAATTCAAATTCTGTGCAAGGAAAAGCAGCTTCTGCTTCTAGTATAAACTATGCAAATTGAACAGAGTTGTGTAGTTTTCTCTTGTTTTACACAATTCTGCAATTTGAACTAAATCTATTTTACTAGTTGGGAGGAAAGGCAAGATTCTTTGCAGTGCCAAGACACTGGAAACCTTTACACTGTAATCCATTCTACATCTGCTCAGAAATAAGTCCTACCAGATTCCATGGCACTTGCTCACAGGTAAGTGTGTAAAGGACCTTAGCAGCCTCTTCTGCTTTCAGCACCTACTCTCCCTGTTTTTCAAGCTTATCTGTGTCATAAGGATAAGAGCCAACTGATGAAGGTCACAAAATCCCTTGGGGTAGCAAAGTGCTTGCACTAGTGCAATGGCACTCCCCCCATCTGTTCTGGGGGGCTCTCCCAACCCTCCAGAGCAGGTTTGGAGAGGGCATGGGGATGCATGGGAGAGGGAGACGTTCTGTAGAAAACCTTGTGCTAGCTGAAGCACTTTGTTGGGTAGCCCCCATCCCTTGGCATTTAGCGCATCTAGATTCTTCTGTTGGGGCAGGTAGGGTGGGGAAGAAGGTGATTTCTTTATGTGACCTCACCCTGAGCCTCGCTGTCCCTGGCAGGTCCTATCTGGATGAGGAAGGTCCCAAGCACTGGTCCAATTCCCGTTATGAACATGTCATGAAGCTTCGCCAGGCAGCGCTGCAGTCTGCCCGGGACATGTGGGCTGACTACATCCTGGTAAGGAGAGGCTTGGGGGGGGGGGGAGCCAGGGTGGGGAGCTGCATTTCTAAGATCTGATGACTGACTTCCAGGGACCTTGATTTAGGGCATCACTGTATGCTGTGTGGCAGCCCAGCAGTCGGCACATCCAGGAGGGCTTTCAGCGCATGCTAGTGCCCTGCTCAGCCGCACAGCTGAGAGAGATAATCTGGAGACCAGTGTGGGCTGCGCAGTTTTAATTCCCATGGCTGGGAAACAAGCCTGACTTTTCTAGGGATACTTCAGTAAACAACTGTGTCATTTAATAGTTATAGTGTTTGGGCTTGGAATGCTTCCTTTCAAACCAGCCCCAATTTTTGCTTCTGTCAGATTGTGCAGCTGTTCCTTTCCCTGTGGTTCATTCCCTGCGTTAATTGTAGGTGGGAAGGATGTTTTTGGATTTTGGACTTCAGGTAATAAAACACCTTTGCCGTGATAATCCCTCTTCACCCCACCCCAGGCAAAGCAGAAATCTGAGGATGATAATTCTGACTTCACTTTATAGGGTTGTTGTAGGGATTACGGAGAATGATGTGAAGCTCTTTGTGAATAATTTGCCTAAGCGCTGAGGATTGTTTTTTTACATCCCCCACCTCCCAAGGAAATTTGGGAGAAGTGAGCAGACTTGTTTCCAAGCTTTCAATACATTCTGAACCAGGGCCTCCCCTTTGACCTGGGAAGTAGCTTTGGCCAAGCCAAGGGCCCCTGCCTACAACTGACGTTGCACAGAGAAGGGAAGGATGTGTGTGCCACCAAGAGCCCTAGGGCAGAGGTTGCTAAGATGATGGCCTGTGGGTGCAAAGGTGCCCTCACGGCATTTCCCCTGTTTCTACCAAGCCTCTGAGCCCCCCACCCGTGGTCTTCCTCCTGAGTCATGAAGTGATGAGGTCACCCGTCTCTCCTCAGAAAAGTACATAGAACTGAAAGCGGAAGTTGGTGGAGCAACACTTTACCTCATTTCCTCTTTCAGCCCTGAGGGCCTCCCAAACCTCTGGATAATTCTGCTGCATCTGACTTTTAACCTTGGGAAAGTGAAGCATGTATGTTTGCACTTTTCTCTCTTCCTTTCCCTGGGGGAAGGGAGAGAAGTGAAGTGCGGGGGGTGGGGGAACAGTTGCTGTGACCACTGGCCGAAAAGCTTGGTGGTCCCTCCATTAGAGATCTCAAGTCACAGCCCTTGGACTCTCCATAGGGAAAGGCAGCCTTTCTGCCCCCCGCCCCAGCCCTGCAGTGGGGAAAGAATCATAGAATCATAGAGTTGGAAGAGACCACAAGGGCCATTGAGTCCAACCCCCTGCCAAGCAGGAAACACCATCAGAGCACTCCTGACATATGGTTGTCAAGCCTCTGCTTAAAGACCTCCAAAGAAGGAGACTCCACCACACTCCTTGGCAGCAAATTCCACTGTCGAACAGCTCTTACTGTCAGGAAGTTCTTCCTAAGGTTTAGGTGGAATCTTCTTTCTTGTAGTTTGGATCCATTGCTCCGTGTCCGCTTCTCTGGAGCAGCAGAAAACAACCTTTCTCCCTCCTCTTCTCAAAACCAAATGTGGTATTTGGTCAGAACCCTCAATTTCTTGTAATAAGATTTTGGTTGAGGACAAAAGTAACAGAAGAAGAGAGCTCACGGCTGGCCCTTCATTTCTGGGGTGAGACTGGCTTTGCCACGGCAGTGCCTTGTCCATTGATCTTATCCAGCTCTTTTCTTCTGCCACTTTGCTGTTCTGCAAATACTGCCAAATCTGGCATTAAAGGGAAACTATCCAATGCAGATCACAGCAGGTGATGCCTTGCCTTGCCTCACCTGATTCTTCTAGTACAGAGTGGAATATCTCTGGGGGCGATGATGCCACTTCCCTGTCTCCAATGCCCCTTCGTGCCCCCTGACCTCCTCAGCCTCGCCTCGCTGGGAGCGCAGCCGACATTCCTATGTGGGCTGCTCTTTCCCTTGGTGCTTTTCAGTCCTGGGCAAGCACAACTGGGGTGGGATTTTGGGATGGAGTGGTAGAAGTCCAGCTGTTCTCACTGGGAGCCAGCCCCCTTGGCTTGTCATGCCTTGTACTTCTGTTCTGGAATTAGGTGCTGGCCTGCAGCCCAGAATTGCTGGCAGGGAGTGATTTGTGTGTCTCTGTGCTTCTCGCTAAGGCTGGAGGGAGCTGCCCTGCTCATGAAAAGCAGAGGCACCTGTTTGTTTGTGGAGACGTCATCAGGTTTCTTTTAATCCTAGCAGTACCTTGGCTCTTAGGAGATAAGCCCACAATGGACCTCAGTTCCTGCACAATTCCTCAAAGGATTTCTTATGGAAGGAGTTTCCTCGCATGCTTAATCTGGCTTTTCTTGTAGCTGTCCTCCAAGCCAAGCATACCTCCTTCTGTTTCACAGATGAAAAAAGGGACATACTCTGCCATTTGTTTTTACAGCAATCTGAGTGGTGTCCTCCTTGTGTTACATGTGCAGAAAAGGGCCTCCTCCACTTTCTGTATTTTAATGGCCTCACAATATACTGTCCTATGCTGTTTTAGAAGCTAAGATGATGCTGGTGCTTTTAATTAAAAGGAAAAGCAAACGGGTGCCTCGCACTGCAGACCAAAATAAATATTGCCAGCTGGAAAATGGCAGGCTGTGCATTCCACGGAGCCTTAGTGTCTGTGTGCTCACACATTCACATCTCTGCCTCCTGCATAGGAATGACTAGTAGCTTGAATGTTCTAGCATCTTGTGCTACAATGGTGGTTATCCCCAAAGCTGCCCTTGCAAGCAAAATACGGACAAGAATTTACCAGGAACAGGTACCAGAATATCAAAGCCTTGGTCCCTACTAAATAGTGACCATGAGAAGGTACATATAATGCCCCTTGGAAAAGCAGCTGCCATCCGAGTTTGGGGTCCCCTTCCTTCTGAGAAGGTATAGGGGGCAATAAGAAAGGTGGGGAGCAACATGTCTTTCCTTTGCCAAGCAGATGGCTGACTCCTCACCATCCTTATTTTTCCCTTTCACTGACATCTCAGCTGTTGCCTCTCATTTTCATACCTGTCCTGCCTTTCTGAAAAGTTATTTTTCTGGCCATTGGATCTCAAGGCTGCATCTGCTGGACCAAAATCTCCTGGGTCCAGATTTGGCCCAGCAGCTGCCAGTTTAAAAATGTTGGCGTATCATAAGCATAGGTTAGAAGTTGAGGTCCTAAGACAGGGGCACAGGAATTTGTTGACTAAGGTTTCTTGCTCACCAGCAACCTTGGACCTTGGGGATTCACAGCATTTAAACTGGAACAGCTGCTGTAGAACTGACTTTTCTCTTCTTTTTCTTGCTGCATAATTCTGCAGTTTGTGGATGCAGACAATCTCCTGACGAACCCTGACACTCTGGGCCTTTTGATAGCTGAGAACAAGACTGTGGTGGCTCCGATGCTGGACTCACGGGCAGCCTATTCAAACTTTTGGTGTGGGATGACCTCTCAGGTAGGTGGATCCCAGCCTCTGGTTTAACTCTGTTGTTGCCATGTGTTCTTGAGACCACAGCCAAAGACTATGATTGAGGCAGTAGGCATGAAGGACTTGGTATATCCATGGCTAAGCACATTGTCAGCTGACATGACCTCAACGATCTTCTGTCCTTCAACAAATTCAACACAGAGAAATATCTACCAGGCATATTCTCTGCAACTTCGTTGCCTCCTAGCCAATACAGTTCTCACTTTTTCAGAATCTCTCTTTGTGTGTGGATCAAGGATGATGAGCATCTGCACTCATTCATTGAAAAAATGTTTATTTAAGAAAAGGATATGTTCTTCAAATTAAGAATCAAGCACCTAGAGCCATAAAAAGATAATAAGGTATTTATACACAGGTTAAAATTAAATCCATGCTTGCACATTTCCTTGAAATATTCTCTGCTATAGATATGCAAGATAATGAGGTTATGCATTTTGTTGCAACAGCTATGACATGAACCAAGAAAGCAAGTTCTGACTTTACCCTATTGGAAAAGTGTAAACATCAATTGATTTCAAAACATTGCGTGTCTATGGTGTGTTTTTGGAAACAGTGGCTTCTTTTTACAGTACATGGTAAAAGAGGACCAATATCTTCTGAATTATTTTTGCTATCTTTTTTCTTTAGATCTAATACAATGTGTTTTCTCTAAAATAATGAGTTAGTTTAGCTATTGAGGCAAGTCTTTTGAAAACCGTGCAGCTAGAGCTCTTAAGTGCTGTCATCATGTATGAGACTGTTTTTTTATGCTCCTGCCTTAAAGGTAAAGGGTAAAGGGACCCCTGACCGTTAAGTCCAGTTGCAGACAACTCTGGGCTTGTGGTGCTTATCTTGCTCTATAGGCCGAGGGAGCCAGCGTTTGTCCGCAGAGAGCTTCTGGGTCATGTGGCCAGCATGACTAAGCCGCTTCTGGCGAACCAGAGCAGCACACGGAAACGCCGTTTCTCCTGCCTTACTGTTCATATAATTCAGCACAAAGACTCCTTTTGCACATGATGCTGAAGTGTTGCAAGTTTTCCTAGGCTGGGCTCTATTCCTGCTTCTCTTTGCAGGAAATCTCATGTGGAATTTCCCTTCTGCTTCTCCTAGGGCTATTACAAGCGCACGCCTGCTTACATCCCCATCAGGAAGCGAGACCGCCAGGGCTGCTTTGCTGTTCCCATGGTGCACTCCACCTTTCTTATCAACCTGCAGAAAGAGGCCACTCGGAGCCTTGTCTTCTACCCACCCCATCCGGATTACACCTGGGCATTTGATGACATCATCGTCTTTGCCTTTGCCTGCAGGCAGGCAGGTGAGTCAAAGCCCTGTCTTCGCTCACAGAGAAGGATGCCGTCTTGGTTTGTGTGTGTTGGCCTCGCAGAGGCATCTGTTTGTGAGGATCAACAAGATTAATTGAGATGGTTTTTCTTTGTTGAGCTGCCTTGCAGACAATTCTTCAGCATAGCTGCATACTTTCCCTTACTTTGCCTTGGAAAATAGGGACGCAGGAAGCTGCCTTATGCCTAGTCATACTGTGATTTCAGCATTGCAGGAGGTTGGAGCAGATAGTCCTTGTGGTCCCTCCCAACATTGCGTCTCTATGATTCTATGAAACTATTTGCCAGTCTAATTCAGCATTATCAACAGTGACTGGCTACAGCTCTCCGAGGTTTCAGGCAAAAGTCCTTCGTAGCCCTGTCTGGAAACACCCAGGATTGGACCTCAGGGTTTTTGCTTGCAAGACACGTCCTCCACCATTGAGCCACAGTATTTCTTCAGCCCCCAACTTGTTGCCTGCTAGAAACTCTCCATTCTCATCACATACAACTGCTGCTCTTTGAAGTCAGGAGAAGAAGATTGGATAGCCCCATGCTGCTCCCTGCCGTTAGGAAATAGCACCCTGTGGAAATTACTACTCCAGAAGTGGGGAACATCTGGCCAGGGGGTCAGTCTTACCTTCCCTGGGGATGCAGTTTGGCCCATGAAGCCATTTCCCCCCCAACCACACCCTCTGATCAATCAGCTGGCATCACTCATGGCAAGGGACAAGAGTGTGGAGTTCAAGGGATGTCTCTCCCAGGCAGCTGCTGTTTCCAAAAGGCCCATTGCCTGCACATGGGACTCAAAACAGGAGGAGTGGAGATTGTGCTGGACTCCAGTTCCCTTCATCCCGGACTGTTGGCTGTCATGATGGAGTGGATGGGAATTGTACTCCCACAACATCTGGAGGACCACAGGTTCCCCATCTCCGCTTTAAATATTGCTGCACCTGGGATAGTGTTGCCATGGAATGGGCAACCAGGTGGCAGCATGGGCAAGGGGAAGCAGATCTACTTTGCTACCTGTCTGCTTGCTTGGGGCCAGTTCAGTTCAGCTGAGGCAAGTGCCTTCTAAACAGAAACACAAATCCATGAATCCAAGGAGGCATTCCTGGGATTTCCAGGCACAACCAGTTCTACTTTGATCTTTGCTCCTCACCGTAACTAGGGCTATATGTTTTCCATGCTAGCAACAACAAAAAACAAAAAATAGATGTGGATTTCTGCAAGCTATATAAATGGGGCATCTTGAGGGGGAAAAATCATAAATTGGTCTTATTTTGCATACTTTGTTCTTCTGTGTTTTAATATTTTGAATTTTTTGCTCTGGGTTTGTTGGTCATGGGAGAGGCAAGGGTGCTGAAGCTGTGCCCCAACCACAGAAAACTAGAAGCTTTGAAAAAGAAGAAAAGCTTCCCGAGAGTCCTGGGAAGCTGACTTCAGCACCCCTTCCTACATTTTGAGCTCCTGTAGAATTGCATGTAGCCCAAATAGTGCAGATTCCTTGGGCTGGTTCTCCACCTAGTTTTAAATCTTTGAACAGGGTACTGGAGCATTTTGTGGACTGCCAAGTGTACTATCAGAATTTATTTTAATCACCAATTAGCCCAACTTCATGCATATGGAGGTGAAACGTAACAATGGCCATGACTCCTTGACTTGGAAAGGATACAGAGAGGGGTCTGTTGCTGCTGCTGCCCAATGACATCTTGATTTTGTGTGCTTCCTTTTGTGGTTCCTCCCTGCTTTGTTTAGAAGTTCAGATGTACGTGTGCAACAAAGAGGTGTATGGCTTCCTTCCCGTGCCTCTGCGATCCCACAGCACCCTCCGCGACGAGGTGGAGAGTTTCATGCACGTGCAGTTGGAGGTGATGGGTGAGTTCTATGTGACTCTTGGCCAAAAGTTAGCAAGGCCTTTGCAAGTTGTTGTTTTAAACCAAAGAGGAGATTTTTATAAACAGACACCAGATTTTACCTTGTGTAAGGGTTAAGAGGAGGGTTAGAAAACTACCCTGGGGTGGGGGCTGTGCATATTATTGAATACATCGTGATAAGAGTTTCAACAAGGTGCTGTGTTTCCTGCTTTGTTTGCTCTCTCCCTCCTCCCTCCTAAGCAGATCTAGGGTTACCATATTTCAAAAAGGACACCCCAAAAGTTTTGAGCTTTTTTTTTTTAAGGAAACCACTGGAATTGTTGAGCTTAGGAACTCTATCGGCTTCAGTGGAGTCTTTCCAGTGATTCAGTGGCAAAGTATACAGAAAACATAAATAAAGCACTGGAAAGCTCTTCTTTCTTCCTCACACTCACCCCCACCTGTGGAAAAAAAGAGGGGGAAGAGTTTTCGTTTTTATTTTCTGCGGGTGTTTATGTTGTTGGTTCCCCCTAAATAGCTTTCCTCCATATTAAAAAGGAAGGGTTTTTTTGTTTTTAAGGAGACTATCTTTTTGCTTGTTTGCCCTCCCTCCCTGCCTTTGATAAAAAGAGAGAGAGATTGGTGGGATGAGGGCTTTTGGGGGGGGGCCTTCTGGGGGGGTGGAGGGGAGAAGATTTAGCTGGCTGCCTTATGCTGAAATGGGAGGTTGGGTACTATGTGAGCATGATGCTAAGGGTGTTTGTTGGTAAGCAGTTTGTGTCTACTCACAAACAAGTCCTACTGAATTCAATGAGGCTTACTCCCAGGAAAGGAAAAGTAAGTTTAGTTGAATTCAGTGGAGCTTATGCACGCAAATATTCCACTTAGACCTCTGAGTGGGAAAGCAGATGCAACTTGACTAGTAAATCACAAGCTACTCTTTAAATTGGTTGAAAATATATTAGATATATTATATGGAAGTTTATTTCATATTTTCATCTGCTACTTCCTTGCATTTTAAGGCCCTCCACCGCTGCAGGGAACCTCAAGGCCCTCGGCGGCTGCAGGGGAAGTGAGGTGCACCCTCCACTGTTCCGGGGCCCCCCAGCAAAGCCCTCTGCCGCCGCAGATATATTGAGATATTGTGATATTTAGCTGGTGATATATTGTGATGTTGAAAACCAGATATCACCCAGCCCTACTTAGGGGAGAGTGAGGATGGCTTACTTTTGGCAGAGCTTTTGACATCTTCACTGATGGTTTGCTATAGGAAGGGCTCTGCATGCTTCTGGGCTATTAAGTAATCAGTTAATCAATTAATTTTGGCACCTGGGCAATCCCTGGTTGTGGGCTGATAAAGGCAAAGTTATGTGACCCAGATACATGTATGCACTTTGAGCAAAGTGGCATGCTTTTTCCTGTTTTGCAATTCTGCCTTGGACAATCACGGAGAGACTGAACAGGACCCTCAGCTCCTAAGCCATGTGGCTATTTGGTTTGGTCATCTGATCTGTTGTGCACATTTCTAAGAGTAGAGGAAAGTTTATGTAGATGCATAATGAAACCTTGGGGTCATCCAATTGTGGGGAGTACAAAACCAATTTGCAGTTTAAAGAGCCTGGCATCCTCTTCCTCCTTATGTCTGGTAGCTAAGTGAACCCTCCGGGTTCAGAGACAGAGACTGCTGGGGGAAGTGGGCACTGGCCGTGGGGCAGGGGCTTTCCAGAGGTGTCTGTCTGGCGATTGCTGGATGCAGGTCGCTGGGAGTCCTGGACTTGATGGGCCTCAGTGCCATACGCAAGAGCTCTTCTGAAGCTCTCTTCTGATGCAGAATCATTCTGCAGAATCACCTCAAAAAGGATGTTGTAGAGTTGGAAAAGATTCAGAAAAGAGCTGCCAACGTGATCCAGGGGATGGAGCGACTCCCCGAGGAAGAAAGGTTGCAGCATTGGGGATGTTTTAGAGCAGGGGTCCTCAAACTATGGTCCGAGGGCCAGATCCAGCCCGCCAGGGTTCTGAACTCAGCCTGCCTGGCAGGGGCAAACAAAGGGGGGCAGGGGGAGGCGGCCTACAGCGAGCGGCAAAGCGTTCTGACTGAATGCAACGAAAGCATTTGGCTACAACTCCGTGCTCGGCCTAATCATACTCTCTGGCTGCATTGCATGCTGGGATTCGTAGTTTCCTGCTAAGGCAGAGGGGTGTCTCTCTCTCTCCCTCCCTCCTCCTGCATTTCAAGCGTTCTGCAGAACTTTGCTCCTGACCCCTCCGCCTTCCTATAGTTGCCCACTCCCCGCTAAGGCAGAGGCGCCAGCCGGGCAATGGTACCGCGGACCCTCTGGCTCTGGACTCTCCGTTTCGCAGGCGCAGCCACGCCGCTTAGTCCTCAGAGTCCCCTTGCGGAGAGGCGGGGGGCCGCATGGTGCCTGGGTCGCCATGGCAGCTTGAGAGCGCTCTCCTCCCCGCAGGGCAGGATTCCATGGGCTGGAGGCGGAGGCCCCAGGCGAAGCCGGAGCGAAAGGGCAGCCTCTCCCAACAAGCAGCCAGCTCTTGCAACAGGAGGAGGAGGAGGAAGAGGCCTTATACCGAGCCAGAACATTGCTCAGTATTGCCTACCCTGGCTGGCAGCAGCACTCTGGGGTTTCATGCAAGAGGCTCTCCCAACGCCATCTGGGGATGCTAGGGGTTGAATTTGGGACTGCCACTGAGGTTTTATTTATTTATTTATTTATTTATTGACTTTATATACTGCCCTATACTCAGAGGTCTCAGGGCGGTTCACAGAACAAAATCTAAAACCACAATTATATATATAAGCAAAATAAAAACAACCCAATAACATCTCCCCCCCCCCCAAAAAAAAAGAACCACATTTTAAAAGGGCATAGGATGTCAATCAAATCAACCCAAAGCCTGGCTAAAATGAAACGTTTTTGCCTGGCGCCTAAAGGTGTATAATGAAGGCACCATTTTTTTTAAACTATAGTCTGGCCCCAACAGTGTCTGAGGGACAGTGAACTGGCCCCCTGTTTAAAAAGTTTGAGGATGCCTGTTTTAGAGAAAAGGTGAGTCTCCTATCGTGGAGAGAGGAAAGTTGAAGCTGAATGTTGGAAGGTTTAGGGCAACTAAAAGAAAGTCCTTCTTCCCACAACACACTGTCAAACTTGCTACTCCCAGAGACAGCCATATCACCGACTTGGATGGCTTTGAAAGAGGATTAGGCCCATTCATGGAGGGGGGTGGGAGGGCTGTTGATGGCTCCTAGCCAGGATAGCCATTCTGGAGGCAGCAAGGCTTCCAAATAGCAGTTGAGCTCATGTTCTGCTTCCTGGTTTCCCTCAGTGGGCATCTGGTTGGCTGTTGTGAGACCAGGATGCTGGACTAGACATTGTTGGCCTGATCCAGCCGGCTCTCTGTACTTCCTGATGCTGCCTTGGGCAAAGCTTTGCTTCTCAGCCTCTGTTCCCTGGCCGTCAAAGGGGAAATGTATTTGGCCTACCTCCCAGGGGTTGCTGTGAAGACAGCATATAAAGGTACAAAAGCAACTTAAGGTTAAGCTATAGCTGGGAGTAAACCTCACTAAATCATCAATCTATTATTATTAATTAATTAATTAATTAATTAATTAATTAATTAAAGTTATATTCTGCCCTTCATCTGAGCACCACAGGGCAGTTTACAGTATAAAAACAGAAATATAAAAGTGTAACAGACAAAACAACCCCAGCCCAGACACAAAGTTTGAAATGCCACAAATTGTTTAATCTGCCTAAAACCTGGTTATAGATGAACAGTTTACTTGTTGCCTAAAGATATGCAACGAATGTGCCAGGCAAACCTCCCCGGGGCAGCCTTCCTCAAATGGGGAGCCACTGCAGAAAAGGCCCTGTTCTTATGTGGCCACCATCCTCTCGCAGAGGAGCACAGGAAGAAGGGCCTCCAATGATAATCAACATGGCTTCCTTTTGCATAGGCATGCATAGGACCATGCTGCAAAAAGTGCCACTGAAATTGCAGGACATTGGACCAGAGCCTTTCTGCCCTGGCTCATGCTTTCTGCTTCTCCAGTTCAAGGCAGCCTGACCAGCCCCGCATGACCTGTGTGAAGCCTCTCAGAGGAGCCTCTGCCATCAATGGTGCTTGTGTGTAGCAGTCACCCCGCCTTTGGGTTCTGGAGGAGTGTGCTGAACTCCGTCCCTTGGGGATGATTCACAGTCGCTCTTTGTACAGGGCTGCAGCTACACAAAGGTCCTTTCACTAAATTTGACTGCCCTTAAAGGCAAAATGGTCACCTCTTTGAGAAGGTGACTGAGGTGGAAGGTAGGAGAGTTCCGTGTGCAACCCTCTTTTCATTAATAACTGCTTGTTTTTCGCTAACCGAAAGGGGCATTCTCTGTGCTGACCTTCCCTTGGGAGATTTCTTCGAAGGCAAAACTTCTGTAAGTAGCAGATGGCTTGTGGGCCCCTAGAGCCCATTCAAGGGTGCTGCTTTTGAGGTGGACTGTACCGCCTCAGAATGTACATGGCTTGGCTGCCACGCCAAAAACCTTTCTGCATGTGGAAAGGTACTGTGTCAGGGAGAAAACGTTTAGTTTCTCAACATTTGCCTTTACCAGTGGAGTGGGATTTGTTTCAGGCATGTTTCTGCTGCTATGGACAACTGGTTTCGGTTCTTTAAAGTTGCATCCTCTTTGTGTTGAAACATGGGGGATGATTTTTGTTATTTGTTTGGCAAAACACAGCACTGGTTATTTCATGGGCAAAATAGCAGTGTCTGGTGTCTGAATATAGAAGCCTTCTAAAAACAAGACTTTGGAGGGTAAAGAGACATTCCTGCTCCCCAACTCCCACCCAGCTGCTCCTTCAGATCTTTTCCTTTGGCAGGGCAGGATCTCGTCTTCTGTGCTTCCATGGAATGCAAATGTGCAAAAGCACATTCACGTAAGAAGAAGAAGACCTTGCCTTTGCTGCCAGGCACACTTTCATCCTTCTGGAATGTATCTGTGAGGAGTGGGACAGTCAAGTCTGTTGAAAATAGTGGTTGAAAAAGGTTGTGTGGAGGAAGATTTTTCTTTTTTTTAAAGGAAGAACTTGGAGTTAGAGGAAGATATGTCATCGAAGCTTCTAGCCCACACTGAGAGCCAGCCTTGTGCCCAAACCCCCTCACCCACTCTCCAGGAAACGGCCAAGGGCACATTTCAACTTAGCCTTGAATCTGACTAGAAGATATTTGGGGTAATCTTGAACCCAAGCTACAGTGATAAAATATTGGCCAGGGGATGAGAAAAGAAAACCATGAAACCTTAGAAATGTAAGGAAATAAATTTAAAAGGTCTTTAGTCTCCCCCCACCCCCATATGCTTGTCATTTGCAGCCAGAGGGCAAGGGGCAGGGACTTTTTGAAATGTCCTTGCCTGGTTTCCTGGAGATCTATTTACAAAGTTAGTGTAAACTCAGAGGGAGTGAACTGTCTTCCTAGGGCTCTTGAGAAGTCAAAATTGCATTTTGCTAAGGCTAGACTGGCCCTCCAGATGTTGCTGAACTACAATTCCCCTCAGCCCCTACCAGCACTGCCAGGGGTCAGGGATGAAGGGGGTTCTAGCCCGGCCACATCTGGAGGGCCACAAGATCCCCATCCTTGGGCTAAGAAGAAAATCCATTTTAAAAATCCACCTAGACACCTCTTAGTGGTTCTCAGAGGGTGTGGCAGAGAGGAAGGCAAGTGTGGCAGGAAGATTCAAGGACGAACAAAGAAAGAGTTAAACATTTCAGTATAGTATAGTATTAAAATATTTTTTATATCTATCCGTGCCTCTCTTCAAGAGTATAACTGTTTTTCTACAGTTCTCTGCAACATATTGTTGTGAACAGGGATCGTCAGCTCTGACAAATATGAAAGATCAGAAAAGAGAAAGGCTTCTTTGTGCTGATGAGGAGATCAGTTTGTTTGTATCAAATAAGATCCAATATAAATAAGTTTACTGGGCAAAAGCAAGTTCACACCTCTCTTTGAGTTTGTATACATACTTATATTTTGGGAATGATTTGTGTTCTTATGTGGCTGCATTGTTTTATGCTTTCTAGATTCTGCCTGATCATATTATAAAGTAGTTGTGTTCTATGTTATAATCAAGCACTTTTTGTTTTCCAATGTATTTCTTATCAATAAAAAAATCAGTGTGGTGTGAGCAATTTCCCCCCTGAAAGTTTGGGAGACCCAGTGCTGCAGGACTACATGGTGCACTGGGCATTCATGGGGAACAATTTATGTATGTGACTCCACATCGAAATTTAGGGTGCAGATTTATTAATGTGGCTTAGAAATGTCTTCACGGACCAGAGGCAGCTCTTGGGGGATTCAGAATGGGAGTCTTTTCCAGCCCTACTTGGAGATGGCAGGGACTGAACCTGGGATCTTCCATGTGTCAGACAGAAGCTCTGCCGCTGAACAATGGCCCTTCCCAGCATCTGACACGAGGCCAAGAATCTGGGGGGAGCTTGTCATAAAATGCATCTCTGCTCTTCCTTTCCTTAAATGAAAACCTGGTGACAGGTCACGTGACCCACCGCATGACCCAGTTTTGTCTTTCCCTACAGTTAAAAACCCTCCAGTGGAATCTTCTCGATACCTATCTGTGCCTCCTAAAATCCCGGACAAGATGGGATTTGATGAGGTGAGGAAAAACAAGCAGACCTGTGTGAATGTGCTTGAACAGCATAATCTAAGTTACAAGATTTAAGCAGAGAACAGAATTTGACCGACCCTTGATTGTCATCATCTCCACCATCATGTGCATCTGCTTCCATGGGGTCTGGGCGATTTCCTTTGGGTTTGGGCTAGTAGAGGGCAGTTTGAGGGACATTTTCATTGGTGGGCTGTGATGCTGCTGCCTTCAGTCACCCTGCCTTCTGAAAGCCAAGTTGCAGACTTCGCTAGTTCTCTGACTTCTGGAGCCTTCTTTGTTCAGCTCTGCAGATAGATCTTAGAGTGTAGTGCCATAGGGGAAATGTCTAGACATGAGAGAGCTGGTGCCAGAATCCCAAGGGGATGAGAGTGGACTGTACCACTTCAGACTACAGGTGTGTGTTGCGAGTGTGGAGAGGAAGATCGCCTTTTATAATGCCCCTTGCATAAAAGAAAACTTCCTGCAAGCAAAAAGGTTGCAGCCCAGCTTATTTCCTGCTTTGCTACTTGGCCATTTGCAGGGAGCTCAGCATCTTCTGCCTACAGTCTGAAGTGATTCAGAGTCCATTCTGACTCTCTCCTCAAAGCTCTGCTATGTCCTTCAGTTGCCTGCATAGCTGTGGCAAAGCCTGGGGCGCTGCTTTGCTCCCTCCTCTGCCTTTCTGCCATGGTGGGCCATTGCTCTGCATTCTTGACGCCGCAATGCTTCCTTTCCCAGGTCTTCATGATTAACCTGAAGCGTCGGACCGACCGCCGGGAGCGGATGCTGTGGGCGCTTTATGAGCAGGAGATAGACTGCAAAGTGGTTGAAGCTGTGGATGGCAAGTGAGTGCCCGCCTGGGACACAGACAAAAAGCCTCAGAGGGAGAAGGGCGAGTGTTCAGGGTGGAATAGGGTGCTTGACCTTAGCCATACCAATATCCTGTGTACTTAGGGGCCCAATGGTGTTGTAGTGGAATGGGCTCACACTCGCCATATCTAAAAGGAGGGGCTGTAGCTCGGGATTGGAGCCCCTGCTTTGCATCCTGCAGAAGGTCTTGGATCTGCAGTCAAAAAGGCTCTGGGGCAGCAGGTTTGACGTGAAGGGTCTTCTGCCTGGGACCCCCGAGATCTCCGGCCAGTCGTGGCCAAAGCAGAAACTAATCTGCCCAAAGACAACACCCTGTGCTCTTTATCTTCCTTGTTTAATCTTCGCTTGCACAGAGCAAAAGATATTGCTGCCAAATTGCTCACAGAAAGTAAGAAATAATAGGGGAAGTGAAATCTTGCATTGGAGAAACTTCAGCGGCTGTAGAAAGAAGTAGGCAAGCTTTTGAGTGGCACACAACCCTGCTTCTTGGGCTTGACTGCTTTTCTGTTCTGTTCAGTGAAGAACTCTGTGCTGGCTGGAAGCTTCTGCACCAACAGAAGTTGATCCAGGGAAAGAGAATTGTTTTCTTCTTTCTGCATTATTTTTCACCCTAGATCACACAGCCATATATCTTTGGCATGTATCTCTGCCGCTCTCTTCATGAATAGCTTGTGTTCTACTGACTGTCCTTTATTCTTTCATTCCATCTGTCCTCAGAGCAATGAACACCAGCCAGGTGGAAGCCTTGGGCATTAAGATGTTGCCAGGTTACAAGGACCCATACCATGGGCGTCCACTCACCAAGGGGGAATTGGGTTGCTTCCTCAGCCACTATAAGGTTTGGCAAGAGGTAAGTGATGCTCATCATGTCAGACAGCGGCCATTTTTAAATTATTTATTCAGGGGCGGTTCCAAGATGGCAACGGCTTAGCAAGCAGGCTTCGAAGCTCCGCAGATAACAGGACTGTAATTGGTGCTGGATGCTACCCAGGGAAGTAATATTTCCTTTTTCTTTTTTTTACTTCTCTACTTTTAAACTTACCAACCTATTGGGATTCTATCAGCACCCTCTTATCTATGCTATGAGAAACACCTTGGGCAAGTTCTGTGAAGCATCCTGGGCAGGCCGCCAGCTGCTAGCTATTAACCGCCAGCTCCCTTTTATACTTTGTTCCTGAAACTCCTGGCAGTCACCTCACAGATAAGCTCTTAAATTGAACAAACTGAGCACTTTCTATTTTTTCTCTCTTCTTCGATTAAGGAAACCTCTCCTTGTTTACTCCCCACCGCAACACTATGCCTGCTAGTAAACGCTACAGGGACCCGGAGGAAGCAGCTCTCTCACCAATCTAATTAGATTCCAAACAATCTAAAATGGAGGACTTTTTTAAACAAATCTGCTTTTACAGTTCCAACAAAAAAATGATTTTCTCTCCTTAAAGATGCTTATGAATATGGGGAGAATACTGGATCCAACAATGGGGCAGGTTGACCCTGTGCCTCTAAGAGAGGAAGGAATAACAAGTAGGGAGAGCACCCAATTAACTCCAAATTCAAGAACGGTTGAGCATATCTTTCAACAAATTGGAGGTATTGCCTCTCAAATAACCCAATTATCCAAAGAGGTCCACAGTTTATCAGTTAATAACAAGCAGGCACTAACAGAACACCAAAGTACCAAAGTGAAATGACAACAACAAGAACAGACCCCTAAGCTCGACGTAGAACGCGCAGAGGCTCTTAAAACAAACTCTTCTTATTTAATCTTCCAACCAAAAAAGATCTGCATGACAGTTTGTGGAACGCCAGATCAAACTCCTAACTGGAAAGGTGCCTAGCGTTCCAAACGACATTTATCAGGCTTACTTGGCATTGGACTTACAGAGATCGACTTAGTTTGGACTGAACTCTTGAATACCACAAACCAAATCCAAAAATTATGTTAATGTCAAACAGCAAGGCATAGTCTGTCTTTTCAGGAGATTAGGTCATCTGTTCCCAACCATGAAACTCTTTCAAAACAGGTGTATATGTGTGGTTCTGCACAAGCAGTTAAGGACTGCAAGACACAGTACTTGGCACAGAATCCAGTTCCCAAAGAATCTCCCCTTTCATCGGGGGAGTAGGCAAGCTTCCAATCCTCCTAGCTAGGCTTCAAAGTTTGGGGCCCATGGGGTTGAGAGATCTCTCTGTAGGACAGGGATGAGGAACATGTGGCTCTGGGGTGATGATGGGCTACAAGTTCCATAATCCATTTCCTCATGTTGCCTGGGGCTGCTGGGAATCTGGAGGGCCACAGGTTTCCCATTCCCACTATAAGATTTCCAGAAAGTGTGTGGGGCTTGTGTACCATTCCATGCCTAATTTACATAATTCACACAGGTTGCAGAATTCAGCATTTTGTGTTGCAGAATGTGGGTTAATGTGGCACGGGATTTCAGTGAGTGGATGTTTTAAAATGGTAGTCGGTAAACACAGTGCCTTCTCTGGCCTTCTTGCATACTGAAGAGCTCACGTAAGTGGCCTCCTTCCATGTGGAGCCTATTGAATGCTGCAGATTAGCTTTCTGGAAGTGACTAAGATCTGGAAACAGAAATGCCTTTCTACAGATGCAGATCTGCAACCTTCCATTGGTCTCCTCATCCTTTTTGAAATGGGTGAAAACGGTTCAGTTTAGGCAACAATTGTATTATTGTATTATTGGCCCAAGATACAGATATAAAAGGAGATGAAGCAATATGCATTGGACCAATTTCCATCAGTGGAGAAACATGGGGGCTTTAGTGTTACACAGAATTCCAGAGCTGTCCCTGTTGTGCTGGCACAAGTGGGATGCTGGCCTTATTTTGGCAGAAGAGCCAGACTTAGGGTCTGCTGTGTGGCCTTGCTTGCTTGCAGTCTTCCAAAGCAGCAGGAAGGAATCCCTTAGAACCGGATTTCACTGCATTTGTAGTATGTGCTGCCACCTCTTGGGCACATTGGATTATTACATCAGCTAGAATATGGAAAACATTCATGGTGTGATGATCTAGAAAGGAAAGGGACCTTTGGGGGATATTTGCCACTCAAAATCTGAATGCCAGTTTTGTTTCCCTGCTCTGGGAGGCAGAGCTACATACAATCTTACAGGGCTTTGTATATACTGTGGTTCTGAAAGACTGCAGAAAAAGAGTGCTGAAGGTGGCATTGAGAATACTATCCGCCTTCTGAGAATACAAGCTTTCATTTTTAAAAATAAAAAAGCAAGTTTCTAGACCAGCCTTCCCAATCCTTGTGTCTTCCAGGTGTTGTGCTGATGGGACTGATGAGAGTTGAAGTATCTGAAAGACAAAAGGCTGGGAAAGGCTGGTCCAGACCCAGCAGAGCTACCAGTTGCTGGGGGTGGGGTGGTCTCATCAGTCCCCTACATGACTTCTTGCCCCTCTCTGTGACCATCAAATTCAAGCCAAGCAGCCAAAAATAACTTGGTCCAAGAAAGAGCAGATTTAACCCCTTGAGCACCTTAGTGAAAAAAACAGGATGGAAATATTTTCATTAAATAAATGAATCAATAAACAGTGACGTGTGCTGATTTTTGCTAGGTTGTTGAGAGAGGCCTGGAGAAGTCGGTGGTGTTTGAGGATGACCTGCGCTTCGAGATCTTTTTTAAGCGACGCATGATGAACCTCATCTATGACTTAGAAGAGGAGGGCCTGGACTGGGATTTGATGTAAGTACGGAAGTGCTGACTCGGGCAGCGGGAAGTCTTGGCAAAAGCATCCTTCAGTGGGGAATCTTGTATGGCAGAGTTGGGCAACATTTTTGCTTCTGGGGGATTCATGTGGGCAGGAGCGGGGAGTTAAGGGACCAGCATCCTCCCTGCTCCCTTTCACATTTACACGAGTTGGGTGGCCATCTGTCATGGATGCTTAACTTGAGGTTCCTGCATTGCAGGGGGTTGGTCCCTCAGGGTCCCCTCCAACTCTAAGATTCTATGATATCTGCCCTGCCATTCACACTCATAGGCACCTAGTTCCCCCCATGCCTTTCACTCCTGTTCACCTGCCTCACACACTCACACTTTAATCTCTGCAGCACTGTCTGCCAGGAACCCCATTAGCAGTGCAGGGACAGCAACCTTTTCCCTGCTGATGGCTGATGGCTGAGCAGCCGGGGGGGTGGTGCCCTGGGGCTTGGTGGGCTGCATGGAGAGCAGTGGAGGTCTGCCTGCAGGCTGCCCCCATGTGATTCAAAGGGAAGAAGTGTCATGATCTCAATCTCTGCTTGCCTTTAGTTACATTGGCCGGAAGCGCATGCAAGTGGAGCATCCTGAGAAAGCCGTGCCCCACATCCGTAATCTGGTGGAAGCGGACTACTCCTACTGGACCTTAGCCTACGTCATCTCCCTCCAGGGGGCCCAGAAGCTCCTGGACGCCCAGCCCCTCTCCAAGATGCTGCCTGTGGACGAATTCCTACCTGTCATGTTTGACAAACACCCTGTGTAAGGTTGGGGCTGGGAGGGGAAGAGGGGCCTGTGGCCTTGGGCAGGAAGGAGCAGGGTACTTTGATTACTAACACACCCTTGGCACATGAGATGTAGCTTCTTAAAAGAGGGAGATAGAGAGGAGTCCCTTGCTGTTTTCTGTTGGATAGAAATTGTTGGCATTCATCTGTCTCAAGACAATAGAATTCAAATGGCCAGGGCCTGCTCTAGCTGCAGAGTCTTGTGACTTGTAACTGCTGCCTCCTGCATTGCTTTTGCTATATTAGCAGCACCGAAGTGACCTCCCTGGGACACACCTGGGCAGTGTGTATGAAGGACCTGGGATGCCCAGGCAACAAGACCTCTTGGCCTCGCTGATGTGGTCCAAAGGAAAGCAGATCAAGACGTTTGGCACCAGCTGGACTGCAGTAGTTGCTGGAAGGAGGCATACAAGGCGCCATCCAGTACACTCCACTCCAGATTTGTGTAGCGTTTACTCCTGAGCCTTTTCTTCTCCCAAATATGTATCACAAGGCAGCAGGTAATAGTTGTAGGCCCTCCTGATTTACAGAAGGATTTTAAGTGGCAGCCTGTTGGGCCAGAAGGATGGCCGTGTCTGAGCTTCCTTCCACAGTCCTGTCGCACACCTTCTCTTTAGTTTGGCATGGACACCTTTGCTTCTGTTTGGACACCTCATCTGTAGGTTCTGTCCTGGCATGTATTTCTTGCTTGGAAAATGGTTTTTGCTCTCTTGCTCCCTTGCCTTGTTCCAAGTTGGTTTCTATCTTCTTTGGCCATGCCATCTATCTGAAGCCAAGAACACTGGGCAGCTGAAGTGGATTTCCCTCAGTGTGGTTAGATCAGGGGTAGCCAGTTCAAGAGGTTGCTGGACTGCAACTTCCATCGTCCCTGACTGTTGGCCAGGCTGGCTGGGGCTGATGGGAGCCAGAGTCCAAGCATCTGGACAGAGTCCAAACAATGTTCAAAACTCCCATTGTTCTAGGCACATTTTGAGATACAGAATTTCATCAGCGCAAGCAGTTTCTGAGCTCTGGGCACAGTACTGCACCTAAGATTTCAGATTAGAACTGCAGAGTGGAAGGAAAGGAGGACCTTTTTCTGCCTCCCTCTTTCCAGCTACTCTCTGAACACTAGCGAAGAGACCCTCTTAAGAATATGGGGGGGGGGGGGCAGGGGAAGGACTAGAACATGTGAAAAATGAGCATAATATTTTAGTTGCAGTTCATTCATTTTCAGCTATGTATTCTTGTTATAAAAAAAGCACACCTAGACATTCCGTTGTTGTGCCCATAACCGACCTTTAAGGTGCAATTTAGCTCCTAGCTTTCATATCACAGCTTCTAATATGTTTGTGCTGGAAGAATCTAGAGTGTTCTAGAACATAACAGCTGCCCAAGGAGCTGAGTGTCTCACAGGAAGACAAGAATGTGAAAAAATACCTAACACTGAGGAAACCTGGTCCAAATAAGCAAGATGAGTGGGGAAAAGTTATATTAGCAGAAGATATTTGTACAGTAGACCTTTGTATTCACCGAGAAGTGAAATTATGAAGTTTCATCTTTCTAGCTCGTCAGAAACCTAAGACAAACTTAGGTAGTGAGGAGAAGGCATTCCTTCTCTTCAAAGGGGGTTCATGGTTTGCCTCATGTAACTCCAGGAGTCATACTTTTGTGCAGTTAGTTGTTTGACTGATTTACACGTGTGGCAGAGATGTATCTCCAGAAGTAGCTCTTTTCATGTGATGTTTGTTCTCCTACAGTTCTGAGTATATGGAGCACTTTGAGAACCGGAACTTGCTGGCCTTCTCTGTAGAACCGCTGTTAGTCTTCCCAACGCACTACACAGGAGACGATGGTTACATCAGCGACACGGAAACCTCTGTGGTGTGGAACAATGAGAACATCAAAACTGACTGGGACCGGGCCAAGTCCCAGAAGATGAAGGAGCAGCAGGAGCTGAGCAATGAAGCCAAGAACTCTAATGTGCTCCAGTCCCCTCTGGACAGCACAGCCCGTGATGAACTATGACCCTGCTGGGGCACAGATGAAGGGGGCTGAGCAGGAGGGCATGGTGTGGCATGAGGCAGGGAGGGCTTTTCCCTTTCTCAGGGTTTATGGGTTGCTTCCCTCGCTTTTCACTGTGGGGTCCACATCTTTCATCACACCTCGTGGCAAAGCAATAATGGCAAGCTCCACTCCCTCTGCCATGCGGAGCCTGCAACAGAAATCGTTTGGTTTACTTAGCTGTGCCATCCCCCACCTCTCCCACCCTCTGTTTTGGAAGTGGTGTGGGTGAGATCTTTCCATACTCAGTTGTGTAAGAGAAGTTTTATTCTTTGAAGAATTGGTACTGGCTCATACAGGGAGCCCTATATGTTCTGGAAGAAGCAAGAGTGGTTAGTCCTTGAAAAAATGCAGGCCAGACTTGCAGACTACAGCACAATGATTCTCTGTGTCAGACAAACCATTTATCTTGGTGTACGTTTCAGACCTTTCCAGTTATTTTTATATAATTTTTTTACTGGTGACAGTTTCAGATCTCATTTTTGTGGAATCCTGATTCCCCTCCCCTCCCCTTTCTTTGTGCCTTGTCTGTGCTGAGATTGCAATGCCCAGTTTCGATGTGGAAAGTCAGAAATGTCCTTGTTTCCCTTGGGCTGATGAATGTTTTTCCTACCATGTCTCTTGATTTGCTCTGTAGAGACACAAAGTGCCTTGGTAGGTTGTAGCTTTCACTCCCCAGTGGTCAGAGATGCATGGTGGGAGGTACCATCCATCGTGGGAGGCATAGTTGGAACCACATTTCCCTTCATACATTGTGACAAGCAAGTATAAAGCATTGCCCTTCAACTTGTGGGACAGCATTTCAAGGCAGGTTGCGCTTGCAGCACTCCACCATTATTATTATTTTTGTTCGTTTTCAAAATAAAAAAATGTGGGGCTGGGGAAGAGAGGGTAAGATATAGTTAATTAAAATGAGCCTCATGTTGCAGATCAGAGTTAAAAAGGTGGGCCCCAGATCTGCATGCTGAAGACTATTAGTCCAAGGGCTCCTGAAGTTTGGAGAACTCTGTGCTGAAACATTGGAACAGGTCAATGGGGTAAAGAAAAGGGAGAGGAGGGAGAGGCTTGCAAGGTAGTGTTAGCGAGCCTGTAAGGAACATTGGAAGGTTCTAAAAGACACAGCTCAATGTCAGCCTTGTTGCAGTTTCACCCATCCTGGAAGGACATACCACCATGATGCCCCTTCTGGTGACAGCAGAGGTGCCTCAGAAAGCATGGTTGTGGCATGCTAGCAAGCATCATCCAACTCTGAAGCAGATGGTGTGTGGTGCATCATGTCACCAGGTAGAGGGGTTGCAGCTGGATGGGATGGGAGATCCCCAGCAGAGCTCTTCCATCACATCAGGATGGTGAGACTGTGGAAGTTCTGCCCCCAGACCTCTGTGTATTCACTTACTCACAAGATGCACAAAATCAAAACAATTCACAAAATCAAGTGCCTTGCTACTTCTTGCTACATGAGATTATACTACATGAGAATTTCCTGCACAGCCCTATAGTTAGCTGCATTCTCTCACTGCACCCTCCACTTCTCAGCAGACATTTTGCATCTGATACACTCCTCTTTCAGAGGTGTATATTCTTCAGCACATGGTACTTGGAACAACCTTGGACTACACATTTCTTCTGCTGATTGGAGTTGGATTGGCAGAACTACACCTGTGTTGCAGTTTGAGCAGCTTTATTTAATATCCATAGGGATGCGGGTGGCGCTGTGGGTAAAACCTCAGCGCCTAGGACTTGCCGATCGCATGGTTGGCGGTTCGAATCCCCGCGGCGGGGTGCGCTCCCGTTGTTCGGTCCCAGCGCCTGCCAACCTAGCAGTTTGAAAGCACCCCCGGGTGCAAGTAGATAAATAGGGACCGCTTACCAGCGGGAAGGTAAATGGCGTTCCGTGTGCTGCGCTGGCTCGCCAGATGCAGCTTGTCACGCTGGCCACGTGACCCGGAAGTGTCTGCGGACAGCGCTGGCTCCCGGCCTATAGAGTGAGATGAGCGCACAACCCTAGAGTCTGGCAAGACTGGCCCGTACGGGCAGGGGTACCTTTACCTTTACCTTTATTTAATATCCATAGGCAGACTTGTGGTTGGTTTAATGTTGTATATAGGACACACATAATTTAGGATGTGGTGTGTAGCAAAATGCTACAGATGTTGCTTGGAGAGGAAGGCAGTGATGGAGTGGAGAAGAACCTCATACTGGTCTTTCCTCTTGAGTCATTTTGGATGGGGCAGTATGTGCTGACCTCACCCTTGTCCCTGTTGCACAGGGAGGCCAAAAAATGGAACCAGCCCAGAGGTAGAATGTGGTTTGTGGGGGTCAAATGCAGTGAGAAAGCACCCCCCCCTTCTAGATGCACAATTGGGTTGCAATCCACCAGCAAGTGGGCCATAAGCTTGTGTGAAGCTCCCATTAATTTCAGTAGGGCTTAAACAGAAGATTAGCAATACAGTAGATGGTACCCTTAAATAATAGTAATAAACCCTCAAAGATGCAAGTGACTATTATGTCTGTTAAGCAAAAGCAGAAATGAAGCTGGCTAAGCAGAGATTTGAACCCAGTTCCTACAGGTGCAAGAGCAGCACCAGCCCAGCGTGATCAATATTGTTGGTACCTGTTTAAGCCTTATTAGAATCAGCTTTCCTGGGTGAACTTCTAGTCCCCATGACGGCTGAGGTGGGTTTGCAAATTGGATTGTACCAACACACTTATGAGGGTAGAAAAATAGGCATAAGTAAAGAAATCATTGCTTCCATTTTGCTGTTCATCTTAATGACACCTGTAGACCAAAGCTTTTTTTCAAGTTCTCATGTCTGAGGTGCAGAACCTTGAAGCAAAAGAACTAACACATTAGGGTTTTATTTTTGTGACCATGAAATGATGCACAAGTTGTATTAATACAACTAAAATAGAGCTGTATGTTATTTGTTTCATCTCCTTTGAGCAATCAATACACTAAAATGATTTGGCTGTTGTGTAGTCCCTATCTGCCTTTTCTTCATTATATGTCTGTGATGGTGATGAGATTTTTTTTTGGGGGGGGGTCATTATATACCGTACTTATTTGAAAGTCAGTTTGTCCAGCATCATTGGTCTTCTCTAGCAGTCTGTTGCCACAGGAAAGGATTGGATATGTTTTAGGGTGCATGCTTAGTTCATGCCACCAGTGAGGTGCATCAGCATTTCTCAGCATGAATGAAGTGTTTGCCTAGAGCAGGGATGAGGACTAGTGGCCTTCTGGATGTTGCTGGACTACAGTGCCCATCCCTGACCATTGACCAGGCTGACTGTGGTGTCTGGAGGGCCATAGGTTCCCTGTCATTGGCTTTGTTTCGGTTCACAAACAATGGAATTTGGAGTTAATTGAAGGTAAAAAGGTTTGAAAATGCTGTATTAGATGCATACGTGCCATGACCTATGCTTTTCATTTTCGCCTTCGATACTACATTATTAGCTCCATTAGAAAGAAGAAGGGCCATACAGTGATCAGTGGCTTGAGCAGTCTACTCCCAGTTAACAGAGACTCTCCTAGGTTTCAGGCTGAGCTCTTTGCCAGCCCTGCTTTCTGAGATCCTTTTTGACAGATGCTGGAGATTGAACCTGGGGGATCTCTGCAGGCAAAAGCCCCACTTTCCCATATGTGGAGGCAAGGATTTCAATATTGTCACCTCTGCCTCCACCATGTGTTGAAGCCTTTCCCAATCTGGTGCCATCCAGATGTGGCTGGTATTCAGCTCCTATCATCCCTGATCACAGGCCATGCTGCCTGGGGCTGATGGAGAGTTTTAGTCCAAAGTATCAGGAAAGCACTAGATTATTGAAAGCTGGTCTGTTGCATGAGCTAAGCGTATATCATAGAACAGATCTCTCCAAACTCTGTGTTGCAACACGTTAGCGTGTTGGTTGCCGTGTGCAGGTGTGTTGTAAAAACACTCCCTGCACTCCTGGGACTGGAAAAGGGTTAGTTTACCTCCAGTTAGCTAGTAAAACTGAATTACTGTGTTGTGAAATGACACATGTCTAAAAAGTGTGTCATCAACATGGAAAGTATGGAAGGCTCTTTCATAGAATCGTAGAGCGGGAAGGGTCATCCAGTCCAACCCCCTGCAATGCAGGAGTCTCAACTAAAGCATCCATGAGAGATGGCCGTCCAACCTCTGCTTAAAAACCTCCAACGAAGGAGAGTCCACCACCTTCTGAGGAAGTCCGTTCCACTGTCATGCTGAGAGAGTCAAAAAAGAAAAGCAAGTGAAAAATAAGCCCACGTTTCAAAAACATCTGCAGATAGCCATCTTATGAGTCACTCCTGCTACGGATGGGGGAGGGTGTCTAAATTTATTACACAAATATAAATCCCTGCTGGTCTAGAGCAGAAATGTGTGTCACGAACTTTTCATAACGTGCAGAGCAGTTTATACATCCCTTTCCTGTTTTGCACGCTCCACCCCCTGAGGCTGCTTCTTTTTGGGTGCTGAGTCAGAACTTTTCTGCATTTTCAGCACAAATGGAGATAACAAACACGCTGGTGGCTGCTTGCCTTAGGAACAGCAACTGGGAGAGGGAATTTGGGAGCCAGGGTATATGCATGCTTGACCTATTTCCTACCAGCTGCTTTTCTCGCCATCATATTTATTCTCATGGCTTCTCTTTTATGTCTCCCTAAAGCTCCATAAGCTTTCCAGCTCATATATGACTATTTCATCTACACACCAACTAATTTTGCAACATTGTTCCTTAATTCATAATTGTTGTGTCTTGCTAATTTGCCTCATAAAATGCCTAAAAGGTCCAGTCCCAAAGCAGATTTCAGAAGTGACAAGGGGCTGGCTGGTACTTCTTCCCCATTGATACAGCCTGATTCATGTCCATTAATTCTTAGTTTTGTTTTGGTAATTGTCATTCAGAAAATCTGTATTAATTAAGCTTCCCCAAAGTTGAAGCTCTTAAGACAATCTAAAAGAAATTGCACCATCAAAAGCCTTTTTGGTGCTTCAAAAACTCAGTGAGATTTGTGATGTTTTGTTTTCAGGAGACTGAAAATTGTACAATATTAAATGTTTTTTGTTAGAGGGTGTAATTTGAGAATATATAAGCACCTTTTTGACACTCTGTTTTCTAATCTTAATTAATATTCTTTCTTTCAAGAAACTCATGGTGCTCTGCATGGTTTTTCCTCCCTTCGCCATAACATCCTTACAAGGCTGTGGTAGAGAGAGTTTGTGTTACTGAGCCACATCAGTGAAACTTATGCCTGTGTGTGATTTCAAAGCCATCTCCCCCTAGTCCTAGTCAAGCGCACACTAAGTTTACCCCTTCTTATAGTAAATTCTATCATTCTGTCATTGTAGTTAAATGTAGTTAAATTTGTAAACATCATTCGGCTCCTCCATGATAACATGACAGCAACATTGCAGATAACAATAGCTCTCAAAGTGAACCATTCACAGTGGGATCAGGTGTTAAACAGGGTTGTGTTATTGCCCCAACTCTATTCATTATTTTCATTGCCATGATCCTACACTTTGTCAAAGGCAAACTCCCCATCGGAGTAGAAATCATATATCAAACAGATGGAAAGCTCTTCAATCTGAGCAGGCTGAAAGCAAAGAGTTTGGTTACTGTAACTTCTGTCATAGAACTTCATAGAACACACAACGTAGTGTGTGCACACTCAGAGGATGACCTCCAAATCATCCTAAATATATTTGCAGAGGCTTACGAAAAGCTTGGCCTATCACTCAACATCCAAAAAACCAAAGTGTTGCACCAACAAGTACAAAATAACCCCTCTGCAGCACCACAAATCCAACTCAATGTTGTAACGTTGGAAAATGTCAATCACTTCTCCTACCTAGGCAGTTATCTTTCCACAAGGGCCAACTTTGATGCCGAAATCCAGCATCGCCTGAGCTGTGCGAGTGCAGCTTTCTCCCGATTGAAGTGCAGAGTGTTTGAGGGATTCACAGGGAAACCAAAATGCATATTTACAAAGCTATTGTACTGCCAACCTTACTATATGCTTGTGAAATGTGGACCACTTATAAATGCTATCTCCAACTCCTTGAAAGATTCCATCAACGGTGTCTCCGAAAAATTTTACATATCACTTGGGAAGACAGATGAACTAATATCAGTGTACTGGAAGAAGCAAAGATCACCAGTGTTGAAGCAATGATTCTTCAACATCAACTTTGTTGGACTGGTCATGCCTGATGATCATCTTCCAAAGCAACTACTCTATTCCGAACTTAAAAATGGAAAGCGTCATGCTGGTGGTCAACAAAAGAGGTTTAAAGACTGTCTCAAGGGAAATCTAAAAAAATCTAAAATTGACAACTGGGAAACACTGGCCTGCGAGCGCCCCAGTTGGAGAACAGCCTTTACCAAAGGTGCCATGACACTCAAACTTTGAAGACACTCGAACTCAGGACACAAGTGGAAGGCACGCTTGGCAAACCCTCACCCTGATCAACTCCCACCTGGAAACCAATGTCCCCACTGTGGAAGGACGTGTGGATCCAGAATTGGCCTCCACAGTCACTCAGGGACTCACTGTTAAAACTGTGTTTATGGAAGACAATCTTATTCAGCTATGAGTGATCACCAAAGAAGAAAGGAGTTCTATCATTCTTAGTATTGTAGTTAAATGTTTATAATAATAATGGAGAAGGATTATAGAATGGTGAGAGGCAGATTTGTATTTATCCTTTCAAGGATTTTGCTATCAGTATTATGTGCCCTGATGCCAACAGCTCATTAGAGAGCCAGTGTGCTGTAGTGGTTAAGAGTGGTAGATTCGTAATCTGGTGAACCGGGTTCGCTTCCCCGCTCCTCCACATGCAGCTGCTGGGTGACCATGGGCTAGTCACACTTCTCTGAAGTCTCTCAGCCTCACTTACCTCACAGAGAGTTTGTTGTGGGGGAGGAAGGGAAAGGAGAATGTTAGCCGCTTTGAGACTCCTTAGGGTAGTGATAAAGCAGGATATCAAATCCAAACTCTATTATCATGGTAGATGGTGGCAGAGGGGCAGGAGATGCTTGAGTTTCTCCTCCTTGGACACTGGAGCATAATTCATCACTGCCCCACCATCCCTCCTGAATGAAGCGAGACAATAGAAGTAAAGGTAAAGGGACCCCTGACCATTAGGTCCAGTCATGACCGACTCTGGGGTTGCGGCACTCATCTTGCTTTATTGGCCGAGGGAGCCAGCGTACAACTTCTGGGTCATGTGGCCAGCATGACTAAGCCTCTTCTGGTGAACCAGAGCAGTGCACAGAAATGCCATTTAGCTTCCCGCCAGAGCGGTACCTATTTATCTACTTGCACTTTGGCGTGCTTCGAGCTGCTAGGTTGGCAGGAGCTGGGACTGAGCAACAGGAGCTCACCCCGTCGCAGGGATTCGAACCGCCGACCTTCTGATCAGCAAGCCCTGGGCTCTGTGGTTTAACCCACAGCGCCACCCACATCCCATGATGTGTAATAGCCTTCTAGTATAGTCCTGGAGCAAGGGCTTCATTATGGGGGGCCAAGACTTGGCTCATTTATGATTAACTGTAAGACAAACAAAGGAGAAAGCATGATGGAAATGATAAAGAAACAGCTGTTTCATGACTAACAGTAGGAAGAAGGCAAGACAATAAGATTACTAGTGACTGCTGCTTCCTTTCCATCATGCTCCTCTCATGTCTTGCAATTAGACATACACCTACTAGGTAAAGGTAAAGGACCCCTGGACAGTTAAGTCCAGTCAAAATCAACTAGGGAGTGCAGCACTCATCTTCACTTGCAGTCCAAGGGAGCTGGTGTTTGTCTGCAGAGCTTTTCTGGGTCATGTGGCCAGCTTGACTAAGTCACTTCTGGTACAACGGGACACCGTGACGAGTGCCAGAGTGCACGGAAATGCTGTTTACCTTCCCGCCACAGTGGTATGTTCATGCTCGCACTGTTCATGCTTCCAGATAGTCTCTCCTGCTCTTTTGCAGGATATTCCACCATATTTCCCCCCATCAGACAGCATTCCGTGCCCACTGAACATGCTGAGTCCTCATTGGGCTTTTTTTGAGTGATGAGGTGGAATTTTGTTTTTTTCTTTTGCTTCTTAGGACTTTCCCACCTTGGAGTTGCCCCTGAATCTGCTACCACCATCTTGTGCTTAGTACCTGGCACTCAGAGAATTGAGTTCACTATCTGATGATAAGCTAAATTCACAAAGGGCAGGTCTATAAGTGGCTACCAGACACATTATTGGCACTAAGCCACTGAATATCAGTTGTTGAGGAGCAGCAGGAGAGGGGTGTTGCCCTACAAGCCTTGCTTGCAGTCATCCTTGAACCATTTGGTTGCCCATGCTGAGAAAAAGAATGGTAAAATCTTATAGCTGGAGGGGATTTGGGAGGTCATCCTGAATGTAGGATTGGCAATGCAGGCTGCTTCTACAGCATCCATGAACCTGCTGTTTCTACTCATTGTTTCTAGTTCTGCTCTCGCATGGAACTATGTTCAATCCTTCAGATATGTGAAGAAAGCTATCAAGTTTTTCCTTAAACTTCGCTCGGCTAAGCATATCTATCTCTTTGAACTGTTCATCATCACACGACTTGGTTTTAAGACCACTCACCTTCTTGGTCAACTTCCTCTGGATGTATTAAAAGTAGTAAATCTTCTCCTTAAAATATGGCACCCAGAACTGGACATCGGGGGGGTGCTGCTGACTTGGGCCCCAGATTATGGATGCCCAGTGGCACATGACCTAATATAACATCATGAAATCATGAAGTTGCACACGAGGCCCCACGAGGCCTTGGACATTTAGAAGACATCTGAAGGCAGCCCTGTTTAGAGAAGTTTTTAATGACTGATGTTTTAATGTATTTTTAACCTTCTGTTGGAAGCTGCCCAGAGTGGCTGGGGAAACCCAGCCAGATGGGCAGAGTAGAAAATATAATAATAATAATAATAATAATAATAATAATAATAATAATAATAATTTATTTATTTAACACCATCTCTGAGGCCTTTAAAGCCTCAGATACCACCTCTGATGTCCCCATGAAGTCTCAGACATGACTTCTGGTGCCTCTAAGAAGCTGCCATTTAAGAGTGGAACGATGGGCCAATCTGGAGCTGGAATGGTTAGCATTGGTTCCATTATTTATATCAGATGGGAGGAACCTTTTTTCCAACCCAAGGCCACATTCCCTTGTGGAGAACGGGGGCCTCATGCTGCTTTGGGTGGGCTGACTGCAATGGATGTGACTCTTATTGGTCTAAGTATTGATAAGCTCTGTCCCAGCCATGCAGTTTCCATTCTCCAATTTAACCTTTAACCTCCAGCGCCAGGAAAGCAGTGATAATTAAGAGGCTGGTGAGGGTTTTGCCCTGGGGAAGAGATGTGGCACCAGAAGAATCTAGAGGGCTGGATAGAGAACCCTAGAGGGCCACATTTGGCAACCCCAGACATGAGGTTCCTCCCTCTGGCTGTGGACCTCTGGCTATTTTCAGCTGTGGACCATTATTTATACAATTGATTGAATTAGAATTTCCTGAACAATTCTATAACACCAAATGCTATTCTACATATTTTCTCAGGGATGTCTGTTTCCAGAGAATTTGCTATATATGGTTGTTCAATCCAGCAGAAGGAGGTAGAAGAACATGATTAAATGTGGCGGTGGGGTTTCTTAAAAAAAATACAAATAAAATGAAAACTCTATGTGGAATGGGGAAGGGAATTAACCATTGGGCTTGGCTTCCCATGAAAGAAATTAATTCCCAGTGTTTTCCAAATATATCAGCATTAGACTCCCTATTAAAAAAAAGATATACTGGGCCAAATAAAATTTAACAGTTTAATAGAGTTAGTAGTAACCGGAGGTGGTTGCTCTTTGGGAACCTATTAACCTGCAGATCAGTGAAATTTGATACTTCAGATTGGGGTGCCAATTTGAGAACTGGTTTCATTTATTTGCAATTGCATTCTTGTCCATGCAAATGAGAGATCCTTGTTACTAAAAAGAAAAGTTTCTTGGATTGTGACTCTTCCAGCTCATTAAATCAGCCTCCTTTCTAGTGTCCTGTGGGGCTTGGCTGCCTATTTCCAAAACACATCTCTCTCCCACGAGCTTCCGTTGCAGTAAGGGAG